TAACAGCAATTTCCTCACAATCGGCACTGTTGTCCACTCTATGACATGTGAGCGATTCTCCTGCTCCAGCACAACCTTTCCATGATTGGATTATCTTGATCCGAGTTGATTTGACTGAGCTACGGTCAAAGAGAGATTACATCAATCCACACATCAGCATACATTCGAATGTCTCATCTCATTAATCCTTGTTCGACCGTAACTCAACCAAATCAGCTCGGATCAAGCTACTTGATTCATGGAAATGAATGTCTGGAGCAGGAGAATCGTCCACCTACAATAGAATGCACACAAGTTGGGAATGCACAAAAGTGGTTATTAGCTACCAATGCATGCATTGCAAATGAGGATTGCGTACCTGTCATGCATGGTCCCTGAAGTCCAAACTTTTTAACCCAGGTACACAAACACGTCCCTCTGCATCTTTGGCTCTATCAGGGCCCAGCTATTTGGCATTGAACAAAGACCACTTGTCATATAGCATCACGCTTACAAACATAAAGGTGCCTGTATCTCCAAACTTTACAATCAAACATGGGGTTTTTATTAGAGCAATGTGCTCGGCTTGGCCAACAGCACCTTGTGTGCAAGTTTCGCGTTCAATGTCGCAAACAGCCCAAAAAATATTTTTTGGTCGTCGAAAAAAAATTCAAGAGGTCGACCCCCAGTTCCAGTTTGGCTGGTAGCGACATTGCGAAATCTGGGATTGGCCACGATCAACGTGAAACTTGCATACAAGGTTCTGTTCGCCAAGCCGAGCAGGTTTGTTCTCATAAAGAACCCACGTTTGATTGTAAAGTTTAGAGATACAGACACCTGTATGTTTTACCTACAGTATGCCCGCCGTAAGCGTGATGGAGTTGCTTTTTCCTAGTGGATGGTGTCGGCTGCATTAACGGAAAGATGAAAGAGCTGGTGAAATGGCACGTGGTGGTTTCACAAACGCGTCCTTGACACGGTTGCTACCCAAATGGATGATGATGACGATTGCCTTTTGTGAGGGTATGTAAGTAAGCAGCATCCAATCATGAAAAAGCTATTTGTTATGATAACGACAATGACAGTGAATTTATGCAGGAGCATTTTGTATGTTTGGTAGGAGGGTCGTGTATTGGGTTGCACAAATCCTGGAGTGTCGATCGGCATTGATGTGCACGAGCTTGGTGGGCGTCAATCCCGCCACAGTAAAATGATGTATCGCTTAGTTACAAGGAATGAGTTCAATTTAACTCTCGAGTGATGGTCCTTGTTATTGATTCAAGTGCGTAGGCTATTGTTGAGGTCCATCTTCACAACAGCAGCTGTAGCAAGCGGGGTGGCGCGTAATGCACAAATTGGGAACACTGAGAGGAACAACAAAGGACCCCTTCTTTCTTCACTCCCACTTCACAAAGCAAGGTAAGCTTGTCTCCACTTACAAACTACAACACATTAACAGCTGGCATTCCTTACAATTACAGCATTCATTGGGGTGAACATGTGGTCAATGGCGACACTTTCCAGCTGCAGACATTCAACAACAAGTACGCACGCGATCTGCCCATAACTCAAGCTTCCATTGCAATACAACATGTACGTTCAATCGCTGCATTGCTTTATTATTCAAGTTGCACGTTGGGGTACGAAAGTTAACGTGTAGTTTGCTGTTCTGTCGTATATACAAGATCCAAGGGGATGGGGTCGTGTGTCGTGTGTATTCTTCCTATGGTTGTCATCGACGAGATGTCCATACACACTGTTACTTTGGGTATGTCTACACGAAAAGCGAATGCTATCTTTGTTTTCTTACATTGCATTTATTGTAGCTTGGATACGTTGATTACGATACCTGTGGCAGCAACAAGACATTGATCTCAAAGCAAGAATGCTATACGTTGGCTCAAAATTGGTACGCATAGTATTGATCTAAAACACAGGACATGGAGATACGGTTTTTATTTGAGGTAAGGATGGTATTGAGAAGCACTCTAGGTAAAAGTGTTCAGTTCATTATGGGATGTATCGCATGCAAGTGCGCTTACGATGGAAGGTTTGTAGTGAGAACAGGATCAAGAGGCTTTCCCTCGGTTATATCACTATCAACGTCAAGAAGGTTATTGTACCACACACCGGGATTCATTGTCGATGATGCTACCTTACCAGATGATGCTGCAACATGCGATGGAAAAATGGGGACCTGCTTCGTCATTGCATTCACGTACTACCATAACACTCAACGCTCCACTTGAAGGATCGCGGCACATGATTCAAATCGACAAGGTTAGTAGCTGTGGCGAAGGAGTACATGAAGATACTGACGCTTGGATGTGTTTAGGATAGCGACGACAGCGATGATGATTGATTATCAATGGATATGGATTTCAAGAGAAAAGTGAGAAGAGCTGCTTGTGGATTGGACAATGAGGAGATCAATTATGAGCATCAGAAGCCACGCCCGGCAAATTTGGTGATTGGATGCATGGCAGTAGTTCTTGGTACTCGATCGAATGATGGGAACCAATACTGAAGCCACAAACAATGGACAACAACGGCAACAATGGCCTCGCATTCCGATCACGTTCCGTCGTCATTTTCTCAGCTGCGGATACAATGGATCCAAGTCCTCATCATATCGATTCATCCCATTATCTAGTTCATTCACCATTGTGCTCATCACCCACACGACACGACACTATCAGCAATATAGTAGCCCTGTACTCTGACTCTATTACACGCAATGGATCATAGGTGAATAAAACACGCTGAATGCCTTCCAGTGTGCATTGGGTTACAGAAATTCGATATGAGCTGTTTAATGTTTACAAGACGATTATCCTACGTTTGGTTATGCAAGGAGCGTCATAATTGATGCCAATAGGGTAAGAATTGACTTAATAAAAATAAAGAGATCTTTTTTTATACGTGACCACAACGTGGTTGATACTATAGTAGGCAAGATGATGAGCTGAGCGAAATGTCAAACAACATCTTATTTTGTGTAATTTGAGCACAACAAGCGATTATTGATAGCAGATGAACGTCACTGTGATGTTTGGCTCTTTACATACTATTAAGGTAATGCCTAATCACCTCGCTTGATGAAGCACATACTCATAATACGTATTCCTTTTCATGTAGCTGCTTCCCAAGGTGCACTGCAAAGTTGGATTAAGTGGCACAGTTTGCTACAGCCTGCATGAGGGTGATTTAATTATGGCTTCCTACCGAATCTTGACACAGGCTGGATATGATTCGCTTATCAACTCGGCCACAAAACGTGTAATGTGGAAGCTGAGCGCTGGCACATGGTATCAAGGGCCTGTCATTACTTCAACCTTCCTTCATCTTAAAGACGATTGTCTCTCAAAGAAGAGCATGTAACGACGACTCACGTAGATAGTTATTCTATGAGATGTATAAAGAAGCGGAATAAAAGTGTGGTTGACATTATTAGTCGGTGATCACAAGCATTTTCACTATTATGATTATATGGATATAAAATAAGAACGATATCGTAGCTTAGTACTCTGCAATCTCTTTTATCGAGCTACGCCTCGTTATCGGGTTCACACAATCATACAAAACCTATCACCAAGCCTATCCCTTCGACAGCGCCCCATATGTTATTACAGAATTAAGGCATCCATTCACGCTGCTCGGCTGAGTTGGGATTCGTATTCGGGATTGACTTTGATTCGTATGGTAACATTGATGTTTGCTTATGGGATCACAATCATTGGTGAATGGGAAAGTTGCTTTGATAAATGGTGGAACAAGTTTTCGTAAATGGGGATTTTCGTAGATGGCCATTGTTGATATTGGAAAACAGTGGAGAGTCGAGCAGTAAGGATCAATTTAAATGTGTGTTCCTTCCCGACTAAATGCATAAATAATGCATGTGATTTACAACCAATGAACTTGGAGAGATCAAGAGCGGGTTTCTCCAGCATTTGAAAGTGTATTTGGCTTCATGCAAGGGCAAGGTAAGGCACATAAACCTTTTCTAGCTGCAACTGATTCTCGTTTTTAGAATGACTTAGAGAGCTCACATCAGCAGCAATCGTCATGCTCTTTCCACAATGCTCGACCAAGATCTTTATTGGGCCCCATCAGGCAAATGCCACAGACTTTGAGCTGTACCACTATGCACAGGGTCTTCCCCCTTACAGACCACACCGATCTTCTTCAACGCGTGTGGGGTTCGCTGAATTCATTTATGAGTGAGGTACAATCGTAAATATGGCAGCAGTGTATGCTCCCTTTATTGATGTGTCCCTTGTACAGTGGTGAGCAGCCAGTGCAGCTTCAAGTCATCGTGTCAATGGTCATAATCCTATCGAGAGCACCTCCTTATCAATTTTCAACCTCTATCTCTTATCCGCTTAAAGGTTGATTCGCAAGAACGTTGGCCACAAGGTGCAAGAATATGGCTGGTGTCGGCAGTGATGGGACCAAGCATAAACTCAATCAGTCAAAACAAGTACATACTCCTCCTCAATTTTTCATGCTTATCATCCTGCGCGTACCTATTGGAAGCTAATGATGATGCTCTCTTCGATAGTCGATGTTCCCATAATGGCAACATGCACAAACGTGGGCACTTTTTCTATATCACCATCGATTTACCACATCAATCTTCAACTACGTCCCAACCATGCATCATCACCACCATCTTGCTGAATTCGTATGGTTTTGGTACGATACGCACATCATCCTTTGCGCTGCATTTTGGATTTACATCTTCGACCACAATGGTGTCCCTGGCAGTGTTAGCGAGTCAACAGAAATGATAATTGGATACGCGCATCGACAACCGTGCTTGGATCAATGTGAAGGAAGGCATCACCAAGGCAACAATAGGATACGCTTGGGATCTCATGTCACCACTATTTTCGCTTGATTCGGAATAAAGTTTTTCATTTCTGGTTACTGTTGACCCACCATCGTGTGAAACTACGCGTGTGATTGATATCATCATCATTGAATGCAGTGTTATCGCAACGTCTTTCTTTCACTTTTCAATGCGTTTTATTTTCTCTTCCGTTTTGGCGGCTCGATCATCATTTCCTCCTCGTCATCAAGCTACTATATCACGTAAGGATCATCCTATAACGACGATAAAGCCATTCTCCTCCTCCTCACATCCATCACAATAACAGCAATATGGATGACAACAACACGTCGTGGCATCGCTTCTTTGACACCCAATGCAATTGTTTCTCGGCCACGTCGGGCATTATTTTATGGTATGGTAGTACACGCTGTGCTAGTAGCGCACATGATGACACACACTCACCCATAAACAAAAACTAGTTCCTGGCAGTGATGAACGTAAACTCAAGAAATCACAATCGGTGGGCGCTGATTGCGTGGTATTCGATCTTGAAGATAGTGTCTCTCTCAACAAAAAGAGCACTGCACGCTACATGGTTTATGATGCACTCGAGGTAAAAAGCAACAAGCATGGCATAAGGGGTTGTTGATGCGATGATGTTGACACACGTGACAAATGGTAGGATTCGAAAATGGAAAATTCTGAAAAGGCAGTGCGGATCAATGCAGTTGGAACAGGTATGAGTGTGTGTATGTGTGACACGACCTTTGGATCACTTTGGTTGACATTGTCATCATCATAGGCCTTGAATTGGATGATCTGAATGCCATTGTAAGTTGCATTTATCCCCGATCCATCATCATCATCATATCAAGTTGCGCTCATGCATGATGGCCTTTATAGTTAAGCTCCAAACAACTTGAAGCCATCGTTATACCCAAAGTCCAAAGTGCCAACGATGTCAATTTTGTTGCTCGTATGATTGATGCTGTTGCGCTCGAATCACGGTATGTATGACAACGACTTTTCTTTTGCATGAAACCTTCTAATCGAGCCTCCTCCTATGATACAGGCGAGACAAGATTCAGTTGATTGCTTCAGTGGAAAGTGCTCTTGGTATCATGAACATTCAAGAAATTGCAACAGCTGATCCTAGGATGGATGCATTGATCGTATGTATGACACCCTTTACTTCATCATGATCATGATATGGGCTACTCACACAATCCCCGCATACATAGTTTGCTGCTGAGGATTATTGTGCTGATTTAGGTGAGTGGATCGGTTGGCCCTCACATCCACGTATGCTGATCGTTGACAAACAAATAGGCTTGATTCGGACTAAATCACGTAAAGAGATGTTGTTTGCACGACAAATGATTGTCAATGCAGCATCTGCTTACGGTTTACAATCGTTAGATTTGGTAAGTAGTACAATCTTCATCACAAAAAAAAGGAGGATGGGGGATGTGGTAGATACACTCGCGCGCGCGTCGTTATGATGATCGGGCCCCAACAAGCGTGTATACATATATGCAGTGTACAAGAAAGCTTCTTTTTATACTCAGGCACCACCACTTCTCCTTATCTCAAATAGGTATGTGTGGATTTCAAGGATCCTGAAGTGCTCAAGGATGAATGCAAAGAAGGTCGCGAATTTGGTTTCAGTGGCAAACAAGCTATCCACCCAGCACAGATTGATACTATCCAAGAGATGTTTTTGCCTGATCCAAATGGTAGGTCACCCATCATCAAGGAGGAAAGCCTTTTGATTTTGTTGACCTTATGTATGATGATGATAGATCTTGAGAGAGCTGTAAAGATTTTACAAGGTTTTGAGCACTATACGGCCAAAGGTGTTGGAGCTTTTCAATTGGATGGGAAGATGTAAGTAGATTGCTTGTATTGCTAAAGGCATCTGCTAACTCTTTTTTTGCTACTTACTAGGATCGACATGCCTGTTGTCAAGTGGGCTGACAAGGTGGTTAGCAAGGCCAAAGTTGGCGGCATGGAAATCCCTAAACCAGAGCTCGACGTGAATGCTGGCGGTGAGAAGTGATCGTGCTTTCTTGAAGAGTTGCCCCCACCTTTAGTTGGCCCTATCAACCCTATACACAAAGGACGTTCGGTATTGGGATGGTATCAAGTTAGACCAGGCAACGATATAAAAAGAATAAACAACTGGGGATGCAAGCCTGGTTGATGTGTGCATTATTGTGTATTGCTTGATGTTACGAGAACAACAAAATATTCACTGATCTGCAAGAACATACACCAAAAAACAAGGAGCAAAGGGGGGGGGGAAGAAAAAGTAATTGCATCCCGCACCTCTTTCATACATACTGTACCTGTTTTTAGCATCCACCTTGCAGAGTACTATAAGAACCCCACATGAAGGCAATTTCAATTTGCTTTTCTCTTTCATCTTGTTGCCGTTTTTTCTTTTTCTATTACTACTATATCGACACACATACATATATACACACGCTTGTACACCAACCAACATGAGTTATTCCAATGATCACTATTATCGGCCAACGCTCAACAACAGCCAGCACGTAGATCCACCTCATTCTCCAGCATCTTTTGAAAAACCTAATCATCACGATCATAGTTCCCAACAACAAATGGGTGGTGGAGGTGGCTATTACGAGGATTATAGAACGCCTAGTTATCACAACAATGGTAGTGACCATGGGCCATCATCATCACCCTATCATTACAACAATGAAAAGAACAGCTACAGCGGCTCACCCCACCCATCAGCAGCTCTTGTACAAGGCGATCACGGTTCATATTATAGTCCACAACCAGCCTATGGTCATGATTCAGCATATCCAATGGGTGCGTTTCTTTTATAAAAGGAGTGATAATAAGAAGCTAAAGCGGGATATATATAATAGCTGACGATCCTGAAGGTGCAGCACAGGAGAAAGCAGCATCATCACCACAGCGTAAACGTACATGTTCCAATTACATTTGCTGTCCATGTTGTTGTTGCTTACCCATGTGGACACGATACATTTGCTGTATCTTGCTTTGTATCATTGTTGCACTGGCGATCGCAGCGGGTGTCCTTGCATCACAATTTAAGCCTCCGAGCATTGACATGAATGGTGTTGCACCGGATCCTAATGGCTTGCCAGCTTTTCAACGAGCAGCTGACTTGTCATTTACCATCAACCTTGGATTAAAATTTGGTGTGAATAACCCCAATGTTGAATCTTTGACCCTGGCTTCTGTCAGCACCAAGGTAAAAAGCATTTATCATTGTGATGTCATCCCCTTTCTTACACGTATAGGAACAGGCGTATTACCCCACAGCACCCGATCGCGTAGCAGCAACCGGTTATTTGGAGGATATCCATATTCAAAACTATGGGTTGACCAATTTTACGTATCCCATCCACATGTACTATAATCAAGCATCGGATACCAATCTGGCCATGCTACGCGATATTTCTACAAAATGTAGCTCTGGTCAACAATTGCAAGTGAATGCTGATATTTCAGTAGTGGTCAGCATCATTGGTATCCATATTCCTATCCCAACCATTCATCATCCCATTTCATTTGATTGCCCAATCCCGGTAAGTGTGGTGGAAATTATATGCATCATCATCGTCACACGCTCATACGTATATGTATATAAAACCAGAGAGATCAGCTGGCAACTCTCGCACCATCACTCGGCAAGATGCTACCATCATAAAGCGGCCAGGTCATGTTGTTTATTGGTTTGATCCAAATGCAATCCTATCTTTGATACTATACATACATACATATACATAAAAGCGTTCATGCTACAGCATCGGTCGTCACCTGGATACCTCGTATTGCCGTTGCCATCACCACCACAACCACCATCACTCGTAAAGAACCCCTCATCCCAACAGCTCATTTCGTTAATGTTGTAATGAACTTGGATCGCTCCATGAGCAAGATACTATATAGATCGCGCGGGAAACTGAAACTGGCATTCAAACGAGCACTGTGTACTTTCCATTTTTGCGAGGTCCAAACTTTTTTTTTTGACTCGGTGGATGACTCGGTGGCTGACTCGGTGGAAAGCAGTATATAGGAACGCGCGGGAATCGTTATTATAGGAATAAAGAACAATGGGGCATATATACAATGGGGATGATACTATTTGTTTATAGAGGGGGGGTGATGATGGTGGGTGTAATGAATGATCCATGGATCGGATCACTGATGTCGTTCTTATCTACAAAACCTCTACCAGTGAGTGTCAAAAACCCGCTGTGGTCGTGCGTGGGTGGGGTTAAAGCCCAATTCTCTCCGATTGTCAATCCACACACTTGCACAATGTGCTTGTAGTATCGGTCTCCCTATTATCACATCCCTCCCACCAAACTTGTTATGGTTACCACCGACCCCCACTGTTCCGGAGCCCCCCTTTCCCGCAAACCATGAACGTTGCGCTACGTTTCAGCCATGCTTCATGATGATTGGCTGCATGGCGTGTGAAAAATAACAAAAAATTGGTTTACTTGTTCCTTTGTCTGTTTCCCTTCATTGCCACTCCGTTTTAAATATAAACCTGCCAAAACCCGCTCCCATCCCCACTTTTGCTAATTTTTCCGTTTCTTTCGCACTCGCTTTCCTCCCTTCTCTTTCCATCTCTCTCTCTCTCTCAATACACTATGTGGGCTCTAAAGACTACATTGCGACGTGCTGCTACAGTGGCAGCAACCCCCTCAATCCGTTATCGCACTGCTACCGCTGTTCCAGTGTTAATGCAGCAACGATACACTGCCATGAAGCATTATTCTTCTGCAGCTCAAGGCCAACAGCAACAACAAAATGCAGCCACTGAATCCAATGCACAAGAACAAGAAGTCTCTGATCATCACGCTGTGGTATCCACCTTTGATTTGTTCTCTATTGGTGTGGGTCCATCCTCTTCGCATACAGTGGGCCCAATGCGTGCCGCCAAGATTTTCATCAATGATCTCAAGTCTCATGATGTGCTTGATCGTGTCCATACTTTACGTGTTGGTAAGTTAAAAAGGGGGGAAGGATTCAAATGTTTGGGCAATGGACTAAATTGGAAACGTAGACATGTTTGGATCGTTGGCGTTGACGGGTGCAGGTCACGGTACACCGGATGCTATCTTGATGGGTATTGAAGGCGAAACACCTGATCTTGTGGAAACATCCACCATCAAATCACGTGTCGAAGGCATTCACACCAACAAGTCCATTCGTTTGGATGGCACCCATCGTATCCATTTTGATCCCGAAAAGCACTTGATTTTCAACTACTTCAAGTCCTTGCCACAACATCCCAATGGTTTGCGTTTTTGTGCCTTTGATGAAAATGCCAACATGATTGCTACCAACGAATACTTTTCCATTGGTGGTGGCTTTGTGGTGAATGATGCTACCCAATTGGATCATGGTGAGAACGTGTATTACAAGGAGGAAAACAAGGAAGAGACCACTTCCAGCAAGGATATCATTGCCGAATCCGAACGTCGTCAACAAGATGCCGCTGTTGTCAGCTTGCCTTTCCGCAACTCGGAAGAGTTGTTGCAAGTTTGCAAGCGTGAAAACATGACCATTGCCCAAGTCGTCTATGAAAATGAGCTAAAGTGGCACACACCTACTGAAATCAGGGATAAGTTGTTGAGAATTTGGAATACCATGGATGAGAGTATTCGCAATGGTGTCTTGGCTGATCCTACTGGTAAGTGGATGCATGATTTATCTTTTTAGCGCATATGCTTATCACATGCATACATGTAGATTGCTTGCCTGGTGCTCTCAATGTGCGCCGTCGTGCACCTTCCTTGTACAAAAAATTGCTAAAGGGTCTCTACAGCCCTGTACCCAACAAGACCATGTACAATGATTCCCGTATCACTGGTTCTCCGGATTCCGGATCTGCTAATAGCCGTGGTGATGATTTGGATCGCACCGAAAGCTATCCCCTTTCATTATCCGTATTGCCCAAGCGTCAACGCAAGAGATTCTTTTTGCCAGGTAAGGAAATCAAGATTCAAATCCACTATGGGTTTATTAACAAAGATCATGTATACAGCATTGGATTACCTCTCTGTTTATGCCATTGCCGTCAATGAAGAAAATGCATGTGGTGGTCGTGTCGTCACAGCTCCTACCAATGGTGCTGCTGGTACTATTCCTTCGGTCTTAAAGTACTATATTGAATTCATCTCGGAGAATCCGGAACGTGATGTGATGGAATTTTTGCTCACCACATCAGCCATCGGTATGCTTTTCAAGCGTGGTGCAAGCATTTCTGGTAAGTGTGTTTATGATTTCATGTGCTTGTGTATGTGTGTGATACTCATGATGTTGTTGTTTGTTTATAGCTGCCGAGGTGGGTTGTCAAGGTGAAGTAGGCGTAGCATGCTCTATGGCAGCTGCTGGCTTTACAGCTGTGATGGGCGGTACAGTGGATCAGGTCGAAAATGCAGCAGAGATTGGCATGGTAAGATAGAAAATGGGGATATCGTGTGCAACACACGGTATCTTGAGACAACGGAATCAAAAGGCTGATTATATACATGTGTTTCAACAACACAGGAACACAACTTGGGATTGACTTGTGACCCCATTGCTGGCCTTGTTCAAGTCCCCTGTATCGAACGTAACGCTTTGGCCGCTGTCAAGGCTATTGCTGCAGCTCAGCTTGCTCTTAACGGTGAAGGTGATCACCGTGTCTCCTTGGATCAAGTCATTGAAACCATGCGTCAAACCGGCTTGGACATGATGTCAAAGTACAAGGAAACTAGCCAGGGCGGTTTGGCTGTCAACGTCCCTGTTTGCTAAATAACCCCCATCTTTCATATCCTTCAAAACCCATCACTCACTCACACACACACACATTTATTACACATGTACACACACACACACGCAAGCACTCATATCACACACTCTTACTTTTTTTCATGTTTTCTTTGCATTACTACCTGCCATACTCGTGTTAAATACCCTTCATCGAGTGTCTGCAATATTATTATCCTGGTCCATAAATACATGTGCGCATCGATTATGCGCCTTTTTCATTTTGCCGCCTAATTTTGGTAAACATGTGCGCATGACCCAATCGTGTTCAATGTTTAGCCGTGTAACCCTCTCATCGGACCCCCTTTTTCATATAAAGTGGGGTATACACGATCAAATTTTCCCATGGCAACGATCCATTGCTATATCTCCGGATGCAACAATTGGGGCATTGTTCCTTTACAATCAAGGTCGCTGTTTCAAACAACGTTGGGATGTTGTATGTAGATGAATAGCATAGTTGAACAACAAGGAGATCTATTCACGATTGTGATGACACCATCCAAGGCCATTACCCCCATGTCACGTGGCAACGGATTGTCCAGCGAGTTGAATTGGTTCATTGGAAGACGTTAATGTACAGCTTTATTCTTTTTGTGGGGTGTGTTGTTTTTAAATCCTTGTTCACAAGCATGGGTACGTGTATGGGGAACAGATTTTATATTTACTAGACTTAATCAAGCGAGGTATAAGTGGGTGCGAAGAAAGCAAAAGAAAACCGCTATGTAAAGAGAGAGTGTGTGTGTAAAAAAAGAGAGCACCACATTACAGGACGATTATACAAAGTAAAAAAAAGGGAGTGAAGGGAATATAGAGTTAATGTGTGAGTTGTGTATATATATGATATGTGTTGTTTATGCCTCATTGTTGTTTCGCAACAGGGCCTTGATGAGCTGGTCAAATTGTGAGAGATCCGGCATATTGGGCACATTGGATGATGATGAAGATGATGGCTGCTGCTGTGGTTGCTCTTGTTGCAAGTTGGTGGCAGCCGTTGCCATGGCAGCTGCATACATGTTGGCCATCATGGCAACCGCCTGTGGATTTTTGGCCCATGCATGAACATCCTCTCCTCCATCACCATTCACCGAAGCCTCAGGTGTTTGTTGTTGTTGATTATCCTGTTCCTGCTGCTGTTGAGAGGGTTGTGATGGTGATTGAGTTGCATCTTGTTGTTGTTGCAATGAGTTGTCCAATTCATCCAAAAGACGCTTGTATGTTTGTACATGGGCACGATCCATCAAGGCATCTCTCACACGTCTCACAATAGCTTCGCGACGATCCAAATCAGGCATAGCAAGTACCTTTTGCACAAGACCTAGACCATGGACTTGATCACGCAAAACATCACCAAGCAAATTGGCATCGTGGAAAATGGCATTGAGCAATACTTGACGAGCATCAGCGTCATGACGTTGGTTGAGAATTTTGAGAATGGTCATTGCACCCAGCTTGTGCGTGCATAATTTGCCCAGATAAGGCAATAAGCGAGGGCATAAGGCGCTGTAACGACCTGGCAATTCCGATGTATCCAATAGCCAAACAAGTAACAAAACACCATTCGCATTGGTTGTCAATAGCACCGCATTCTGGATAATGGCTGCTGCTACATAGCATTGCTGTTCATGTGTAATAATAGATGTTGTCTCCAAAATAGCTCGCACAGCACGTGCTCCAAATCGTCCTTGTCCAATCTCCCAGCACTTGTCTGCAATGGCATCGATAATGTAATCACTGCTAATCTCGTCATCATCACCAGCTGCAGTAATCCCCTTGCTCTTGCGAAGACATCCTTGCACAACGTAATTGCCGTATTGGTCAAGCAATAACAAGGGCACGTAGGGTGCAATATGGATCGAAATCAGCTTGATCTAATAATACAAAATGTTATTTACACGTTGACCTTATACAATTTCCATCGGCAACTTACCAAAGGTGGCGTGTTGGAATGATCAATGATCTTTTGTGCTGCCCATGTACCATTCTTGTGAACACCAATCGATGCAAGATAAGGGGCAATGCGTTCAAGCATCATGAGTTTGGTCTGCTCGTTGCCATATTCATAGAGCTTTTGGATAACAGTGTTGCCAATGTAGTCTATATTTACAATATCAGGCACCATCCTACGTATATCCCATTTTCATCTCGCTCTTACCATTGCATAATTCGACAATCTCATCCATACATTCAAAGACCATGGCTTCAATATCAAGCATTGTCATGTTACCATTATCCAGGCGTTTTCTCATATCTCGCAAGCGCAATGGCTCGAGCTTTCGATCAGCACCAAGTTCAGGAACAAGGGGAATGGATGACAGGTACGTCATTGGCAAGGTGGTTTCACCTAAACAATAAATGAATGACATTAATCAAGGGCCTATTACAACTATCTATTCCACCTTACCATCTTCAGCTAGATCCAAGGTAGAGTCGAGTTGTTGCATAATAAAGCGACGTTCAGTTTTGATAGCAGCATACAAGCTGGTGACGGGTTGTTGTTGATGTTGTTGTTGTTGTTGTTGTGCTAATAATGGATGATGTTGACCCTTCATCATGCTGGACATCATCATGGCAGCTGCCCATTGAGTAGCTTGGTAGGTATCAGGCGACGTGATGGGGGCCAAAGCAGCAGCAGCACCATTGTTGTTGTTACCAAGCGACGACGTTGCAGCGGCTGTTGCATTGTTGTTGTTGTTGTTGCCAGGTTTGATATCACCTTCTTCAGGTACCTTTGCAAATCCAATCCTTACAGCACCTGTACCAGGGCCTAGAATCTCCTTGTTCTGCAATGCCTTACGAGCAAGCACAGCATCCTGTTGTTGCTCAAAGTTGACAAATCCGCAATTTTTGTGTGACAGGACACGCACCGATTCGATGGGACCAAAGGATTGAAAAATGGCTTGCAAAATGCTTGGATTCATATTGGCAGGAATATTGCCTACCCCTAGGGTGACGTGTTTCAGTTTCACTCTACTTTTTTTTTTCTCCTGAGAAAAAAAAACACACTTACAAAGAGCGCGTGTGGGACCTTGAGCATTGGGACCCGCCTCCGTGGTATTCGCCATGGCTTGAGTGACATCGGCTTTGCCATAACCAACACGCACCGTGGCACCTTGTAATTTGCTATCGAGACGTGTTTCAAGATCATTCTTGGCAGCCACAGCAGCATCAACATTGATAAAGTTGACAAAGGCACATTCCTTGTCGGACAAGATACGAGCACTTTCCACGTGACCATAGCACGAAAAGATCTGCATCAGATCTGCGACACTTAGGGATGGAGTAATGTTTCCTAACCAGAGAGCGCGTGATGGGATTTGAGCTGCAGCCGATGAGGGTGATGAACACGTGCTTGTCCCAGCACCATAGTTGCTATTATGCTCATTCAACTATAACAAATCAATAACTCCTCCCTCTTTTATATATATATTGTCATGGGCATTTACCTGTTCTTCGTTCTGGTCAGCTGTCATCATCATCATCATCAAATTGGTACTGCTGCGAGAGCTGCGTAAAGGAGATCCCGCAGTCGATGTTGTACTTGTATTGTGGTGATACGGGCGTCCACCAAGCGATAAAAGTTCATGTGTTGAGGGTGGTCCATGATGGTTGGCTACACCAAGACTCACTGCACGAGGTCGATTCGCCACCAAGGATTGATGATGTTGGTTGGTTGGCTTTTGGAATGATGCCAATGGTGGAGGTAGTGGAGGTTGTGCAAAAGGTGATGATGATGCAGCATCATTTTCAAAAGGATCAAAACGCATAGTTGTGGCATTGTTGGTGGTGGTGGCTGTCGGGGCTAATAACCTGCTGATATTTGGACGCTCTGGACCGATAGTGTAAGCACGAGTACGACCCGCTGACGATGATGCTGCCATCACTGAAGGATGATGATGATGATTCGATGATTCAGGTGTGATTGACAATGCTGGTAATGTGCTATATCCTCTGCTTCTGGTACGGCTATTGTTGTTGCTAATGTCATCCTCTCCTCTTGTGCCATTGTTACCAGTAAAGGAAGAAGGTTGATCGTCATCCAAACCCAATGATGCTAATGTGCTGGCTATTGTGCTATCCGCTTGATGATGGGGTTGTTGTATATCATAATTCATGGCTGTTGTTGGTGCCATAGAGGAGGAGGAGGATGATGACGATGACCCATCTACCAGCAGATCGGTTCCGCCGCCGCTCACTGTTGTAGTAGTAGCTGTCGTGCCACCTACCCCGGCGCCATTTCCGTTATTCCTTTCAAACGCCAAAGTCACCGATCCAGACCTATGCCGAGTCGTCGATGGATTGCCATGAAGGGGTGGTAAAGAAAGTGGCATGGTGGTCATGGGTGTGTACGAGAAAACAGAGGATGGCATAGTGCCAGCTCGTGGACGACGTGTTGTTGCTGCTGCTGCTGTTGACGCTGTTGTAGGTGTGGTTGTAGAAGAAGACGATGAAGAAGAAGAGGAGGATGGTTGATGATGAGGTGCTACTGTTGCTGCTGATGATGATGATGAAGTGTCAAAATCTCTATAATAAAAAAGAGCATGTTAATGATGATCTTTTTCCACCCGGAGCGTGTGGCAGCAATAATGATTTTACCTCCCAACTACAGATGGCCCGGTTGTCTTTGACAGATAACCGGCATGTTTCCGATTGCCAGAGACATCCGATATCCAAGGGAAATCCATGACAGGACCCAAAAAGAGAAGAGCGACTATAAGAAAAGAGGGAAAAAGAAACGTGTGGAAGAGAAAGCGAATGCGGCTTTTGGTCCTCTTTTTTCTAGTACAGCAAGCACTACGGGCGGCGTGACAGGGCGCTTTCACCCCCCAAAATGTGTAAGTGTGTTGTGCGTGTATGTATGTGTGTGCACTCCCTCCCCCCCCCCACAATCCACCCAAACACTTACCATAAGCTCCGATTCGATTGGACATTTATCTCTTTGTTGGCTGCATCAACCCAAACACATATTATAAGAGAGTGTGAGTGAAAAGCATGTCTTATAAGGTTAAGGGGCAATATACATAGATATATACGTACCCACACAAACACGCAACATGTTAAAGCATGGGCCATGCGTATCCATCCTAGATAGATGCTTGCTTTTCCCTTAAAAGAGAGAGAAAATAAATCAATACAAGGAGACCTTTATATAGTAAGTCAAGTAAATGAGAGAACACTAACTCTGGCTGCGTGCATGGTGTGTGTGTGTGTGTGTGTGTGTGTGAAATAACGAGTCCATATCAAGGCACCTGAAGGAATTGCGTGGGTTTCAGACCAAATGTATCCCAAAACTCAGTTGAATCCAGCCGTGGATGGATGATGACGCCGTTATTAGGATCGACAAGATCGTAAATAGTGGTTGTGTTGTTGCTGGTGCCAAGCACTGAAGGAATCAATTTCTGGGTTGTCTCGACTTGTTCTTGGCTTCCCCACGCTAGAATCAGTTTGACCCAATCGTAGCATCCACCATCTGTGACTATCCATCGTTGTCCCTTTGTCTTTGCAAATTGCCCATGGACACCCAATACCAAGGCTCGAGCAACATCTTGACCATGAATCAAATGCAGCTGACGCTGTAATAATTTGCCACGTAGTGCTTCTGGAGTAGAGAATCGAGAAACCCAGTTGCGTGGTTGTCTATGGTATGGTATCACAGCATTAGAGTTTCGGCTTATAAACGACTTGGCGTCATTACTCTCACCTTTGAGCACCCCATAAACCAGCAAGATGAACCACAGTACCTCCACGTGCCAATGTCACTTTTTCTCCCTCCGTTCTCCCGGAGCTATCCTTGTCAAGATTCATAGGGCCATGTCGATCACACTTGTCACCATCATAGACGCGTGTTGATGATAATAATATCCATTGCACTTGTTGTTGTAGACCATCATGATGTCGAGCTTCATAAGCATCCATCAGCTTTTCCATGCTCCTTGCCGAACGCACAGGGAACGTAACCAATACTGTCATTGCTGCTGGTAACGCTGACACATCAACCTCTTGATCGTCTTGTGGTGGAAGCTCCCATGCAATCGTGTCGTTTCGCCCATCGCGTGTTGTTGCAGAATAAGGAATAGCTTGCTGTGTCAACACCTCTTTGAGAAATGGACCACTCCAACCGAAACCCAGAATTAACATGGACACCTTTGCTTCGTTCATTGTAGAAAAGAAATGGAGGGAAGGGAGGAGAAGAGAGAAGAGAGAGAAGGGAAGTTGCGCTTTGAACAAATTCAAATGACAAGTGAGTGCCCTCTTTGTGAGACGTATACATATCAATGCGGGGACATGGATGAATGACAAGAGTTAAGAGGCGGTTAATGCATACCGCTTGAACCTGGTTTTATGTACAGAGATAATGATAGATGATCTCACTAAATAGAAAACAAAAAAAAGGGGATAGTGCAAGAAAAAGACGACTCTTGTCTAAGGGTGGGGGTCACACAATCTATCGTAAAGAGACACAAAATAAGAGAAACAGAGATACTGGTACATGGAAAACAATAGTGGAGTAACTTGTCTACTAAGGAGAAAGAAAAAAGGGATCTTGAGGTGCGTGTTTATCGCTGCTCTTCCATTTTGATATCTTCAAAGGGACCTTCGTCGGTAATGGTTCTTGATGATGAAGAAGGAGGGTGACCTTTTTCGGATGCATCCAAGGAACGTGTGTTTGATAAAACGAGTTCTTTTTCACGAATGATGGCATTGTCGTAAGGGCGATATTGATTCAGAACATGCAAGGCTGCATAACGAGGGACAAAACAAGCGACGACGGTGAGAATAAACACGAGCCAATAGTAACCTGATCCAAACATGCGAACATGACCAGCAAAGACAAAGGTATTGAATTGTGCATAAATGCCGACGAATGCATAGTACACGAGAATCGACAAGGAAATGATACCAATTTGTATCCATGTAAATGAATACAATGACACGGCCACGAAAAAGTTGACCACGAATACAACAATACTTGAGACCACCGTACCAATTTCATAAATGCCGTTGGCGAGGTATCCATTCTGATCAATGTTGCCGGCTACTAGGAGCATGTATGGGAAAAAGAAGCATACGACCGATTGGTAGATCGAATCAAATACTGTAAGCCAAAAGCGTGGTGTCGTGAACACGTCGTTACGTAAGCCCATACGATAGAGCTCAGGGTAGCGAAGCGAAGTCTTGGCGTCTAAATCTTGATCCCAAATACCCAAAAAGATGATTGGTAATGACGTGAAGATCAAATTGTAGAGGGTCACAAGCGAGTACTCGAACATCATGGATCCGGTAAACCTGTCTAAAAGTTAGTTTCCATGGCAACGATGATCAAAGCTAATACTTACTGGCAAAAGATTTGATACCAAAACAGGACAAATGTCCAAACAATGTTCTTGTAAAAAAAGCCCATGATCATTTCGGATGTGCGTAGGTATGACCAACGACCGTGCACCAGCAATAGTTTATGCAAGAACCGGAACTGAGCAATTGCATAGTCCGACGCCATCACCGCTTGTCGACCTTCGAGACCCGAGATACCAATTCCGACATTGGCTTCTTGAATCATGGATACATCGTTGGCACCATCACCAATAGCCAAGGTCATCACCTTGAGACCCTTTTTGACAAGGCGTACAACCTCAGCTTTCTGCTTTGGACTTACACGACAGCAAAGAACACTTGTACATCGCATGCCGAGTTCGAGCACCATGGCTTTGTTCTTTGGTTCGAGACCATATTTGAGGGTGGTACCATCAATGACCAAAGCACGTTTGATATCGGAAGGTGACGTTTGTGGATCCGTACGATCGAGGGCTGAACGTAACTCGGCAGCTGTATCCTCACGCGTTTGTGCCTTGACAATGACAAGTTCCATATCCGTAGTCAACAAGTTGCATGCAAAGCCAATGTTGATGGCCGTCTCAGTCTTATCACCCGTCAACACCCAAAGCTTGATACCCGATTTGGCAAGCTCGGCAATAGTTTCAGGCACACCATCTTGAAGTCGATCTTCAATCGCCGTACCACCCATGAGCAACATGTTGCACTCGATTTGTTCGGCTACATCATCGATCTTTTGTTCACGGTCATATAAACTGGCACTCGCCTCCTGATAACGTTGATTCCATGCTGCATATTCCTCTTCAGAAATGAATCGATAGGAAAGACACAAGGTACGCAAGCCTTCATTGGCAAAATCTTCAAGATGGCTACTTGTCGTTGTACGCAATTCTGTTTGTGCTGCTTCCAATTCAGCTTGGTTACCAAAATCAGTGCACAGGCGTTCGTAAATAATGGAATCAGCACCCTTGCACAAGAGAATGATCTTGTTACTGTCATGGGGTCGTAGAATCACGCTCATACGTTTACGTGTAGAGTTGAATTCGAGCACATTGAGGAGTTCAAAGGACATGGGCTCTCCACGCACTTGCACATTCAACGTATTGCCTTCACGACCCAAATAAACAAAGCCAACATCACGTGCTGCTGCTACGAGGGCTGCTTCATCTGGCGATTGAGCACGATATTCGATCTGGTCGGGATTTTCTTCATCGGGACGTTCGGCAACCACCGTATGGCATAAAGCCAATGACATGAAGAAATGCATAATCGAGGCAGCTTGAGCACCATCTTGGCCCAAATGGTCATACAACTTGGGATCAATAAAAGTAGGATTCGCACCCACATGCTTGTTCTCAAAGAGCAAGGCTTGTTTGTCGTACATTTCTTTTTTGGCTGCTTCAAGCACTTGCATTGGGTCTTCTTCTCCCTTGATGGTGGTTGCTGCATCCTCCAAGTCAAGAGGGATTGATTGGCCAAGCGATCGCATGGATTGTCGTTTTTCAGCTGTTTCACGCAACTTGGCACCCATCGATGCTTCGGTCATGCCCAAGCCATACTTTATGCTGTTGATCGTACATTTGCGATACTCCATCACATTCTGTGTCAAGGTGCCGGTCTTGTCGGAAAAGATGTATTCAATTTGGCCCAAGTCATCTGAGATGTTCCAAGTTTTGGCAATGCATGGTGTATCCGTCGGGGCATGGTACATGTCAATGTCTGCATGAATGAAGTAGGCCTACATGCATGCATGATCATGTGAGTTGTTGTTTTCTCCTATACCTCATCCTCTTTTTTTTACTTACACCAAGCGTCTTTACAATCTCCACCGAAATATACAGTGAAATAGGCACAATGTTTTGATATAAAATCAAGGTCACCCTTGTCAAAAGATGTTAGCATGATGATGAAGGTCCTAATTAAAGGGGGGTCCATGTTCTTACCAAAATGTTAAAAAGCCATTGTAGGCTGCACTATCACCGCTAATATTAAAATCGAAAAAGCGCATAGAGCCTGCCGAATGATACTGCACGCTGTCAAAGATAGAGCTGATGATACAAATGATAGCAAGGATAACAAAGTTGGCAATGGCCTAAAAAGAGTAGGAAATGAATGATGAAGTCCATCACGTACACACATACAACACACTTACAAGAGGATTGGTTGCTTTGGCCATTTTACTGCGTTTGGAAGGGGTTTGACCGGAATTGAGCATGATCTTGGTATCCCTGCCAGTAAAGACGACGACACCAATGACCCAATCGGTATTACGAACAACACATCCACGAAGCAAGAGGTTGCTGTAAGTGATAGGTTCGGTCTTTTCATAAGGGATACCATCCTCGGCTTCTTCAGCATCGATTTGCCACTTCATGACACCGCTGTAGGCATACAAGTTGACATGGGGTGGTTCGCTTTCAATGTAAAATTCGGCATTTTGACAATCCTCAACGGATGCAATATCCTTGGTGGCAGAGAGAGCATTCTTGACCTTGAGATTGGTTTCGCCATCCAAGTTTTGAGTCTCGATATAGCAAATATTGTCATCATCCGAAGTAGCAAGAATGACCACATCAGCGGGAACATCATCACTACTACGCATCATAATGTAATCGCCCACATTCAGATCTTTCCATTGGGTCGTCTTCCAGCGTACATCGCCATTGGCGGCAAGCTTGCCTTCAAGAGGCGGGCGTTCATTCTTCTTGTCACGTGGCAAACTCGGTGGATGAACAGTGGAAGAGCGTCGTAAGGAAGGCACAGGTGCTGTACTTTCTTGAGTACGTACACGATACAAGACTGAATGGCGTGTCGATGCTGAATCGGTACGTTGATGATGAAATGGATGCTGTTGACGATGACGACCTTTATTCTTTCTAAAGATGCTGCCAAGTTCAGTGCGGATGGTGCCATGGCGTAAAGAAAAAGGATGCATGTGAGCCTTATGAGGCTCCGTTGGACCATGCTGTGATGATGCGGATGATGCTATTCCATGTGCTGCAGGTAACTCGGTCAATGGTAACTTGTCTTCTGTACCACGGCGTTCTTGAGGATAGGGATGAGCATGATGATGATGAGGATGTTTCTTCTTTTTGGGCTTGCTATGCTTTTTGTTTTTGCGATTGCGCTTTGAGGTACGATACGCTTGTGAATAGGAGCTATCGATACCCGCCATGACATGAAAAAAGCCGAGAATAACATGTAAAAAGTGGAAGGGGCCGTGGTTCTCATTGGGAATGTTGACATTGGACCATTTGCTGTTCAGCGTCAAAGTCTTGGCATTATTCACGCGACTATCACTTTGGGTGCGTTTCCAGTCCTCGAAGCCATCCTTGATGCTGGTGATGATAAGAATGGCAATCAACGGCAAAGCAGAGACGGCAGGTTGAACAACACCAAAGATAGGAATGCATTGAAGAATGACCAAGAACAAAAAGTACAAGTTGGCGACATTTCTAAACTGCTCAAACAGGTTCTTGGGTATAAATGTGAGAGGCGTGTACTTTGCTGTGCGGATACGGTTGCTGACAATGCTGTTATTAATGCGTTTGCCCTTGTCGTCGTACTCGGATGCAGGTAATTCCATATTCACGTAGATACGTCGTCGTTGTTGCATGTACGAGGACCGTGAGTCGAGTCGTCTCATAGCATCCTCTTGCTCCTCATCATCAATTTCCTGTTTTTTACGGCGAAACAGTGCCTGGAGACCAAGTCGCTTCCCCATGGCAAGAAGGTGTTGTCTCGTAGAGTCGAATACAAAATGGCGGTATGCTAACGTCAATGCCAATGTCACCACAATGAGCAATGGTTGAATGAACGGATAGCAGTAATAATAATAGTTCTTTGTACCTGAGAATAGTGTAGGACAAGGGGTACAGCGGTAGCGATGATGATGATTGACTAAGAGCGTGTATACTTGGAATGATGATGGCGATGATGATAATGATAATAAAGGAAAGTATGATACGGGAAGAAGAAGAAGAAAGGGAAAAGAAAGAACCGTTCAAGGAGCGTAGTGGGATCTTTGTAAAGGCGAGAAGAGGGAATGAAAGAGAGGGCGGAAGAAAACTCGTTGCACGTTGAGTTCCCTTCCACGCTATTTTGGCTTTTTTTTTCGAGCGCAGTAAAAAAAGAAGCGGGTAATTTATATCAAAGCAACCGAGAAAAGAAGACGCGTTTGGATAATCGACATACACAGGCATTATTGGTACATCCTTACACAAGAAATGGTTCCTTCTCTTTATTCTTTTTGCATGGTTAGTAATCCATATCAAACATGCTTGTGCGTTGAATGAATAGCGGATTGCTGTCTTTTGATGTCGATCTTTTTTTTTGACGCGCTAGATACCAATGAATCTGAAACCAACCCTTTTAGTTACTTTGTTTCTCTCAACCTTAATCCAGCTCAGAGGCACACAGGAACAACCCCGGCAAATGTATCTTTCTCCTTGTTGCCTCCCTGTCTGTGGGCTTGGTAAAACCCCGCCGCTCTCACCAGGTAATGGAAAAGGGTACCACCGTATCAGTGAATGAATGAGTGCGGCTGTTTCACCACCTCTTTTCTCTCTCTCCTACATTGCATCCAACGACTCAACTGTTATTCGATTCACATACGTCTATAACATGTGCATACGATTGCTCTGCGCCACCCCATTGTATCAATGCTGCCATTGTCCTCATGCTGGTTGAATGCTAAGCACAGGGCCCTGAACACAACCTTATCCCTCTATTACAACAGCAGCCTTAATTGACATTGCACACCCCAGCGTAACAGTGTACATTCCAGCAGTTGATATCAGCAAGGCCTTTGTCTCGAACATACTTGCCACCAACTTGGCTTACAGTCTTTCGCTAGACGGCTAGTAATAGATGCCAGCAGATGCTTTATTCATTGCTTTCAATACAATTGAATTACTATGGTACTCAGGAATGGAAGGATGTGGATACATGCAATGTTGGTGGTGGGGTTGCTGTGTATTATACCTTTATGGGATTGGCATCGTCATCTTGGGCCATTCACGCTACAACATGAATGCGTGCTGCATATCTTAGCGATTGCTTTACATATTCAAACCACGATCGCTCAATGCCAGGTGAAGCTTGAATGTTGACATCAAAGGTGGGCGATCATTCTTGCTGCTTACCGAACACGCATACCAGCATTAAGACCAGGTTGACAACAATCCTCTGTAATCATGGGGATGTGCATTACGCGTACAAGTGATCGATTACCTTGATAGATTCATCATCCTCCCTACTTGTTTGACCGATGTACGCATAGACAACATTACACCTTGGCTCTCCTGGTATATGCGTCAGCTCATGCACCAATAATTTATCAACCCATCATCCTCAACAAACATTTTATCATTCTTTGTGGTCACAGAAATACCCACGCCCACGCAAACAATAAAAGATGTTGTCGCCGCCCACCATACCCCCGCCAATCTCTTTCCTTTGTCATACTTCTTTGATTGCTTACAAGGTCAAATGTCCAACGTTTTGTATGTATTCCATTTCTTGCAAGCTTGTGAAAAAGTGCTGATCTTTGTGGTCATTCATAGTGTTTCATTGTTGTCGCGGTGGTCATTCATAGCGTTTCATTGTTGTCGCGGTCGTCATTATGATATTGGATCCTTATAAAAAGTAACCCATAATCATGTTGCTTGATGAGTCACTACTCATACACGCCACTTTGTTACTTTCGATATAGCTATCTCCTGTGATGCATCTTCAAAAGATGGTTTCGGTGCCGTGGGTCTACGTCGGGTGCCGAAATTGGCAAGGTGTAATAGCAGAGGCCCATTCTTCGGATGAGGACTGGTCAACAGACCAACGACACTTACATACGCTAGCATCACCACATGCTGACATGGTTTTCGTCAAGATAATGGGAGTTTACACCAGCCAAAATCATGAACCGATTACAAAGATCAACACCAAGACGTTGTACAAAAACTAGAACAAGGCACAAGAGAATTGGGTACGTACCCCTTTTCCCGATATCTCCATGGCCAAGGCCAATATACATGGTACGAGTTTCTTCCTCTACAAAGTATGCTAATCAAGACTAATCCACCATAACATTATACAATAACGTGTGATAGGCGTGAGTATGCATCCAAGCAAGACGACAGGATTGGTTTATTTATTGAAACATGGCCCCAAGGACAGGTGGATTTGTCACGGTGCAACAACAAAGCCCTAAGGTGGACATTTACTTATCGAAGCGTCCTCTTCTGGTGATCTACAAGAGGATATCTATGATACCTTGGTAAGTCGTCGAAGTTATTGGAGAACCTTGTTGGTGCGATTCTCAACACTTACCGCGTCAAATACCTGAACAGCAACAACACCAAATTTCGCAATTACAAGTACTTGGCATTCAGTGATCAAGATACTCCCATACTTTTCTTTCTCAAAAACTTTCTTTCGCTTTACTGGTATATGTTTTGACCATTGCTGTTTTTGGAATGTAGACATCCTGGTTCAATTGGCTTACCTATAAAATCTTTAGAAATGGAGCATTGATTAGGATGATCCCTGTAGTCATGGCAACCTAAGGTTATCTTGGATACTATTGGCATGGCAACGGAACAAGTAGTACCATGTAGGTTTATATATAATCTATTGTAGAATTGGAACTGAAATTGCTTTATATGTATGCAGCGTCATCACCAGAATCATCAGGTTAGTTGACTTCGAGTTGCATGTGCGAGCGGCTATTAATAATCACAGTCTTTTAAAAACAAAGCAACACCAAGCAGCGTGGAGCCATGGTTGGGACGTGTGACTAGGGTCGCTGGAGTAAGTCCATTGATAGTATTAGATGCATGTTTAGGCTAATCTAAGAGAATGTAATATAGGAACGTGTAACTACGTTGGTTCGAAATTCGCTGCGACTGGCTCACCGGTCTCGAGTTTGGCGAAGTGTGCAAATCGACTATTTTATGGGTCTATACAGGCCCAAAACCCGTCGACAACAAGAGATCGCAGCATTTCAAACGTACACTCGACTTTCGTCTGATTTTTGTGAAGTTGTAAGGAGGAATGATATGGAGGATGATCGCAACGGCATACGATCACTTTTTGTGCAAGCGGTCGGCATGGACGTTGACGAAACGATGTTTTTCGATGGTTTTTTAAATAATCTTTACATTCATGTAACCGTACTTCGAGCGTTTAACTTATAGTTGATTAAAGCTTCCGATAACCCTTTGCGTGTGTGCGTGTTTTCTTTTTGCTTCGTTTATAAATATTGCTTTCGTCAATCTATCTTCCGGACATTAGTCCTGCATGCTGAAACTTTTACTTTTTTAGGAGCAACGGTAGTCTTTATTCTCTGTATTGATCTAGGTAGAAGGCATGAGCTTCTTCCCATTTAGCGACGAGGTTATCCCTGTCATCTTGTGCTGCATTGCGGATGATGTTGGGGACAGCATACCAAAAGGCGTCGTCGTACTGATTAATGGACGTGTTAGAGTGATTCTATTGTATGCAATTTATGCTGACTAGAAGATGGGATCTAATCAGACATAGTATTATTTTAGATTGCGCTTGTATGTAGACCACCCAGCTGTAGTTAAAGCATACCGTCCTTTGTGCAGCAAGTAATTGGTATGTATGGCCATTGTAGTCATACGCTGAGATGTTGGAAATATAATCGCACCTTGTTATTAACGTGTTTTGTTGTAGGATGATGCAAGAAGCAACAAGAGATTGTATCACAACTTCAAAACGAGCATACATGCTATACAATGTCCCCAAAATACCAATTGTTGAAGAACGCTCCTTTGCATGACTTGTCTTAGCTTATCCTTTTCATGATTGATCATTAAACATGTACATAAGAGACGTCACTGTTGTACCACATAATCACTTTTTCCAAATGCAATCCACGTGACACATATACGCACACACATAAACATTCTCTTTTGACGCCAATTGTATGTGGTTTTATTGGAACATTGAACAATCCACAAGTTGAAAAGCTTAAGCCTTCTTGGCAGGAGCAGGCTATGTAATCCATGATAAGTAAAACATGACCCTTTCATCTCCCATCCTATACACATTCCATTATTACCTTGGAAGACTTCTTAGCGTCCTTGGCAGCTTGACGGGCAGCAGCACGAGCTTCAGGCTTCTCAGTACGCTTAGCACGGATTTCTTCCCAGGAGGCACCAACAACGGCACGCTCGTGCTTGACAGTGCGGCGAGTGCGCTTGGCACGGACCTCAACAGAGATACCCTTCTTGTTGACACGACGGTAGATTTGGGTCCATCGGATCTTACGGGGGCTCAAACGCTGCAAAAAGTACGACTCGGTCTTACCGTTGATGAAGCGGAAGGTCTAAATAGAAAATAGAATGTCGGTCATTGGCTGCTGCTATGTGTATATCGAATGGAATAAAGGAACCCAAATGCTTACTCTATAATGCAATGTATACCAATGAGTATTCATACATGTGTGTCTCTCTCTCTTTGTATCATTTACCTGCTGTCGCTGCGAACAAACACCTTACCCTTGGCAGGGTAGATCTTGTAGCCTGAGAAGGAGCAAATCTCGAGCCTATTCATTGTATGTCTCTGGGTCAATCATCCATTTTCTTAATCGATGCATCCATCCGCATAGGCATCCATCCATGTATCGTTTTGTGTGTTGCCATTCGATATCTCGTGTGGGCGTACGTACTTCATCTTTCAGTCAAATGTACAGAAGGGAGGGCTTACTATGGTCAGCGAGCTGCCTAATTTTTAGCATTTCGCTCTCCCCCAATGCTTCCGACACAATGATTGGCTCGCTCCCCTCTCTCACTCTCTCAATGTGGTGCACGGCCTTTTAGATGATCTCACACACAATCCATTCACTACTTTAATAAAGAATTCGGGTTCTAATATTGGTACGGGTAGCAACAATGGTATTATGAAGGGTCAACAGCTGTTCTTCAGAGACTTGGGCAATGTCGGTCATAACATAGCCAATGTTGCCGTGTGAATCCGAGTATTGCTTCTCTACGTTACGATGTGCAAATATTTCATTGATTTCCTATAGATAGCATGTATAGTGTGTGATGGGATATAATACATTTATCAGTCACTTTTATACTTTTGATATATGAAACCACTCCTTTTTCTCCCAAACGCTCGAGCAATCCCATATCTCCTTCCTCACACTACTCTTCTAGTCTACTCATCCACTATTGCAGCACATGTAGGATTTCCCCATCCTTCCTTCCATAGCTCTACCTCTCATTGTCCAATTTCCCACCATGCCCCAATGTATGTATATATATATCAACGCACCCTTAAAACGCCAGGAACGTTCTGGTGGACATGCAAGACGCGTACAGTGCCGTTGTCACGTTCATCAATGGAGCGGAGTGCCACTTCTGGGAAATTGACAGCACCCATGGATGAGCCTTGATTGACATACTTGATGAGAGCAGCAGCTACTTCACGACCAATCTTGTTTTGTGCTTCTTCGGTAGAGCCGCCAATGTACGGTGTCAGGATCAAATTGGGGCAATCGTAAAGATCGGGATACTCGTCAAATTGGTGAGGACCATTGGATACAGGCATGGCGGGATAAACATCAATGGCAGCACCAGCAAGATGGCCTGAGCGTAAAGCATTTACCAGAGCAGGGATATCCACCACACTACCTCGTGCATTGTTGATCAGATAAGCACCCGATTTCATGGCAGCGAGCCGATCCTCATTCATCATGTGCCGTGTTTCATCACATTCAGGTACATGCAACGATACGAAATCAGCCAATCCCAGTAATTCATCAAGCGTATCCACTTGGCGTGCACTCCCCAATGGCATGATTTGCACCACATCGTAGAAAAAGACTTGCATACCAAGCGATTCCGCCAACACAGAGAGTTGTGCTCCCACATGGCCATAACCAACAATGCCAAGGATCTTGCCACGGATTTCAAAACATCCTCGTGAGACTTTGTTCCATACACCACCATGCATCTCTCGATTACGGTCGGCCAGTTGTCGAGCAAGGGATATGATTTCACCAATCACTAATTCTGCCACAGATCGTGAATTGCTGAAAGGAGAATGGAAAACAGCAATCTATATGGAAGAATAAGCATGCATGCAATAACAACAACAAATGCACTATTACTTACGCCCTTGGATGCAGCTGCATCCAAATCCACTTGCGTCGTGTCAATACAAAAACATCCAATCACCAACAAGTTTTGAGCCTCGTCGAGTATTTCCTTTGGAAGCTTGGTCTTGGAACGGATACCAATAATATGCACATCTCGGATCTTGTCCTTCAGCTCGGTTGGGTCTAATACACGAGGACACGTTTCCACCTTTGTAGATACACATATGAGTATGGCTGTATAGAGAAAATGACGCGCATTTACATACCTGGTATCCTGCTTCTTGAAAAGCTTGTGTGGCCACATGACTGATATTCTCGAGAAGAAGCACCTTGATTTCTGAAGTATTGAAGGGTCGTAACACTTTAGCTTTTGGTGCTGCTGAAGACAATGATGATGATCCTCGTCTCCTTGAAGGTATTGGTGATAGGTCAGATTGTGTTGGGATGTTGTTGTGGTGGTTGTCTTGGATACTGGAGGTGGTTGTTGTGCTGACCATGGTTTGGGTAAAAAGAAAAAAGAATATCAATGGTATATATGGGCGTGAAGAAAAAAGAAGAGAAAAAGAAATGCCTACCTCGACCTTTCCCCCAAAAGTGATCCTTGGATACGAATCAATCCCCGCAATTGGGGTAGTTGCTGGTTACACGCCAAGCACATGACAGCATAAATCTCGCCAGGTATCAGTGCACGATGGTCTCCAGAAGCTTCCTCAGCTGGTACGTACAACAAGATGCTCAACTCTAGATGATATCTGATTCCCATCTCATCGATGATGCCATCCTGCCCTTGTTCAATTGCTGTTGCTGCTTCACATCTCCAATCGTCAACGAGTTGTTGTTGTTGTTGTTTTTGTTGAATAGGGCGGGTGCTCTTCTGTACAATTGGATATCACCACACCACTGATGAATGTGTTGTCAAGGATGACATTCATGTCAATGTACACGGCATATTCGGATCTGTTGCAATCTTTGATACGTTTTGTGCTACTGTTGCCATGGCTCCCCAAAGATATAGGCTGATGATGTTGATATGCTTTCATTCCCCCATACAATCGTTTAGCCAATAAAACACCAACTCGAATATAGCGATAGCAGGTATAATGATTCGTTGTCGTGGGTGCCACCTCGTATCCAAGAAGCTGCTCATGTAAAAATCGACCACTGCTATCACTGAGTATAGCAGGAACTGCTGGCTACAATAGCGTGATGATGATATGCCTTTGCAACTGCTTTGGGCATTGTTGCACCGATCGATGGTGATGACGGCCATGTGTTGTATGAGCCTTGGGCTTGCAATCACCAGTATAGACGCGATCGTGTCAAACTTGCTCGATCAAAGTGAAACAAGGTTCATCGTGTTCGGGTGGCGTTGCCTAATCATATGCAAGTGGCCAATGTACTTGAATCGGTGCTCAATGATAGAGGATAGTGTCGCATGGGAAGAACAAAGAAAACGAAAGGCGGCGAAAGCTGCAACTTGGTCAAGAACTGGATCCCGCCACTCCACTCTAACAACGTGCAGCACCATATACCACCCACCCTTCTATACAACAACCATGGATTGTATTATGTAATCCCACGTGTGATGAAAAGTAATTCATGCATCGCACTTGGCCAATGCCACCTTTATTCTTTCGTACATGATCATGCAACAGCCATATGCCATCCAATATCCAAGTCATTCATTCCACCAATAAAAAGACCACTTCAACACCCACACCTTCATTTCCGCCATGCCTGGATACTCATAAAGCTGCACTATCGTATTTGCTATTTCTGGCAAATTAGATCCATGTCCACTGTTTTGGGTCCATTACTGCCACCAAGCTTGTTCCTTGAATTGCCGTCATTTTGTACCACGATATGCTATACGTAGCCAGGTCGTTGATCATGGCTATTGATCATCATCATCATCATCCTTCTTTTTACATTTTATGAGGGATCATCCAAAGCAGGAGAACAAAGAAACAGTGAATTGGGAGTATGCAGAGAATAGTCCCCGTGACACAAACAGGTGCCATTCATCGCTTTTAATAGTAGTCTGCATATACGTTCGCATTCAGAGGTCGCCGCTTGCTGGTAAATGGTAGCACAGTCCGACACAATGGGATATCAAACAACAATCAATTTATCGAATGCTAATATTAAGAGCACGCTTTCTTTGCTGCTCACAGAGAGCAACAAAGAAAAAAGGTAATGGTGTGGGACATGGATAATTACATTTTCATGTGCTTTTCTTTTGTTACGTCTGTATTAGATCACTGTGGGAAATCAAGATAGAGAGCGCATCTATACCCGATTATAGGACGATGCGGGCGGGACACACACACACACTAGCATTGTGGAAGAATTGCCTAAAAACAAGCAGAACTTATGAAAACTTCCCGCGTGGTACATGTCGAACCAAAAAGGAGAAGCTGCGAGATTTGACAGTGCAGCTCAGATGCATTCATTCCCATATGCCTATTTTTTATTTGTGTATGTGTGGCTTCATCATCTCTTGGCAAAATGGAAAAGGGTTGTTGTTATCGATACCCTTTTGGCTTTCCATGCACAATCCCCTGTTGTTGGTTCATGGCATCATCATTCATCCATTCGAACAGAGATGTGTTGCTTGATATAGTTTAGCTAGTTTCACAGCAACTCCTCTCATCACCAGTGTTTAGGTAAGGAACATGAGTCAATCTAGAGTGTCACCTCCCGAAATTTGAACTTTGTGTCACCGCTGGGATTCTCCACCATCATCATTGCAACTCCCATTCGATCGCACATCCCACCCCCAACCACCCTTTTATACATCATCAATGAGACAAAGACGTATGTTTTTTTTTCACTCGTTGTATTGTGTGTGCCCAATACGAAGAAGCTTAAACGGCAATGACAAGGGTTACTACATCAAAAACAGGATTTCTTAAACAACCGTCAAAGAGCAAGTACGGCTTGTATGAAGAATAAAGTGGTTTGCCGTATCGCTGATGATGAAAAGATTGTCCATTATTAATCACGACGGTAAATAGGGGTGGAGGAGTTTTGACGCGGACAATTCTATGATCCAATGGTGCTCGCTAGAAAAGACATCATGAAGGAACGCTTCTGGTCACGGACCATCAACAACTGGCACTATCGAAACAACGTGGTCCCGAGTTCCCATCAGTTGATGGCATACACCAATGATGCTGTTATATCAATTTCGTAGCCACCGCCCATCCCCCCGCTCTCTCTGATAAATGTCAACTCTCTCTCTTCCCTAATTGAGAAGTTTCTACTGAAAAAAGCGGCATAGCTTTCACTTTCCTCTCATTCTTTTTTTCACTTCTCTGTACTTTCAACGACCTGTACGAATACACCTCTTCCTCTCACTCTCATTCTCGTTCCCAGTGCGTATATGTGTGAGCAGTTTATTTTTTATTCCTGCTCTCTTCTCGCATATACCTATAGCCCTGTTGCTTGCACAACCTATTTTTCGTGTTGATGCTTTTACCAACAACAACCAACAACTCGTCATCATTTAATAACTCTACCAACGAGAAACGATCAACTGAAATGGGATCCCAAGATACAAGACATAGTAAGCGTCTCAAAGTGGGAAGAGCGTGCTATACTTGTCGTGCCAAGAAGATCAAGGTAAAGCCTTAAAAACGTCATCATCATCCTTTCTTCTTGTCGCTTATCCCCTCCACTCGATTGATTTCATTTCAACATGCATCATATAAAAAAGAGCTGGTACCTAAATGCGACAAGAAGCGAGCGAAAGAGAAAGAGAGAGAGAGAGAGAGACGTTGACGTTGATGGGATATGAGATGGGTTGCTAAAATAAGCTTGTGGTTTTTTAGTGTGACGGATTACGGCCTTGTATGCAGGTAGATCTAGATACCGACACCGTTTGCATTTGTGTTGTCTGATCAACCATGCTTTTCCATGCGTATATACTTGTTCTTTCTTTGTACCTATGGGAATATCTCTACAACAGTGTAAAGGTAACACTTTGTCATCATTGACACGTGTTTTTTGGATCTGATAAATGCAATCCTTTTTTATCTAGCACGGGGTCGACCATGCACGTTTTACAAAGATGGATCGTTTGATCCAGATCAGGAAGCGGGTGAAGATGTAGGAGCAACACAACTGTCACAAGAAGGCAATTCATCTGCTACTGCTGGTGCTGGTGCTGCTGGTGCCACTGATCAACAACATGGCAACAATGAAGATCCACAAGAATCATGTTTTTTGTTTGCTGATACCAAAGATAGCAATTACATTCGCAACAAACGACGTGGCCCACCACTTGAATCACGTACTAGCAATACGCTTGCATCACTTGGCGAGGGGTTGCGTAAAGTCAGCTTGTACGAGACGCACACAGGCAAGGCATTTGCTGATGCTGAACCTTTTGGTAGCTTTATCAAATGGATTGCAGAGCCACCGTTGCCTGGACGATACGCAGGATCGATCGAGATGCCTTCCCGCAAAGTACAAATGGAAATGCTCGAATACCATTTTAGTGAGAATTACGAGACGATGCCAATTATTCCCAAGCGATACTTTTTTGATCAACTCAAGTGCAAAGGTCCATTTATTACGCCACTCTTACTCAATGCTATCTATGCCCAAACAAGTCGATACATCACCAGCGACGACGAATTGCCAAAGTCAGAAGTCTTTTTCCATCGAGCGAAACGATTGTTGGATGATTTCATGGATGTTCCTCGTGTCAGTACAGTGGTTGCATTATGCTACATGAGCTTGTACGAATCACGGCCATCGTCAACACAACGTAGTGGCAGCCCGTATTGTCGATCATGGATGTACAGCGGAATGGCCTATCGGATGTGCCTCGAATTGGGTCTGCATAATCAAAACAATGTTGCCAGAGACTTGTCACCCATTGAAATCGAGTTGCGTAAAAGGGTGTATTGGTCTTGCTATTGCCTCGACAAGTTGCACAGCACAGGATGGGAACGACCGTGGATGCTATCAACAACAATGACACAAACTGATCTACCAGGTCCATTACCAGAAGACGATGAAGAGGAGCAGCTCATTGTTCAAGGACTTGTGGAAAAGATCAAGTACGCACGTAAAGGAGAGGAAGCCATGACCATTGTAGCAACGCATCGGCCCATGGCAGCAGCAGCAGCAGCAGCAGCAACATTCCATCGTGGCGGCGCGTCTTCAGAAGCGAGCAACAGCAACAAGCATCCAGAAAAGGAGAAGGTGGAATATTTTCAGAATCATTATTGGGATATTCTTCGTGGGTTACCTCCTGGGTTACAATGGACACCCATATCAGCAACATCGCCTGAACAAGTGCTGCAGCTACCAGCACCAAGACCGCTTGTTGCTCATCTACACTTGCAGGTGCTCCATGGTCTCCTTGATTCCTATTTTCGATCTCCCGATAATTCATACAATCAATTACAACGGCGTATCCTGGCAACGTGTATCACTCAGCTTGTGCATTGCATGTGTGATCGTCCAGCTTCAGTCATCAAGTTTGACGTTTTGATTCATATGCTCCTTTCAGCCACCAAGGTCCATGTGAGACATTTATACAACAGCGATATGGATATTGCACGTCATGCGTGGGCTATGTTTGATCGCTCTATTCTTGCTATTCATCGCCTGCGAAAGTATGCAACCATTCCCAACAGTGCAAAGTTCTTACAACATCTTGGAAGCAGTGTAGAAGGTTATGAAGTCCCACATGAGATCCTATCATCCGCCATGTCTTCAGAACACCCTCCTCCTCCATTACCACCTGTTCTTGCAGCACCCGATGATGGCTCATGTACAGCAGCAGCAGCAGCAGCAGCAGTGGCAGCAGTGGCAATGTCTCATCCACCACCTCCACCACCACCATTGACAATGTCAGGGTTAATGTCATCATCGGATGATCTTCATACACTTGGGAGTATGTACATGCATAAACCACCATCCAGCATACCAACGAAAGCAATCAGCCAACCACCACCTACGTCTACAACAACTACAGCAGCCTCCAGCAGCACCAATTTGATGGAACCTTATAGTGGTGGAGATGATAGTGGATACGTTGTACTTTCCATGAACCAGCAGGACTGGAACCCAGCAGCACCAACCATCATTTCTAGATCACCACCTTCTCCTTCACCAGCACCACGTACGACTAGTACAATCCATCATCATCAACCATTCATGCTAGATCATCAACATCAACCACATCATCAGCATCAGCATCATCAACATCAACAACAACACCTTGCAACCACGACGACGTCTTCTGATATCATATCTGCTACCAACATGAGCAGCCATGATTCCACAGCAACAGGGATGATCCATTTACGACAACCCAACGACAATCCTCCTCCATCCACTCATTCTCGACACCACCAGCATCATCATCAACATCAACATCAACATCATTTATATACGTCACCAAGTACGTCTCAACCTCTCACATCGCAACACCACGATCTATATCATTCTCAAGTACTATCACAACAACAAGAACAAGAGCCATCTGTATGGGATTTCGAGCAATAGGAAACACAATGAAATACACATACACTCCATGTACTATATATTATTCATTTTAATTGCTTCATTTGGCTTCGCTTCCACCCATCCCCCATCGTCTTGTGTCCAGAATTTTGATTACATCTGCTTTTTTCTTCTTTGCTGTATATGTAAAACCATGTCCTGATACTTGTTGCAAGGGATCATAGCCTAAATCCATTTCGTACATGCTGTAATAATGTATCCGAGATGCTCTCTTTGTTGAGAATGGGGTGATGATGATAACCTAAAAGCGACTCTGATTTTGCAATGCAGGGTACCAGTTGCTTTTCAAACGGGATATGCCGATACTTTCCCGCCGATGCATAATGTGTAACTCTAATCATGCATCCTTGTCAAATCCATTTTGACATTTGTGTGTGTGTCATGAACAAAGATACGCTATCGCTTGCACGTTTTATGGCAATGATCCATAGCTGCTTTGGTATCATGCGAGCGGATGAGTTATCAAAGATGTCGCATTGCGTAAAGACGCTTTTTAAAAGTACTTTGTTGAGGAGGATGGGCGATTAAACACATGTACGTAACGTGCTTGCTCGTGGCATAATGTAAGGTGTTGATTGGGTTTATGCGTTATTGGATTCCCATTTTGACATCCATCATCTTGGCATACAACAACCTTTCCCCGGAATTGATACGGTTGGTAAGCAATCTGCGTGCATGGTAATGAGGCTTATTATGCATTACAAAAATGATTTTTTGGAGTTCCCTGGTAATCCAACGTACGTCGCTTCATTTCTTATTCCCATTTTCGTTACCACTACTACTACTAGGTTCTTCTACACCACCACCACCACCATCACCACTTCCTCCATGGATCGAGCTGAAGAAGAAGCAATTGAACAAAAACACTACCATCAACAACAAACAAAATACGAGCACCATCCACCATCAAAACACGATCTAAACGACAATGATGATATCTCGGTCATCATTGATACTACAGCTGGAGGAAACAAAGACATTACCAAAGAAGACATGCCTTCACGTCATGTCCATTTTCTAATGGCTCATCGCTACAATGACCACCCTACCGATGGCAACGGCAGCCATGATGATAATAATGGGACTTGGTCCAATGTCCTCTTGTCTGGTTTAGCACCCCTGGGACAACAAAAATCACCAGCCGTATGCATTTGGATCCTTCTAATTATGGTACTGGTTGCCATTTCTGGAGAATTGCTTTGGAGCAAAGAAACTGCAGGTGAGTCCCCCACCAAGAACAACCATCATCATCATCAACAATGAAATGTGAGCTAATCATCCTTGTTGTAGGTGAATTTTTGGAATTGGATCCTTTCAATGTCATGTTTGGGCCTTCCATACAGGTAACCAGAGGAGGAGGCGCCAGCTTTTTGGATGATAATGATAGTAGAGCTGATTTGAGAGAGAGAGATGTTTAGGTGCTTGTACAATCGGGGGCACGATATCCACCATGCATGTTGAATTCAACCCATATGCCACCCACACGTCGTTATATTTGCATCAATGCCACCACAGCAGCAGCGATGGAGACGATGCCGGTTTCATTGTTTGATCCTGCTTTGCCACCCAATGAAACAACATCCCTTGTTACAACACCCTCCACATGCAGCCTTCAAGATATATGTGGATTTGGAGGATTTTCCAATCCAAGGACTCCTGATCAAGCTTTTCGGTTCCTTACGCCCTTGTTTGTGCATAGCGGTCTCCTCCATTGTGCTGTCAATTTGGCAGTGCTCATGTGGATGGGGATAAAGCTTGAACGATTAATGGGCTCTTGGAGGTTTATAGGTAAGGAAAGAGGGGATCATCCATCTTAAAACCCCATTCTAATACATGGTACTACAACAACAACAACAACAACTACAGCCTTATACTTTTCCACAGGCATCTTTGGCAATGTCTTTGGGGCCAACTTTGCTCCTCCTACTACACGTATGTGTGTGTGTGTGTGTGCATATGATATTAACGTACAAAGCCATTAATGAACAACCCCATACATAGCTTCCTCTGGATGTAGTCCAGCATTATTTGGTCTTTTGGGTAGCTTGTATATCGACCTCGCTTTTCGATGGAAGCTTGTGCAGCAACCGCTTCGACATTTCATCAAATTAATAGGATACACAAGTAGGTGGTGGTGTGGATATTGACATGAAGGTAAAACTCAGTACTCATCCCATCATGCAGCTCTCGGATTTGTAGTCCTTGATTTGCTTCCAGGGTAAGTAATGACCATGACCGACAACTCTATGTGACTCACGTCGAATACTATGTAGAGTGGATAGCTTCTCAAACATGGGAGGCTTTTTGGCTGGTCTTGCAATGGGGTTATCCACTGTGCCTGCAGAACCAATGAACAGCAAACGGTCCTTTTTGATGCTTTGGGCTGCTCGTGGTATCACTTTAATAATCATGTTCATCTTGTTGGGAGTTCTTCTCAATAACTTTTACGGCGAGAATGGTCCGGATGAGGTATTTACTACTAAAAAAACATGACATCCTTTCGACAACGTACTAATGGATGCCATCTTAGTTTTGCACCTATTGTCAATATATATCATGCTTACCCATCAATGGCTTTTGCTCCCAACAAAAGAAATAAAAAACTGTATTATTTACCAGCATGATCGTGGAGTAGTCGAAATCCTTATGTCACCTACAATTTCATTTCAACTCCCGCCTGGGGATGAAGCGAAAGGCAACTTCTTTGTAGGTGACATAAGGATCTCGTTTCTTTGATTTTATTACACGCATTCATTGTCGTCATGGCAACCATCCCAATAAGGAAAAGATAACCTGTACACCAGGAAACGAGCATCCTTTGCTGCTTTCAAAGAGCCATCCTTACCAGATCCATCATCAAGTGTTTATTGGAGCACACGCAACAGCCATCATCATGCAACCTAACGCCTTTGGATCACACCACCTAGGAAACCACCCACATGGCTAACCCCCAACAGATGTTTATCACTCTCTTTGTTAACACTGATATTTAAATGACCACAATATACATAAAAGGAAAGACGTTGTTATGTTCACTTTACTCGCACACTTCTTTTATCTATCATTCATTCGTGCATTTCTTTATCTATCATTCATTCATTTCTGCATCATCACTAACAGATACCTAATCACTCTTTTCTCTTTGTGAGCATGTATTCATGATGCCCATGTAATAAAAAGAGTGGTTGTCGCTACCCGTCATACCTCTCACGTCTGTTTCCACGATCGTAAATCTTTTGGATCGTTTGCACTGACAACAAAAGCCCGCACGCGTTTTTGACATAAACCAAATTTCACGCGGAGGCCCCGTCCTTGTATTAATACCACCACCCTCTTTCTACCATTTTGGGAACACCATGCTTCCTCGATCCCTCTTTTCTGCTTCTTCATTGAAGTATGGTCAATCCTCAGAGGGCCACTCAGGTCGTTAACGTAGTTGTCCTTTATTTAATGACGACGTCAGCTACTGACATTGCACTGGTTTATAGATACAGAATCACATAGCAGCAACATGCCATATGCAAGGAGACCCACCACCCATGACGATCCACCCCAAATACGGCGTCCAGGTGCTTCAGCAAAGTCACCAATGACCATCGATTCCGAGAATGAACAATATATCAGCGGCGATTCGGTGAGCCTTGTTGGTAGCAGTGACGACGACGACGACGGCAACTCCATACCGAGCAACTTACAAGGGCTGATGCATCATGTAATAATATATATTGGTTTTACTATGGATGGAGTATTGACTCGTGGTTTTCTATCAGCTATCTCGTTTACAAGCCAAGCAAACATTGTACATTGAGAAGACGCAAGAAATCAGTCGACAAATGCAAGATACCAGTGCCAAAATTGCTGAATTAACTGGCATGTCACTACACCAACGACCAAGTAGCAGTAGCAGCAGTAGTAGAAGGACTGAGTAAGTTGAGCAATTTGGGATCCATGTCAAAAGGATTGGGATTGATCATTTGATGGTGATAGCGCACGACCTTTGAAGCATAAAAAGGCGGTCTCACAGCAACAACAACAACAACCTCGAGCGTTACCAACACCCTCCGCAGCACCATCATCATCATCATCATCATCAACAACAGCCACAATGAATCAATCATCACCCTGGAAACGGCCGCAATTAGCCAAACGCACTGGTGGATCACAACCATTACCCGCTCCAAAAGCACCTCGCAATGATTATTATCAGCAGGAACGACAAGTACAACATCGTCGATCATCAAGGGATATGATTCAACCGGTACGCATACATGCAACAACCATCTTCTCCAAAATAAGGGTATCTAACAAGCCATTGATATAGAAAACGAGTACCGTTCCTTCAGCCCGTCATGGACGTATCATCAAAAGTGAATCACTGTCACCTTCTCCAGAGTCCACATCCCCATCTGCTGCCGAAGAACAAAGTGGCATCAAGCTTCGTTCTCGTGACACTTGCGATCTCTACTTACACAGGAACCAGGATGTGAATTCGGGCGTATTCGGCAAAAAACCTCGCAGCCTTATATACAACATTGCTGATGGACAAGGAGAATTGAAAGATTTGATGGTTACTACGACCTTGAAAGGGTAAGTAATAATTTTTGAAACTTTTCGGATGGGCTCGTATTAACACACATCTACAATGATAGAGACATGCAATTATGGTAATTGGGATAGGTATATGTGTGCTCGTAGAAAGCAAAACTAATTCTTTGCTCTTGTGTTGATAGGAACGCATCCACACGAAAGTAAGTATACGTGAGCTCATTGTATCCATTTATCTTTATGCTGATGCGGTTTGCCGCTTTAGGTTGATCAAAACCATTGGTCAAGAGTCTATTTATCCTGATAGTTGGATCGAAGAAATATGCTGGGCAACCAAGAACACGCTCGCACTCTGCAATGTTCGAGCAAGCACGCCTTCAGAAAAGGAAAACGCCACTGTATCCTTACTTCACGTGGATTCCGTTTCAAATGTAATTAAGCTCCTTATTTTCATGCTTTGGCTTTCATCACTCATGCTGTCTTTGATAGACTGATGTCAAATATCGATTACAACATTTGGAAGAGTCACCTCATACAAAACCTATTGTGACGATTGCACCTGTGGATCTTGGAGCAACTGGTTCAGCTGGAGTAGAACGAGCCACCTTTGTCACGGGAGGTAGCGATAAGGCTGTTGTAAGTGGATCTATGGAACCAAAAGAAGAGAGCGGTATGCTGACATGCAACTATGCTAGTATTTTTGGGATATCATACGCGATTCACCGGATGAAGACTTTGCACTTTCGGATGTCTCGAAGTTGAACATCAACCATACCAATTATATTCAGACCTTTTGCTATGATCAAACGCATCGAAAGTTATTCACGGGTGGTGCCGATTGTAAGATGTTTACCTATGACATGATCTCGCAAAGGGTGTCCACTGAAATGAAAATTTCATGTCGGGTAAGAAGCATGGCAAATCTTCCACGTGGGCTTATTGGATACTGATGCAAAGATCCTTGGTAGATCAATCACATCTTGGGTAATGCGGCGGATCCCAATCTATACATGTTGCTGTAAGTGTGTGCGTCTAGGATACGTTTGTATGCAAAAGATGAATGACATTCAACTTGGAAATAGGACGGCCAACACAAGCAACCAATTTAACATGTACGATCAACGCATGCCGGGCATGAGAGGGATCGTCTTGGATTTCGGATACAAGGTTCCAGAGAACTTATCACGATACATTCGCCCCGATTGGCACCAAAATGGATACATGGTCGCATGTGGAAGCCAAACAGAATCCAAAGTGCATTTCTGGTATGTCTTTTATGATCGATCTTTCTATATAGCTTTCTCTCTCACACACTTTTCTCAGGGATATTCGTTATAGTGGAGTGGATCGTGGACCATGCTTTAGTTTCAATATTCCTAACACTTCTCAATCAAGGATCTTGGCATCTCTCTTTATTCCCAACCAAAACACACTCGTCACAACCTCATCCACAAGAAATTTAGGCTGGATAGATTACTCAATTCAACATGACTCCCGAATTCATACACTCTAAATACAATAATATTGAACCAATAGACATCCCAATTTTTCTATGTAGCGTTGTTTATGTGGACTTGTTATTGATTAAATCTTTCACCAAACGTTCTAAATCAAACAAGTGGTCGTCACGTGCTTCAGGGGATATTTCTCGTAATGCTTCGGCCAAATTCAACAAGTATTCTGCATTCCATCCAGAAGGACCTTTTAAAATGAAAGGATGAGTATCAAAAGAGAAAAGGGTGGTAGAGGATCGATTTACCATAAGTCTCGTAAACTTGTTTTGCAATCTGTTCCAAAGGTGCAGGGCCAACGTATGCTTCATTGTCAGTGGTTGCAATATAAACAAGTGCCTAAATAAGAGCCGATGTGAGTTGAATCTCGTCCCCCGGAGTATCATCCATATTAGCATTACATCTTTCACAGCGGGCTTTTGATCATCCTCGGCGCTGTAAATATCCACCGTATGCACCGTGTATCCATTCTACGTATCACAATGCGGCGTCAATTCTCTGCTTTTTATCACCCTTCCCTCTTTTCATTACCTTTTCACGATGATCAAGGTATGCACGAGTTGCTTCCGCATCACTGGATGGAATCTTGAAAGCGACACCCCATGTCACATCATCATGGCCATGCTATACTTGGATGTTAGACAACAATGCTTATGTCTCTTTTTCAAATAACATTACCACATCCTCAATTGTTTTCCATTCATCAACGGGAATAAGGGTTACGACTCGTCCTGGCTTTTCGGGAGTGCCTCGATGATCTTCGCTATGCTGCAAGCAAATGAGTCCTATATACACTTTATCATGCCTTGCTTGTCATACCTGCCAAAATCGACGAACGTAATTCTTGATGTAGCCAATAACCCTGTTGCATGTTATAAGTAACCATGGGGCTGTCCAAGCAAAGAGAAAGAGAGAGAGAGTTACTTTGATTCGTAATGAATGGGCGGCTTCCAAATGAGAGAACCATAGCCAAAGACCCAGATGCTTTGATCGGCTGTCTCCTTGATTACAGCATCGACCTGATCGGAATGAGCTTCTTTTTCAATAAGAACGTTGTGAGGATCGTTGTCTTGATGTTCAGGAACCACCATAGTGTAGGATATGTGTATAAAGTAGAATAAGGAACAATCCGGATTCAGCCGCTTCAGCTGTCTTTATGTCATTTCAGTAACACAAGGCCAAGGGGTAGCTTTTATGCATCAGCTACCTACCTGCCATTACACCGATGTGATAAAATGCCGGGTTTATATATCACTCTTGACTTTCCTCGGTAGATTCACAATAAATAATGGAGATGTGCATTCATAGTAAATGATAACAATGGGTAGCAAAAAGGACATTACTTTGACAGTGAGATGATGCTGCATATACAGAGTAGCAAGTGGGTTGTTTATTGCCCAATCTATCTATCTCAATTGATAATGATGTAAACGACTAGTCATTTGGAATCACCCCATTCGCCATGGATATGGCATCATTGTTGTTGTTTATTTTTCTTTTTCCTTTTCTTTTGCCATCCCTGAGGAAGACGATAGATAATCAGGTTCTTGCCCATTGAGTAGTACGCCCACCTTTTTGCTGTTGACAAGAAGAAGGAGAAGAGATGATCCAAAAAGTCGCCTTAAGCCTATGGTCGTGCTCTATGACATTAGATGTAAATGCTCGGAGGAGCGTTACTGCCGACATTAGACCACAACGAATTGAATTGACGCTCTGTGGCATCATTGCCATGGCAACCAATCTAAATTTCTCTTTTCTTCTTTGGTATCTTTCTGCGTCCCTTTTTTTTACTCCACTACTACCCCCACTATACCTACATAATGTCAGCCATTGCCCAAGGCATTAAGGAGTTGGTCAAAAAGTCCATTGCGGACAACAGTGTCATGGTACGTTTGCGAACATTGCGATGCTAGCGGGTTCAGGGGCCAATGACCTTTTACTAGTTGTTTAGCAAGAGCTACTGTCCCTATTGCACTGGTGCTAAAGACTTATTTGAGGATCTCGATGTCACCTACAAGGCTCTCGAACTCGATACACATGAAAATGGATCCGAGATACAAAAAGCACTCGCTGAAATGACAGGACAAAAGACGGTGCCCAACGTATTTATTAACAGCAAGCACATTGGTGGATACAGTGATTTGGATTCAGTATATCGATCAGGAAAGCTTGAAAGCTTGTTCAAGGATGCTGGCATCAAGTTCTCCAAGCTCTAAGACGTTGATAGATTCCATCTTGTATCATTACCCCATTTTTCAATAACGGACGCTATATTTCATTCATTTCAATACCGCATGGAGCTGCTTATAGTGACACAACATTGGGGGTGGGGCATTATTATGAGGAGGGATCAATCAACCACACGTTTCCTTAACAATGAAAAAAGATGTCTTTGTTGTATACAATGATACGTAAGATGAATACGGAAGGGTTCTATTAGTGGAATCAGTGGGAATAAAGAGACGATCATGGACATGGATAGGATGACGTGATAAAGATGTCAAACATTACTGGCTTGAAACAATGCAGACAAGGCGGCCGTTTATGGTAAAGATTGAGCACAACCCCATCAATCAATCTATTTCATTTTACACACAGAAATATACAGCGTTTCTTCCACTCTTTTATATACGAAGCAACCCATGACCGATGCTTCAGAACTCGAGATCATTGAAAATGCGCCTCCATTGCCGAACGAGAAGCCACGGATCGTCCATGGAAGAGTAATGCAAGCGTCTTCAACGGAACGCATGATTGCTGCATGTGGCGGTGCTCTTGTCACTTCGTTATTAAGTACGATCGCTCAACGGGCTTTGAGATCGCAACGAACTAACAACTTCTTTTGTTTAGTGACGCCTCTGGACGTAGTCAAGACTCGACTTCAAAGCCAAGAGATATCGGGTATACGACATTTGGATGGCACCTTGGTAAGGAAGGCTTTACATGGTTCAGTGGAGGCAGAGTGTACTTAGAGAGAATGGCTGCTTTATAGGATGGTCTTGCCAAGATTGTTCGTTATGAAGGCCCAGCAGCACTTTTTCGAGGATTATCAGCAGGGTTGGTCATGTCGGTGCCTGCTACAGTGACCTACTTTGTGGGATATGACTACATTCGTGATCACATTCAACAATCCCGGTTCAACGACACCATGTTCCATCATTATTCACCCCTTTGGGCAGGTGGTGTTGCAAGAAGTAGGTAAACTTTGAAAAGTATAGGAATTCAATCCATTGACATTGGGGGGGGATCTATTGGATAGCCGTGGCAGCAGCATTTGTCTCGCCTCTAGAACTTTTCAGAACAAGAATACAAGCAGCAGAAGGCTCTGAAGGATTTTCTGGTAAGCAAGCATCATCCATGCTATTATCTAACTCTTCTTAACGATCTTTATTTCCATAGCTGTTTGGAAGGGTATCACACAAATGGTTCAGCAAGAAGGACCTGCTACCTTGTGGCGTGGATTGTTGCCCACAATGCTACGAGATGTTCCATTTTCAGCTGTGTATTGGATGGGGTATGAAAAAGTCAAACACCATTTGAACACCAAGCATCATGATACCCTATCAAATTTCCAGACTGCCTTCCTCGCTGGTGCTTCTTCAGGCATGGTAAGTTTTTTGATCGTATGGTGTACGGGATCAAAGTCTGATATCGTGTGGATCTGCTACAATAGACAGCCGCCGTCTTGACACATCCCTTTGACGTTATCAAAACACAAAGACAAGTAAGCTGTGGCCATGATGCCCGTATTGGACGATTGATCCAAATGATCGCAACAACACAAGGATACCGTGGTTTCTTCAGAGGTAGGTTGAAATGAAAGGGAAAAGGAGAGAATCATGAGGCCTCATGTGTCGTGATGATGGTAGGTGTCGTCCCACGGGTCTTCAAAGTGGCTCCATCTTGTGCCATCATGATCTCCAGCTATGAAGTCGGCAAGCGCTTTTTCGCAGATCGACGACACATTGCATTTTCTTCGGCTAGCTGAACCTGTATATATACACACACGATAGATTCAAAAAATAGATTTTCATACTAGAAATGATGATGATTGTAGATGCTGTTGAAAAATAATCCTCTTTCCTCATAATTAAGCATTTGATTTGTTCGTTTAAATAGTACATGTTCAAATTTATCACTAGGAATGGGTATACGATGGTACTGTTGGTGTGGTTTTTTTTTTTTTGCTAACATGCACTGGAGCGCTCCAGCTCACTTTTGATATGTTGTGCTAGGGCCTGATGGACTGTGTACGTTGGGTGGAGATTATCTACATGGATCGACATGTTAGCTGATTCCCTTTTCTCTATAATAAATTGATGTCTCACCATTCCAAAAGTACCTAGAAGCATTATGAGTACGATTTCATCATTGCTTAATGGCAAATTTACTTACTGCTGAATTGGTAGTTTGCTGTCGGTGTCTTCCTTTTCGTAATAGCTGGTTGTATCTTGGATGCGGATTTGCTGAGGATTGTTCAAGTAATTGGAAAAGAGTTGATGAGCATCAATTTCGACAATTACTACATCTGTGTGCCGCTTTCGAAACTCCTCGGCATTATCGTGCAGCATTGTGTTGTACTTGCTGATTCGGTCAATTAGTACATCCTTATCGGGTGCAAATTTCGGCGTGCGATCCACCGGCGGCACGTTAATCATGACGAAGCGCCTGATGTTGCTTTGATACAAAGCTTCCTAACAAGCCAAGAAGCAATGAACTATGAGCAAATATCATTCTCAGCTTTATCATACTACTTACCATTTGAGCAAAGTAATCGCCAATATCCTTTGCGAAAAGATCCTCAATGTCGTCCTGTTTTCAACCATCATTGTATGTTAGCATCATTTCCCAATTCCTATTACCCGTGTCTTAGGGGCACTTACATTGTCGATGCTTTTGCTAATGTCATTGATGCTAATGTTCCAACGACGTTGCTATGATAAGTATGATTTGCATAAAGAAAAGGACACCAATTACTAAACTTACCCAAACCAAATGAATGATACGGCATTCGACGATTGGATGGAAGATACAACATGGTCTTTCCAAAGCTTGACCTGCTGGATGAAATCCGCAATGATCGGGCGCCATGGTTTCACAAGTTGGCTGTTGACAGTGGCACCATTGTACGCCATATTAAAAAGATGGATTGAGCAATCCTGTGGTCGCCCCTCGTAGCAACCAGTGATATACTCGCTCCAATTGGGGCCTGATGCTGTGGTCTGTTGTAATGTGTTAGATGGCATTGATATGTGTGCCCTTTACAAATCCACTTGCCTCGTTTAATATAATTGGATTGTTGCTGACAGCATCATCTGACTCAAAAAGGCTCCATGTTGATGATGACCCTTTTTCTCCACCAACAGCAGAATAGGAATCGCCAAACACAAAGCTAAATGATACATTGCGTTAAGAATTACATTGAGCCTTTCGGTTGAAGATACATACACCGTATCTGTTTTCTGCCAGCAAAAGGTATTAGGATCGCGTCGTATGGGAACAGCGGCAGCCGTTGTCATGACAACAGCAATATGACAAAAGAGTAGTATAGGCAACATGATGGGTATTTACACAGGTGAAGAAAACGGGTACAAAGGAAATCAATTGCCTCTTTTTTATATACACGATGCATTTTGTTCTGCACGCACTGCAGCAGGGGGCTGGGGGGCGCGATGTGGCCGCCCTGGTGTCGTAAGTTACACCTACTTGACGCCAAGGCTTCCATGTTTACCCATCGCACTAAAACAACGTATTTCCATGTATGGATAATTTATATAGCACCATTTCCAAAAGCACATTTTTATCAAGCATAGTCAATACATGCATGAAAATGAAATCATTAGCTAAACCAAGACAAGGTCCAACTACGACTACTTGAAAAGGAGAATATAGAGTACTCATGGATGGGGAGCTTAGATTCATCTCTAACAACAGCGGCGGTATGTATGTTTGCCCAATACATTCCCCCCTCTTCCTCCTCACCAATGTGTTTTGCATGCTTTGCTATAAAGAATGGATGTATGAATATCACTTTCTTTGGTCTTTGCGATTCGCTCGGTTATCATATCCATCCAAAAATTCAGCTGAATCATCCATCTTTGTCATTGTGATGTATTTCGTCGTTAACGTAACACTCCCTGCAGGGGGGTCCCAAACCAACAAGCGGTCAAACAAGTCAACGCCCCACTCACAAAACGCTCGTTGTGGTGCCTGTAATCCATCACAACAATCGTTGAATGTTATCTCGTGCCAAGTCATTGTATGATCCATCTCTTTTATTCACCATGGTGCTTCGTATGGATGAGCAACGTGCCGAACGCAACGTGAAATTGTTCGGGATATGATTTTTGGGCTTTGCCTACCTGGAGGTATATTAACCTAAATAACAATGCATCATGCACACCCTTGCAAGGGATAAGTTTAGCCCAAAGGTAGATCTATGGATCGTCTTTATGGGCTCTTCTTTGTCAGGCTGACCTAGTATTGACATGAGATCCACATACGCTATCGTGTTCTTCAACTTTGATTATAGGAGTGTGTGCTTGTCATATACTAGAACGAGGGATCTATGCTATACAATAGAGATTTTTGGCAATGCTGGATTATATTTATGCGTAGGATTCATTCCAGTGATCGGCTGAGTTGAATTAGGGTACATTTACAAGTACAAAGATGCGATGTCGTATTACCTTACTACTAGTCCTGGACATTGAATCATTATTTCTTCCCTATTCATATATGTAAGGCACAATGCTTTTATATCTGAAATCGGTGCTTCGTATCGCTGAATACATCGTACTTAAAATTATGCTATCTTTTGAACGTTCACACAGCCAAAAAGCAAGATTTTGCGCTATGCATCATATAAAAGTGGCCCAAAATCACGTGAATATCTTCTGAAGGAAGGTAAAAGTGAATTCTACCATCTGAATGATGGTTTAACATTGATTCCATCCGGGCTCGATCCGGAGACCTCCTGTGTGTTAGACAGGTGTGATAACCAACTACACCATGGAATCATGTTTCTTCCTTGTTTTTTCTGAAAAGCGAGTTCCTATATATACAACTCAACTTCCTAATAGGGAAAATCGACAAAAGTACCACGAAAACAAAGCTACGTAAATGACAAATTCGATGAAAAAGGCGCAATGGTATTTGGGAAGGTAGATGTTGGGCAATTTCAAATTAAAGAAGTTAACATTTTTCATTGGTCGGAGTTTAGGAGATGTTCGCCAGGATCAGCTGCATTGTGCGGTGCCTCGTCCAGCTTGTATGTAAGAGCAACTCGCGCTTTGAAGGCGAATGGGGCGCACACGTATAGCAGATGACACTGAAAATAGAGGATAAGCATTATTCAACATAACAAAGCGACACACGCTGGTCTTTACATATCATCTCTACTTATTCATACGCACGCATGATGTAATGTGAGCTGATCACATTTACATGCATCATCACACACATCTCTGGCAGCCTTCTATTTGCATACTAAGATACTATACACCCGATACCAGAATTAAGATATAAAAGCATCGGAGCATCGTCTTCAGAATTGACATCGTCTCAAAGAGACTCATTTATTCATCACAGCAAATAGCAACATGCAATAGTAAAATACATTTTACTATATACAAAGATACATGATAGCATCCATAACAATTACTGGGTGATGGGGCTTTTATATCGTACTACTATATCCAAAGGGGTAATAATAGTTTGGTTTGTTAACGAGGTACTTGTATATGATCGGTATCCTTTTACTAGTGTTTGGATGATGGTAAATACGCGATACGAGCATGCGTTGTTGTTCTTACAGCGACTATGCCACTCTAATTCTGCATCTTTATTCTTAATGTTTAGGTTGCTTTAGACCAGTGGCCAGTATATGATTGTCTTTATTTGCTGATCAAGACCGAGAAATGAGATACTGGTGGCGAGATCAAGAACAGCTTGTGGATGATAGGTTGTTTCCAAGACGACTAGGAAATTAGCATAAAGAGGCACATGGATACGGCTGGGCTGGTCGCCTGTCAAATTCAATTTCTTGCTTTTCTCCTTTCCAGTATGCCAAAGACCAAGAAGAAAACCAAACCAATCACTCAACGACACGACGCCTCCATTACACACCGATTCAAACAGTCGTCTAGTGAAACAGCTAAGCTGATTCGGCAATACCATACTCTCAACAAGGAGCTAGCCAAATGTCGAGCTACTGGCAATGTCGTCCGAGAAAAGGAAATCGTAGCTGAAATGGAATCCATGGGAGGTCTCGATTGGTATCAGCGAGCATCACAATTGGGGCAAAGCAAGCAGCGAGGAGGTGACTCTTCAAAGTGGCTCGTTCAAGTATTGAAACGGCATCATCTTCAACGGCCTTCGATGCGAGTATTGGATGTGGGAGCGTTATCACCAGACAATTACCGACCTTATCAGTCATGGATAGAAGCAACACCCATTGATCTCAACCCACAAGATCCTCGTATCACGAAGCAAGACTTTTTAAAGATGGCGCCTCGGCGCGAGTTTGATATTGTGTCCTTGAGTTTGGTTGTTAATTTCGTTGGAGACCCAAAAGATCGAGGTAAGACAGCAAAAAAGATCCAAAGCATCATCATCACGTATGTATTAATGCACATGATAGGACAAATGTTGATCCATAGCCGCGACTTTTTACTTGACAACGGTCTCTTGTTTCTTGTACTTCCTCTTCCATGCATTACCAACTCTCGCTACATGTCTCACGATCACCTCCTGCAGATGATGAACGACATTGGCTATACAACTTGCATCCAGCATCATTTCTCAAATAAGCTCGCATATTACTTGTTCCAACTCGACAATAACACAAAGACCTATCCTGCATTCAAAAGAAAAGTCCTCTCGGATGGTGGAGGAAAGAATAACTTTTCAATCGTTATCCAACCACAGCGGTAGTCATTTCCCCTCGCACACTCTTCATTTGACATGTATACATATAGACTATAATAAACACGCATCATCATCCCTTTTCATATCAATGACGTTTGTTTTCACTCCCTGCCTTCAATATGATACTCAATAAGCTATCACCCAACATTCATCAGGTGTCAACATCATCACAGCAGCTTGGATCAATGTCATCTACAAAAGGCTATAGCTCTTTTGATCTTGCTAGCCGAAGACGCTTGACCAATTTCTCGATTCAATCACTCAAAACCTTCTTTTGTACTAATCACGTTGAGAATGGGTGTGTAAAAAGTGTGCAGGCGATTGCCCACTTTTTGCCCACTTTCTGCCCACTTTTCATCCACCTCGCTCACCTATCGCCCACTTTTAGCCCACTTTCTGCCCACTTTTCATCCACCTCACTTCACCTATCGCCCACTTTTAGCCCACTTTCTGCTCACTTTCTGCTCACTTTTCACCTACCTCGCTTCGCCAATCGCCCACTTTTTGCACACCTTTGCACACTCTGTGCCCACTATTTTTCCATCTCACCTATCGCACACCTTTTACACACTTTTTGCACACCTTTTACACGCCAAATTTCAATGACGAAAACCATTCCATGATTACGATCAAGCGATCAATTAATAGATACGAGATACACCGTTTCTTTACCAAAGACCAATAATGGTTTATTGCAGGCAAAATAAAACCATCTTACTGAAGGCACTGATCCCATTTGTTAAAAAAAAGGTAGCTTTATTGTTACAGCGATTTCAATCATCCGTTTTCAAAGCTGTGTGATGTAGTTTTGAGCTGCTTTAAAGATTGTCTCCTCCAAGCTTTTGAATAAAGAATTGGCTGATACGTGACCAAGCAAGATCTCGAACTTTGACCTCTGCACTTTTTGGATCGATGTTCTTGTCGACAAAACCAAGCTCTTTGCGTTTTTCAATGCTCCAATCATCGTCATTCAAGAATGCATGACCTTGATCAGGATATCGATAAATTTGGACATCACCAGCGTTGTTTGATTTGAGATTGAATTCCAAAGCATCGGCTGCATAAAAGAAAAGGAATTGAGATCTTCTCCACGCCCTAACCTTTGCTCCATGGACACCTACCTGCGTCAGGGTCGCTGAATCCTTTCATCGTGTCCTAGTAGCTCCACATGTTAGTGTCTTAAGATACAATGGGGACGGTGTGGTTTACTTACCTTGCCACCGAAATGACCTTGGATGGCTGTGCGTTGACTACCAAACAGACGTGGTTCAAAGAGTTCACTTGGTGGTGTACCATAACATGTTACGGCTGCTCTCAAGGCGTGTGGAGTGCCAGCCATACGAGACGCTAAGGCAAGCGATAGTCCGCCACCCATACAAAATCCTATGGACCCCACGTTGCTACATGCATAATACCGTTATCAGTATCACCTAGCAACCCATCCATATCCAGCTTTTAATATACTTACGGATGCTTTGTTTCATATAATTGTTCAGTCAGCTCTTGCAGTTCACCTACGGCAGTCTTCCAATCCAAGTTGTTCATCAAGTGGTTGGCTTCCTATCATTTATCCATGTCAACTTCATATCGCAGCTTGTAAGCACACACACACACATACTTCGGCAGTCAGCCCAAGCTTGCCCTTGTAAAGATCTGGAACAACAGCCAATGCACCCGTCGCATTGGCCACATGTTGTGCATGAACCTTCACCATTTCGTTGACCCCCCACCATTCTTGCAGCACCTGCCATTGTGTTACGCGTGAGAACGATATTTATTGTTGCTATGCGATACTTGTCGTTGCCAAGGATACATACAATGATAGCGCCACCTCGAAGTTTGGAAGTTGTCTTTGGTTGGAAAGAGAGTACTTCAAAAGGGAGCTTTTTGGGAAACATTGGGTACAGAAAAGCGTGTGTAAAGGGAAAAGAAAAAGAAAGAAACAGGGTTGACTTTGTGGGAATAGCATGAATTACGCGTCAAATATGTCATTCTGAAACAAGGTTTGGTATAAACAAATGTGTATATGTATTATCGTCCAGTCACATGCAATAGCGTCTTCTGGTGCTCTTCAATGGGTGTCCTAGCTACACTACTACTGCTACTACTTGGATGGGTTTCATGCGCCAAGGCTGTTGTCATTTGTAGTTCAGCTCGTGTAATGCTTAATTCGGCCTCCAAATGAGCGACGCGTTCCACTAGGCCCTTTTGTTCCTCCACTGTATGCTCCAATTCATTGATACGTTGTAAACTATCCGCCAGCATCCTATCCGTGCTTGCTTTACTTGACCGTACTTGAGCCAATTCTCTCCTCAGATCACGAATCGTTTGCCAAGGATTTCCATTTTGGATATCCACCTATATCGAATCAATCATTCATTGTCCACCAACAACAACACGACCCCTTCATTCATACCTCAGCACCCGATGTCCTGTCCTCAATTGTCATGGCCGCCATGTTCTCCTCCACTGGCTTTGCTCCCACAGAAGATGACGTGAGAATTAAGCGTGTCAACTGGTCAATCCTATATACAACAAAAAGTTGTCAGTGGTACATTAAAATGCCAATTGCACTTGCCTTTCTTTCAAAGCCGTCCTAACGAGTCGCATTTGCCTCATTTGTTGTTCATGCTATTGAGAAACGTGTTATCAACCCATCTTTGATCGTGAAGGCGGTTTTCTTACTTGTTGCCGCTCAGCTGTCAGCACCGATTGCGTATTTTCCTTTTCTTGTACGAGCACGGCATTAGCTGCCTGTAACTTGGTCTTGAGCTCTGAAATCTCGCCTCGATATTTTTGTAGTAATGCCCGTTCATTCAGCACCTAGAAAATACATCTTATTACATGATCCATTTGCATAAACGTAAAACTTACCTCGTCATTTGTTGCCGTAACTACAATCCTCTTGACACGTGATGCGAATTTAAGTGTATTGCCAGATTCCTCAATTGAATTTGATGTAGGGCTGATCGTACAAATGACAACGACTTTGGCTTGGCCTGAAAGTGCAGGTTGCAATATCCGCGTAAGCTTGGAATCACGAAAAGGCACATGAATCGGTACACTGCATAGAGTTGTTAGTTTCAAGGTGCTCCCTTCTGGTGATGATGACCTACCTTCGCTTGTTCTCGGTGAGTTTCGAGATGACGGTGCCAAGTGTCAGTAAGCTAAAGGAAGAGATTTCTTTTAAGTAAAAAGCCATCTGCCATCCATTCCCTTTCGAACCTTTTGTTGATGTAAGCTCCTTCTTTTCTTCTCTCGGAATTCGATGCCGCCTTTTCCGATCCGGCAAGATCGATAAGGTTCTACCAAGAAGATGCATTTTACATGTTAATAAAGAGACGCTGCTGCTGCCTATTTGAAATCTTACCAATTGGGATATCTTCATGGCATCTCGACGTAACGACACACGTGGACTAACCGGACCTAGGGTGGTGCTTGTGCTTGTTCGTTCTCGGCTTTCAATCACCTACATGACTATTAGTACAACCCTATATTAAAAGAAAAAGATACAAACCATTTGAAAGATGGTATGACTTCGACTGCTGTGTAGATTGTAATCGGTGGTGCTGATATGTCGATTAGCTAACCTTTCAATATCAGTCAATGCACCCTTGAAAATGATTGTCCGTTTTACCTTCTCCTTTTTGAATGATACTCATAACATCCGTTGGTGTCGTTACCACTTCCTCCGTCAATGGACTAACATAGATCCCTCGCTATAGAAGATGATCAATCCAACTGCTGATCTCGTCCTTCTCCTATCGTAGTATTTACCCTTTTATCCTCGTGAATCTTGAGATTGTCATTCCTCGGTGCAAGGAGATCACGGATCGTTTCATTGTATATTTCAAGATAGGATACGCGCAAAACAAACTCCTTTGTTGACGCCTAATACCCATTCATAGGATGAATGATAATGCCACAGCGATGAATAACAAGGTAAATACCTGCTGAATGTACTGGAACACGTTGTCTACGCTGCGAGGGATGATGCCTGGTTCCGATTCGGTACCTGTAGTATCATGGATTTAGTAACGGACCACAAAGAGCAACCAGATCCCTTTTACCTTACCCATCTTTGAATATCGTCATTGCCAAAGTGGAACATGTTTTGTGAGTTGTAAGCTTTGGTACGTGCTGTTATTGATCCTACCATTGTCTAAAGTACTTGCATAGTGAGAAATCACGTATCGCATGCATCCCTAACCAGCACTTACATATGTCTTTCCACTTGCAGTTTGTCCATAAGCAAAAACGGTAGCTATAGCACCAGAGTTAGCTCAACACAATGTAAATCCATCCACACAACGCACCATTGTATCCATCCATGGCTTGTCTATGGGGGGATATTAGAAGCTGGATCCACATAATCAAACACGACTTACTCTACTAGATGCCGTATACTTGTTTGATATAACTCTTCATTGTCGCTTCCACTGAAAACGTGATCTAGGAAAAAAGGACAATGGTAAGCAAACGATGAAACAAACACGGGATCATACCATGACATGACTTACCATAATAATGTTCTCGTTGTCTGCCTTGTTGTCGACGACTTGCTAAACCATTTTCTGATAGTCGAATCCTCGAAGCAGCCGGGTCGACCTCCCAACAGTGGTCGGTCTTGTTCAAAAACTCGTGCTGGGTCATGGGTCGACATCGTACGCAGACCTGAACATTTTCACCCTTTTGACTCAATGACATGCTGGTTGCCGTGGTTGCCGTGCTGGCAGTGCTTGTCGTACTACTGGTGCTACTTTTACGCCTTGGCACGGTCGAACGTGAAGGTGTCAATGAAGTAATGGTGCGAGATGTCGATATGCTCGGACGAGGATAAAGTCGACTACTGGTACTTGTTGATACACTGGACACTGAAGATATGGACGGTGATCGTGCTCGCAATTTTGAAGTGTCATGAGGAGCAAGGAATGCATTGCTGATAGTCATGGAGAGGAGGAGGAGGAGTAGAAGAAGAAAGAGTAGTAATAGTTTCAATCGTTTAAAGTTGACCTGAATTTAAGAAAGGAAACGCCGGAAATAAAAAGATGTATCACTTGCATAAAAGGTTCAATCCGCCACGTGCCACTTACCTTCGTACCTGGAATAGAGTATATGTACATCCACTATCCAACAACCCGTTCAATGAATAAAGACAACATCGTGTAGCCTAGCATGAATAACCGAATCCCGAAACAAAGAAAGTATATTGTTTGTGTAGTATTAAGAGATAGGACAATGAACAATGAAATACCACACAATGTTGGCTTAACAATGATACTCCCTACAGGTCTCAAATAGCAATCATGAGGAATGACTTGATGACCATGCAAGGTTAATTGCTGCTGATAATTCCAGTGTAATAAGGCACGCACCCATTTCTCTTTTAAAGCACAGCCATGTTGGCAAAATCACCACTTTTTCCCGACCAATCTATGTCAACTTCAACCTTTCGTTTGAAATTGCTCAACAGTGAGCTCCCAAAACTTCATGGTATCTTTTTCATCGTATTCTACGGCACCTCCGCTGAATTGACAAAGTTTTTCGAGATAAATTGAAGCACCTTCCAAATAAGGAAGTTGACGGGTCCTTGATGTATCTCGATTTTCGATAATTGAGCCTGCTTGGCTCAGTTGGCAGAGCGTCCGCCTAGTAAGCGGAAGGTCACTGGTTCGATTCCAGTAGTAGGCATAACGCATCAATTGAATCCGAAAAGCGATGTTAAAGTGATCATTTTGCCTTTTTGTTGCCGTAAATCACGTGATCTAGCTAGTTGTTGTGTCGGTCCAAATCTGAGCTGGTAAACCAATGGCCAGAGATAGAAAGACTAGTACACTGAATAAAGTACAGACGTAAGATAATGTTTTATTGTATCAGAATGAGGGGATATTTATATATGTTGGTTATCTATGATATCATGGGCGCGGTCAAGGAGATGGGCTTGGCAAAGGTGGCGAAGTAGAAGATGGGCTTGGTGATGTGGCGGTGTCAGTGGGCTTTGCATGATTGCAAGTAAAAGATGATGAGGCGTAGTTTGCCAAAAGAGATTGCTCAGCCAAAGGCTGCGACAGTTGTAGCCTTTGGCTGAGCAAACCCCGCCTCATTGTCGGATGATATTTTAGATTTGTAATGTTGCACATGCTGCGGTGCTGAGCAGCCTTTATAAAAGGCTGCTGCAACGCCGAGAATAAATCTTTAGCTTTTGATCCGGTGAATCATAGTTCTTGTCTATATTGAGCGGGTAGTTGTAAAGAGGTGTTTACATCCCTGGCTACGGTGCCATACCGCCAGACGACGCAAAAGGATATACGACATCATCATCTTTTGCATGTAATCATGCAAAGTCCGTCTCATTGACTGCACCCTCGATATCATAGATAACAAACATGTATAAATATCCCCCTCATTTTGATACAATAAATCTCTATCTTACGTCTGTACTTTATTCTGTGGACTGATCTAGCTATCTCTGGCCATTGGTTTACCAGCTCAGGTTTGGACCAACACTGTATTGCGTGTGCTTTTTTAGAGTCTTTTGGGCGATTGTGCAGGTGGATTGCTAGTATTTAAACATGATTCATAGAGACACTTGTTCTATACGGATGGGGATTCCAGTAGGTAGCCGAAAACTACGGCATCAAAAGTCATATCGTGAAGGTGACAAAATCAACATGAGTGTATGCTAATCAACGAGCCCAAGTATCGGGCACTTCATTGTTGTCGATGTTCATCCATTGATGACACGACGTGTCAGACTTGCTGATCACGCGTAAGCAGTATTTAGAGAAAGAGCGTAGTAGATTGGTGAGAATGACATATAGGGCCTTTATTTGGGCATGGAAGATAAAAAACATGATGATAGGAATTGAAGAGGGAATCACTTCTAGCAACACATTATCATTCAGGCAAGGGTCGTTGTAATAGAAGCCTCATTGTCGTCCATATGGATATACTCCTCACTTGCGATATGTCACACAGCACGCCATCTTGCATGAATCCCGGTGAGCTTATCCATGCGCAGCACAAGCCAAGTTTAATTTCAGCACCTTTTCTTCAAACTATGCCAAAACGTCGCACCAAAGCGAAGAACACCACCGATGCTAGTAATTCCACACCAAGGAAACGCACTCGACGATCGACTCGATTGAATACAGACAATGGTGAAACAGACGAAGCGAAAGCACTTGAAAAAGACAACCACCCCAGCACCAAACCTTCTGACAATGGATCGCCATTGGAAGCATCGGCACCATCAACACCACCACCACCACACAATGGCAATGACGGGCACTCCGATTCGGATAGCGATGACCATATGGATTGGGAGCATATTGACATGTCAGCAGCACCCACGACAGCAGCCGATATGGAGGAGGAGGAGGGCGTAGAGGATGAGCAGCCTGTCACCTATCAAGATGTCGAAGTCGTGTTTGAGGCGCCACGTGCAGTCTTAAAGTAGGTCAACTACTTATTGGATTGCTGTATATGTGTAACTCAAGTGTAATTTGGCTCTAGAAAATCAAAATGGGAGCAGGCGTATGAGCGTAATATGCGAGAATGGTTGAATCACAGCCATGTGGTGTTACTGGTTGCCCATTTTGCTATCCGTAACCGATGGTGTTCTTCAAGTGAAGTACAGGTAATCATAACCAACAAGAAGAAGCAAGCATCTACTAAGCATATGATAATAGGCAGCATCCCTTTCATGTGTCCCCGAGCATATTCAACATCAATGTCGACAACATGAAGAATCCGAAAGCAAGTTTGCCGGTGCAATCAAAGCACTACTTGGATGGTGGAAATCCTATTTTAAGCTCACTGGCATTGGACCTGTCACCCGTGCTTACGACGAATTTGATTTTCTCAACTCACAAAATATCAATTGGGAATCGGATCATCAGGTAATTATCATATTGTCTCTTGTAGCCCACCCCAGAATGACTGATTTTTTGTATCTTACAGCCTATTCAGCAAGAACTAGAGAAACGTGATATGCTCGATGGAGAAAGTATTACAAGCAGCGTGGATCTTTTGAAGAAGCTTGTTGATCAATCCGGATGCCGTGATACATCTGCTGAGCTCTTTGTGGCAGTGATTCGTTCCTTGGGATTTGATGCACGTCTCGTATGTTCATTGCAGCCAGTACCCTATCGCATACCCACCACCAACAAACGCCCTTCATCTTCTTCTTCTTCAAAGACATCCCAAAGTAATGAACGTAAGTTCTCCTTGTGAGTGCTTGCAGCAAGAAGAAACTAACACCATGCTTTATTTTTAGCAAGTGAAGATGATGGTGATGATCATGATGCTAGTGCACCAAAGCGAAAGCCCAAATTCCCGTTACGTGCTCCAAGACCACGATTAGAACCAGGCCAAGATCTGGATGAGCAACTCAAGGCAACCAAAGGAAAGTCACCCACTGTATGGGCTGAAGTATACAATCCTCATCATGGCCGTTGGATATGTGTTGACCCCATACGGAGTATCTATGATCAACCCAAAGCGATGCATCCTAGCAGTGGCGACAAGCAAAATTTCTTGTCATGTGTGCTTGCGTTTGATCAAGGCAACCATGGAAAATGTGTGGATGTGACACGACGTTATGCACTTAGTATCGCCAAAGCACGACGCTTACGTGAAAGAGAGCTCACCAAACGAGAAAAAGAGGCGGGTATGAGATCATGGTGGGATGGCTTTTATCATCGTATACGACACGACAACAACAACAACAACGATGACGACGAACGTTATGCGCGTGAACAAGAAGAAATGGAACGCATGGAATCAAAAGAACCGATGCCAACATCCATATCAGCCTTCAACAACCATCCACTTTATGCATTGGAACGCCATTTGAAGAAATTCGAGGTGCTGCATCCAAGAGAACCAGTACTAGGCCGAATCCGCAATGAAATGATTTATCCAAGGTCTTGTGTCAAGCCTGTGCACACTGCTGAGACATGGATGAAACATGGTCGTGTCATTCGTGATGGTGAACAACCTGTCAAACGCGTGAATGCTCGTGCTGTCACCACCGAAAAGAAGCGTGCTCAAGAATTAGCCAAGCAGGAAGGTCATGTATTACAAGTCGCATGTTATGGCGAATGGCAGACCGAGAACTACACACCACCACCTGTAATCGATGTAAGTGTGACCCCCGAGAAGAGGTTGATTTAAGGATTAAACGATGCTTTGTTTGATAGGGTGTCGTGCCACGGAATAGCTACGGTCGAGTTGATTTATTCACATCAAGTATGTTGCCTAAAGGGGCAGCTCATATTCCTAGTAAGTTACAGGTTAATGGATATATAGGAATGGTCTACTAAGAAATCCTTAGTTCAAGGGATTGGCAAAATAGCTCGCAGATTGGGTATTGACTTTGCCGAGGCTGTTGTGGATTTCGAGTTTGTGCGACATCGATCGGTTCCTGTTACTAATGGCATTGTGATTGCCAAAGAGAACAAAGATATCTTACTAGAGGTACGTTTATATCCACATGTGCTAGCTTTATCGGTGGATGATGTCTGATCACCCATTTATTCTCAAAGGCATGGGACGAATACGAGCAAACAGAGTCCAATAAGGCAATTGAGAAGCATGAAAAGCAAGTATACGATCGATGGCGCAAGCTTATTCTTGGTGTGTTGATCAAGGCTCGGCTGGAACGAGATTATAGCAACCATCATCATCCCATCTCTGAACCAAATGCATCATCGACCACCACCACCACCACCACCAGTGGGTATGAATCGTTCTTAAGGGACCGACATCGCGATGAAGAGTCTAGCAGTCATGCTGTAGCAGGAGGTGGATTTGTTGTAGAAGAGTCTGCAGCAGGAGGCGGGTTTTTACCTGAAGATGAAGAAGACGATCTATAGTTGACTTTTTTATAATAATACATCAATTGTACAAGATGCTGATGGAATAATGCGAGTATGCGACAGTAATAAGGAATATGCATGGAGAGAGAGAGGGAGAGAGAGAGGAGGGGGTTTCTAATCGAAATCAAATTCAAAGAGCACGCGGGGACGTAATGGCCATTGATCAAACTTGCATGCGACTTCATCTACTTGTTCTACTGTCAAATGGCCAACTTCAATGGATGGATCAAAGGACAACCGTGATAAGATGATTTCTGCTCCTGGGCCCAATGTTCTGTATACAAAACCTAGGTTAAATTCCATCCCATTCAATCCATCAATGTGTTGCTTACTTTATCATTTTCGAAAGGGGCTGTCGTTGCATCACGAAAAGATGCTTCAATACATATTCAAAGACATCCCATGGTGCTATAATAGGATGAGTCTCTTTTACTCTTTTACCCCTGAAAGCCATTCCACCACATACCTTGTATCTTTTTGTTTTCAAATGGTATCACATTGGTCAAATAGTAATCCGTCTACAACAATGAAGCTCATGTATCAGCCGTATGTGTCTCGTAGATACCCATCCAATGATTTACTTACATGAGGATACATTTCCGGGGCCTTTGCAACGTGAACAAGTTCAATGTCTACGCAAGCGTCGGCTACGATACCCATTTTGCATCTTGCGGTCGAGCCAGGAGGTGCAGTGAATTTCTAAAGCGGGGTATGAGATATGGGATCCACTTTTTCATGGTCCATTCGTATTTACCGCATAAAGGATTTCAGGTATCCACATTAACATTTGAATTCGACCATTGGTATGCATTGCCATCTTGTTGTGGATACATGTCGTAAACTGAGCTAGCAATTGTTCACCCCGGGAGGATCGTGGAAGCGTACCAGTAAACAGGATGTTTGGATGAACTAAGGAATACATCATCTTAGTCTTCTCCCTTCCCATGTACTTGCTATGTATTTTACCTTTGGACCAATCTTCATCAACCAGGTTTCCCAAGAATTCAGGTTTTTTGAGGTCAAGATAAGTATCCCAGTCGTAACCATCTTTTTTGACCACTTCAACGACGCCTTGTGATTCTTCTGCAATGTTCTAGATGTTTTTCTTTTGAGTGATCATTGGACGAGAGAGAGACATAGATGATGTATCCTTACCCCCATCCACTTTGCATACTTTGTATTGTTCTCCAAAGAAATGATACGTTTGAAACCTGCATTGGCCATAGCAGCGGTCCAAGCACCAAAACCTTAAAGTGTCCCCACCCCATGAATGAATATCCTTGAAGAACACCCAATGGCCGTTCCTTACCTGGATACAGCTCAACAGCTGTCATTTCGGATGGATTGGAGGGTAGTTTGACTTTTGAAAGGGCGAGCTCTATTGTTGAAGAGACCCTGGAAAATCAGCAACTCGAGATCGATCGTTGTGTGTCATGGTCAAGGAGCGAGACTTGCCTGCTACTTTGGGATCGGCCAATGTGGCTCGAGGAAGGTGCATGGAGCCTTTCGACTTGAACTGCTTGTTCCAATCAACAAAGGTGGGTATCTTGGGTAGCTTCAATACGGAATTACGAAGGCGTGACATTGAAGTGGTTGAAGAAAAAGGGTGCATATTTACGTTGCTGTCAAGCTCCGTTGCTATAGTACAGCCAGCCAGCCAGCCAGCCACGGCAATGACAACATTCTGGTTGACCCTGAAAACCGGTACTGGTACATTACCCATGCACTGCATGATGTGTTTATTTAATGCTTCAAAGGTATATCAAATGCTAATTATTATTATCAGGCTTTTGGCCATATACACGCATCCAGGGCATGCTGGTCAAGTTCTTTGAGCATTCATCACCGATCAATTCGAGATACCGTTGCATGGCACCCGGCTCTTTGAAAGAAGGATCCATGGAGATGAAATATTTCAACGCCGCATTACAGCCCATCTGGATATCCTCCCTATGATGCGAGTACGTGTCAATCATAATACAACTCCCCCCCTCTCATCATGTTGTTGTACGTACCAAAAGAGATCACCAATTTTCCCGCTATGCTTGATTGGCATGTAAAAAGTAACCGTTTCCACGTTAATAAAGCCTGCTTCTTTAAGAATACGTTCAAGATCCGGACCAGCATTAGGGTGAAGACCAGCTCCTGCAACCACCGAATACACTAAAGCGCATCATTGAGTCTCTTGAACGAAGCATGTAGGAAAAAATATCAGGCTTACTGGTGTCCATGCATTGAGATATATGGGGACCAGCATTCTTCAAGTGTTCCTTGAGGTAGCTGACCTAAAGAAAAGACTCATTAGTTACAGGAAGAAGACAAGGTCCCTTTTTCTTTTTTACCTCTGTCAATTCTATCCATCCACCAGGTTTCAGGGTATCCATGTGGCGCTTGATCACCTGTTGTTATCAAAAAAGGTCAACTCGTGCAACACCCTCAGATGAAAAAGATCATTTACCTTGGGCCAATCATCCTTCAAAAGACCCAGAATAAGTAGGCGTTGATGGACATAGCCAAAATAGTTTTCAGGAAAAGGGGACGGCAATGTCACATTGTATACTTGAAATGTACAATTCTTGGGCTTGATGGATTCAGGGAAACGTGGAGAAACATCCGTGCCAATAAAATTGGAAGCAGGATACATTTTGCTCATCTCCAAAGTAAAGGTGGCAGGGCCTATGTGCATACAACAAAGTGAGTGAGGATTCTTTAAAAAGTGCTATTGTTGTAGTAACGAACCGCATCCAGCATCATGAACTTTTGTGCCGTTTTCTAAAAGATCGTGTACAGGGGCGCTGAAATGGGATCCAAAGGCTTCACGAATAAGCCAATGTTGTTGATTGACACGATCATCCTCTTTTTTTGGGTGGGATTTTAGTACTTTATGATGATGAACACATACACACACATGCACACACGCACCTTCCGTATCCGTAGGCAACAAATAGTTGACATCCTGCTCATTATGGAAGCGTCGATTGCCTTCGTAACGATGGATGGTGGTGGAAACAGAGGTATTCTCAGTGCAAGAAGTGCTTGATATGCATGAGCCGTTATTAAATACGGGTTGTTCACCGTTAGTAGCGACGCCGTCAGTTGATTTCATGTTTTTCCGTAAACGTTTGGATCGTTGGGCTAAAAGGCGCAAGATATCTCGCCAACTCATAACACCATGGAGAGATTATAAAAGCAAGCGAAAGAGCAAAGGTCGTACAGCCATCATCAGAAGATAAAATTGTCGATGATTATCTCAATAGCGGTGTGTGTGTGAGCCACCATGTTAACGTTACAGTTTTTTGTTGTCGTGGCTGTGTCACGTTTCTTCGTGGTCCTTGCATTTGTGTCCTCTGTGGCCTTATTGGATAACAAAGTTGTACGTATGAGACTACAGAAGGTTCCTGACATTATCAGGCTGTGGATTGCTCTCTTTGTATCTATTCCAGAAGGCTGGTAGTAATTGGAGATAAATTGTTGGTCCTCATCTGTGGTACTCCTCGTTCTTCACATTTCCATTTACACATCCCTCCATACGATATACAACATTGGTAAGCTCCTTCTTCCGTTTAAGAGCCAGCCTTAATAGTATTTGGTAAAACCGTGATGGAGGATGGCTCATACAATCTACTAAGGAACATGATAGAATCGGGGGCTTATCGAGGATGCATAAACCTCCTACTCATTGTCAACAGCATTGAGCCCATTCAAAAAGAGTTCTTTGTTTATAAACTATGACTCGATGTCAAACATGTTCAAATGGCATCATCATCATCTGCATAAGGTCGCTGAGTTAAATGGAAATACGTGTAACGCCAAGTTGGATAAAAAGCGACCAAGCGCGGCTTTTTAGACTTTATAGCTTGTGCTCTCCACACATGTTTCACAAGCTTGTCCTTCAATGCGGGAGAGCAGCAACCAGGAACATGGCAAGGGGTATCATAAAATGAATAACCACCGACACAAATCAAATCCTTTGCAAACAACAACCTCGTAGTATATAGCAATGGTATACATGTGCAGTCGTTAGGATTTTTGGGATTCAAAAAAGTACTACAACGGTGCAACATTGAACAATGCTCTTTTGCTTGTTCTTGTTCGAACCTTTTTCTGTAGTACAAGAGCTTTTACAACTTGTGTCTTCGGATCATGCCACCCGTTGCTGAATTCAACAAAGAGCGTACCACGACATGTCCCATTTCACCAATGCAAAGTGTTACAAAACGCCCTAGTTTATTATACTAGTATTTCCCCATTTGATCAACGCGCGAATAGATATCGGACGATGAAGCTTGCATAGGGTTATTATAGTTGACAAGATGGCTACAAATACAATGGTGTGAAAGATACTGCTCCATTACGAGTAGTATTCGTATTAGTAATGACGAGGACCGATGAGGAGGCTACTACTATCATATCATCCCACTAAACCCAACATATCCCAAAAGCCGCGGGAGATCGCTTAGAGTGTGAGTATGTAGGTCCACTATCACATGTCGTCATCCCTTCGCCACCCACACCTCACTCAAGCCAACAATAAGCAGCACGTAATTAATATAATATTGACAAGAAGGCATTAAATTGATATGTGTAACCAGCAGTAGTCTGGCAGATGAGATGAATGTAGAAAAAGATAATTTCATCTAAAAAAAGTTATTTACAACAAAAGGGAAACTTTATAACCATTCTCTAGACATATTGGGTCGTAGATCGCCTTCATCAATGAGTAGAGATTCCTCATCTACAATACTGCCCGATGTTGTGGTATCCTTGGGTGAATGAGCATCGCCACCACCGCCACCTCCGCCATCCTCCATCATTTGATGTTGTTGTTGTGCGTCTAATGCAGCAATTTCTTCTTCAAGATAATCCTTCTTGAGCTCGATATCTTCCAGAGGCGTTTTTCGTAGTGGTGCGAATAGGTCGTCTGTCTCACGGTGATCTCGATAGATAGCCGACATGATAGGTTCTTTGGTGGATTGCATCAATGCACGATCAATCAATTGCAAAAGTAAGCTGCTGGATTTTGAGTTTCGCAGTGCCTAAAAAGAAGCCATGAGGAGGACAAAGAGAGATAAAAGTAACCCCCCCCAACCTACCTCTTGGTACTTTGTGACAGCATCAGAGTATTTGCCTTGCAAGTAATAAATGATACCAATAGCGCCGTGTGCGTCTGCGTTGTGTGGGTCTTTGATCAATGTGACGTTGAAGCACCTTAATGCACGATCATAGTCGCTATCAGGAAGAAGGATTAACGCCAATTGCCTCATAACATCATCAATCCACACGTTACCCCATCCGCCTGTAAATGTGGCCAAGATTGGACCATAACTTTGGCCATAAGGCACTTTTTTCACTCTGTCGATTCCTTGCAAATTTCAACGCCTTCCTTGCAAACTCCAATGCCTTGGTATATCTATCGTATATATCATCAGCTCCCTTCCACTCATTCTCTATTCCTCAAAACTTACTCCTCTTTCCGATAATAAAGCGTGCAGAATTCATTCATCAAATACGGGTCCGTGGTGCACTTTAGCAGGCTCTTTTTGTAGTATTCGTGCGCTGTATCCACCAGGTTTTGCTTCATGTACTCCATGCCAATATAAAGATAGGGAAGGTGGGAGCTAATAGTGGCGGTGTTATTAGTGGATAAAAACAACAACATTCGCTTCATGTACGTACCCAGGTATCAGCTTGCTACATGTGAGATAGGCATTGATGGCTTGATCATGGTCGTTCTCTGCTGCAAATGCATGTCCATAACCCAGCCAAGATGCTTCAAAATAAGGATCCATGGTCGTTGCTTGGCTAACCTCGAGCATCAGAAATCTGGTTCGTCTCCTCGTGATCCACACACACACACACACACATACCTAAAATAGCGCCTTGCTTCGCCATAACGCTTAATGTACATGTAATAGATGCCAACCGCATACCACGATATTGGATTGTCATTGAGCTTGTCCACAAGATCTTGCGCCAATTCATAGAGTTTGCTCTTTTCTCCAAGTTCATAGAGACAGGTGACATAGGCAGGAATGGATTTGGTATACAGGGCATCTTGTTGCTCTATCCTAGAATTCGATGTGAGATGGGATCGGCATACTAGCACCCTACCCTACACGTTGCGCGCCCAACAATACTTACTGCTCACATACTTTGGCACACTCTTCAAACTTGCTTTCAGCCAGTAAAGCTTCTGCTGTGCTGTGCATGACATCCAAACTTTTACTTAGACGATGATCTTCCTCCACCCTCGCTTGAGCTTCTTGAAGTTCCTCTGTATGTGAATGCTATATCGCAAGTATACGTAAGATGCCATGGGCCATGATGCTAGAAATTCAAAAGTATTACCCGCTTCAAATGCAACATGTAAAGGGATCGAAATAAATCAGCGTCTTGTCCACAATGTTCGTCATAGGGTAGGGTCATGATGAAATCCCATTCTACCTTTGAAGGTTATACATGATGCTATCCCAAGATCCAAAGTTCAAAACTCACCTGCCCTTTCATCGAGCATATTGTATTGGAAAAGAGCTTCTAATGCCTATAAAAAACAAGGTGAGCTTTGTATCGGTAGTGCAAGATCTGTATATACGAACGTCATAACATCGCACGTCCACGGAGAGTGCCTCTTTGAAACATTTCTTGGCCTTTTCAATTTCCTTCAACTGTAGATACGCATTGCCTCGTACATAGCACATGATGGATTCCAACTAAAGAGTGTTGAGTGATGTGTGTGTTATATGTCAGCCCATGTTTGTACCAACCTTGATGCGTCCTTCCATGTCAGTGTCATGTTTGAAGTCTAAAACAGGTATATATAAGACATCTCCACATAAGGTCTGTATGATGTATAATCCTACCTTTATCCGCAAAAGGATTTTCAGGGCCCAAATAATCCAATGCATCGCGCCAATTTTCAAGAGCATTCTGGATATTGTTAATGGATCATCATTCATAGGACATGGATAGAAGGTTGAATCACTTACAGCACATAGCCCAGCGAGATAGCGACAATGAACACTTTTGTTGAGCGTCTTTTTCTTGTTCAAGAGATCCAGAGCACGTTCATATTGATTGGAATCATAATAGGCTTGAGCAAGCCAATAGACATCCGTTGCATCATCTAATCCAAATGCTCTAGATCAATATCCTATTCCTTTCATGCTCGATAGGATGATACGTCGTACCTGTGATGGCCATGATCTTTTCGGCATAGAAGATAGCTGCTTTGGTGAGATTCATTTGTTGAGCATCACTTCGCAAGAGTCGTAGTCGGTCTTCACGAGAATCGGCTCGTAGCATGCTCATATCGGGAAAGAGAGGCCGATAGGTAGAAAACGATTCAAGAGGTCCACCACCAGGACCACCAGGACCACCACCCACAGCCAAAGTGGAACGATGCACCACAGGCGTCGTCGATAAATGGAGATCGGACTGACTGGAATGAACACTGCTTGCGAAATGAGGGGCAATGGGTGACACGGAGGATCCACGCAAACCAAACGAGTTAATGCGCGCATTGTCTTGAGGACTGGTGGTGCCCGTATCAGTAAATCGTAGAGGCGATGAAGCTGGATCAGAAGGCAATTCACCCGCTCGTATAGGTGTCGTTTTTGGGTTGCGATCGGATTGCATAAAGACAAAGAGTCGTGGTCGTCGTTGTTGCGTGTGTGTGTTAAGTAAAGAAACACAAAAGAGAGCGTGTCTTGAAATCATTCATTTTTATGCATGTCGCACCTTGACATCCTCCTCCTGAATTATCCCCCATTTCATTGTTCGTTCATTCACAACAATCAACCTCATTTAAATGATCTCTTTGTATCCATTTGTATCATTGTCAAGTCCCCCAATAAAGCCCTCATTATATTATAGCAATGGTGTCTCTTTTTTTGTGATATGCAGGGAATTCTACCGTGATAAGGCTGATTGTTTTTTGAAAGAGAGAAAAGTTATGGTATGAAAAATAGCGGATCGGTGGATTGGCTTCCTGACAAAAAGTTGGTCCATGCTATTGGAATTTGAGTCATTAGCTTATTCCCCCATTTAACTGAATCATCAAATCACGTTACCTTGCAAATCAAATCCTGTCGAATCATTGGTAAATGGTGTTCCAGCAGACGAAAAGAGTTGTTGCCATGTTGCTTGTGCTGGTGGTTCTGTACTTTCAGCGACGATTTGCTGCACACTCATAGGAGAGCCATTCGAGGATTGTTGTTGTTGTTGTTGTGCTGCTGATGCTGTATTGGAGGATGCCATGGCTGATCCTGTTGTTGTTGTTGTTGCTGCTGCTGCTGTTGCGTTGGATGATGCGTTTGTACTACCATTTCCTGATGACAAGCTTGATTGTTCTTGCTGTTGTTGTTGTTGGTCCGATTCATCCTCCTTTTTACGTTTGAAAGAGTCAGCGCCAAGAAGAGCAATGAGCTTTTCTAGGAATGGAATGATGGGTGGACCATAAGGGATGTCACGTGTCAATGCTGTCAAACATTCCTTGCCGATATGGACATAATCGTGAGCCTCTTTGCTGATATTGGCATCCGTGCTTGTGCAATTGTATACATGGATCAATGTAGCCTGGAATACAGCATACACTACATATCACATGGAGGGGGTGAGTGGAGAGAGATGAATAAGAAAGCAACCTTGACGTACCTGAAAAGTTCCAACCAAAACGTGCTATGCTGGGTGCAGGTACCACACGTGCGATTTCAATGGTGAGTTTGGCAGCTTCCAAACATCGGCGTGATGCTTCTTTGAACAATTTGTTTTCTTCTTGATTCCCCTCATCATTTTGCTCGTCAAGGACAATAAAAGGTCGATGCAAAAGAAGCGTGATGGAATGGTAACACACCGTCAAGGGTCCACCTTGTTCCAATTTCTTGGAATGAGCAAAACGACCTGGGTCTCGATGTATCTCAGTAAGGTCTTCAGCACTGATCTTGCAATCATCCGGTAATTGCTCAAGCCAATCATCAAGCATCTTTTGTAAGCTGGCCACTGTTTGTTCCACTACCACGCCTTTGTATCCTGCCGCCTTGGCTTTGGGCGAATAAATACGCCGTAATAATTCACCCAAAATGCCAGAGAGTTTGATGAAATTGACAAAGATATTGTAATCCTCGTGACCCGTGCCTTTGGGATCAGGCAAATCCACATCACAATCAGAGTCCGCAATAGCCAAAGGTCGTCCCATGGCTGCACAACACCAACGATCCGTCACATAGACACTGTACCAGAGTCGCTTTCGAGCTTCAATGTGATCTTTGGATGCTTCTTCATTACGTAACGTACGATGCAATCCTAGATCTTGTGCCTATGATGGATATGACGTATGAGTGATTTGAGAGCGCCTTTAAAGAGTTGTTGTTGACACTTTACCATGCGTACAGCCATACCAGCCAAGATCCAATTACGGTACGAACTTGTAGAATAGGTAGGTTGACTGCAAAGGATCACAAGTGCCTTGATGGTCGATATGCCCGATGTCAAATAATCCCGACGAATCAGCTGACTGGCTCTGTCAATCAATGCGTGAAACACTTGATCACAGCTCATGCCACATTCTTGAAAAACAGGGTGCTCCGAGCTTATCATGAAACAAGCATAGGTACAAATGGCGTATGTCAAGAGCGATGAGGGTGGCGATTGAGTTTGTCCATGATAGGCATCCAAGTATTCCTGCTTGTTGACAATGGGCAAGGTAGCATTGGCCATGTCAAAATAGCTAACAACATATTTTTTGTGTGAGTAGACACAAAGTGGTTTGTGTATTTCCTATAATAACTTACACATATATTAAAGTATCCATGATCTTGCGAGGCACGAGGTCATCCATACGTTCGGTATCTTTGCCTTTGCTGTTCTCGGAATCCATGGCATCCCGAACAAGCATCAAGTCGTCATCAAAGCCATTCAACTTTCGGATGCGATAAGCCGGCGTTGTGCTGGGTGTAGGAAACGTATCACTGCCAACGGGTTGCATGGATATGCCGTGATCAGATGGCTTGGCGTCATTGGGTAACATATTACGCATCAGATAAAAGCCAGATGAGCTGCCATGGTATCGGACTACTTTGTTGCCGCCGTCTGATAAGTCATCACTTTTGTCATCTGGGTTTCGAGAAGAAGAGGCAACCGATTCATCTTGCGAACGTTTCCGCTTATGTGGTGTAGTGTCTCTTTCCATAGCTGCAGCTGATGATGATGATGATGACGAGGATGGTTCTTCCTTGACTGCTGAGGGTTTGCCAGATTGCATTTGTTCCAATAGCTCTTCCATCTTTTTCAACCGAGTCTCCAAACTCTCAATGTATCTAAAGAGATGTCCTTATCAATATACACGCCTTGCATTTTGAAAGAGAGCTCTCTTACCCTTTAGGAGGTCCACGCTTTTTGGCAGTCTACAAGCGAAAGGTTAGTTAAAAGAAACTTCTTTTGCTTTTATGTATCACTTACATCATTGAAGGTGCACTCCCAATCGTATTGTTTGCAGGTGGTGCATGGGAAAGCAGTGTCAACGTCGCATCTAGATGCCAGAAAAAGCTCAGTCACGATATTCCCACAATGATAGTATATTATGCACATACTTGATCTTTTTACGTCGACATGTATCGCCTATCAAGAGATGAGTGAGTGAGTGAATGAATGTATTATCATGCATATAAACTTACAGGCACGAGTGATTCTCGTTCTTCGTCCTGATGATGCATTTGGGCTTGAGTTTCTGATTGGTTGTTGGGGTGGTGATGTATGTTGTTGTTGTTGTAATGCTTGAGGAGAGGATGATGATGGTGATGATGATGAGAGTGGTGGTAGTGGTTGTTGTTGTTGTTGTTGCTGCTGTTCATAGCCTGGTGGCAGTGGGGAGGGTCGGGGAAGTGTAGGCGGTGCTTGTTGAGACATTGGAATAGAATAGGAGGGTATCCTTGGTGCCATATTCAGTGTGGGTGATGAAGAGACGGGTGGTTCATGACGTCTAAACATATCTTCTCTGCCAAGTGGTTGTGAGGGTGGTGGTGGTTGAGGAGGGGATTCCATGGGTCGCATGCGAGCAGGGACATTGTTGGAAGAAGAGAATGCTGGATTACGCCAAAAGGCCGACGGTGTCGTTGAATTGTCGCTACCATTAAGGATGGACGAACTGTTCGAATGCGGCTGCTGATTGGAACTATATCGGTCCTGATCGCTCATTGAGACGATGGTAGAGAAGGCTTTGTCCAAACGTTGGCTCTAAAATTAACGCGGAAGAAGACCACAAGTATCACGGATCAACCCACGGCAAAACCATTTTTGCAAAGTTCTAATGCGCCGCTTGAAAGCTTCCAGTTCTCGGAAAATCCGGCTTGGCAATACTTTGCCGAATGACATGTTTCAACTTGAACCCCCTCCCTTTGTGTGTGGGTGATGATTCTGGGCTCATACATGAACCCATATCCTATTCTTATAATACATTGATCTTTGATCCATGAATGACACGTGCAAAAGTAGGTTATCTAGGAGTGGGTTGTACACAATACTACTACAACAATGAATGTGAGATGGATGCATTGTCTTGGGTTCCACAATGAATAACAAAGAATTGGAAAGGGGCCACATTTCACAGGACAAAGAATATGTATTTCACTGTCAATATGGTAGAAGCAAGTTATCAATGCCTATGACGAAGTTGAAAAAGTCGCATTGTCAATCGGATAATACTACATTGACATCATCATTGTTCAATGCTAGCAGCAGCTGTCCAAATGCACCACCGCCAGTGAGTGACACATGCCCGACGACGATAGCAAATCATTGAAAGCGGGACCCAGATTATTGCCCTGTACGACAATGCAAAGCATATAAGAGAGAGAGAGTAACAGCAACCAACAGTAATATGGAGGGTGGGGGGAATCAGGAACGTTGTTTTGTGTATTCATCGAAAGGCACGGGTAATAATGCGTTTTGGACTAGGCGGCATTCAGGCCATAACTAGATGAAAGAGAGGGATGAGCCGAGTGAACCCTTTTCTCGTCTTTTTTAACTTACCCTTGCAAAGACACGTCCTCTGATCAAGCCCATGGGTACAGGTCCATAGTAGCGCGAATCGGTAGAATTACTTAAATTGTCACCTGACAACCACACATGACCTTCAGGGATCTTTTTTTCATCAACAATAGTTAATCTCAACCATCCTTTGGATCAATGTTGCATTTCCCTTACATCCACGTATTTCCGTTCATTGGCTGTTGGATCCACACAAACATTGTCACCAGGCTATAAATCATGTCCATTGAGTATACATGCGGGAGGTTGATACTACACTGCCCTCACTTACCAAACCAAGGACGCGTTTCAATACAGCTCGACCAGGAACAGCAGGTGATATGCATACAACAACATCGCCCATACGGTATCCACGAAAATGTGGCGTGATGTGCTCCACTGCAACAATATCGCCCGTCATATTAAAGTTGGGGAGCATCGAAGGTCCCATACACTAGAAGAAAGCGATCAGAGTTGTTTAGACCACGGAATCAACACACATTGGCATACTTACAAAGGTTGCTTCAGCAACATACTGATTGAATACATGGGCAAAGCACATGAATTGCACTGCATAGGTTGCACCTCGTAGGATTTTCCCTCCATTGCGTCCAAAAAAGTGGAAGAGACCCATCGGGAAGCGATGTTTGCCTAGCGCACTCGGATTTGGAAACGTTGCCTTGGAGACGACAAATTTACAGCCAATGATAAACGCTAGGCTTGCATTAGATTTCCTTGATCCATTCACCTTCGTCTACTATACTCAATCATAATAAAACCACCATTCCCGCACGATGTGTAATAGGAATGGAGCCTAATTAATCATGTAAAACATACAGCATTCCTGACAAGGATGTTATGCGGTCATAGGAGGAGGATTATACATCACGCTTTATTCATCATGGGTGTTGTATATATATAACATTGAATGGACTCTTGTATTCACCCGGGTTTCCACACTGGATCTAGTTGCTCCTTGGGAGTCCATGTAGAGACTTGGAAAGGCTCCATTTGAATCTTCTTTCCTTGAGCAGCAGCAACCTGTTTACGGGTCAAAGTTGTCTCATTGATCGAACACTTGCTGGATATGACTCCATTCATATCAGCTTTTGCGCTACGTTATCCCAAAGTATTAGGTTCATATATGAAGAATGTATGAGTATCACATTCATAGTTCGATGACGTTATTAGTAAAACTAACCTTGTTCCATCGCTGTTGTGAATGACTTGCTTACACGAGGCGGGAAACTGTCAAGTTGTACTGTTGAGATGTGTTTCGGCCTTCACCTTGTAGTCGTATGGTGCAGTGGCTGGTTGTGATTGTAAAGTTGAGCAATGATACCATGGTATTGATGAGATACTTGCTCGTTCAAATACACGCCAAAGATTACCATCACGAGTGTGGCCATGTTGACGGAATCTGATTTTCTCTTTAACGAATACTGTTGGGATTGGGTTGACATTCAAAGCGAGTGCTGGTAAGCCATCACGACCTGCTCGGCCTGTTTGTTGCGCGTATCCAATAATGCCACCCTATATGGCTGTATAGTGAAGGACAATGCGAACACCAGGGGCATCCACACCGGCACCAAAAGATGTTGTTGCGACCATGACAGGGATTGATACGGTCTCTTGTAGCCAACACTTTAGGTTTGCCATGGCCGGTACTTGTGCAGCAAGGTGTTTATCATCTCGACCTTTTTCATCATGCATACGACGGTCCTTATCATTTTGTCCATGATTGCTGTTGGCGTTATCATGATAGCATGGGTTCTTGTATCTGCCTCCACGACCCTGACCACGCCCACACCCACGCCCACACCCACGCCCACGATCCGGATGGAAGCTGTATAGGACTTGAATGCGGATTTTGGTGGATTATTGACTACTCGACAAAGCAATTAATAAAAGATTCCATAGCGTGATAAAAGTACTTACTATACATATTTTGAGAATTTGGGAAGAGAAGGGTAAAATCATTTTTGAAACCACTTGAAGATCCCCTTATATATGGTACTCTTCACCATCGAATACTTCATGTGCTGATCATTCGAAGCCATCGATGTCTTGGCAAATTCTTTTGCGTGGCGTCAGCATCCGTGATCCTCGTTCTCGTTCCAATCAACGGGAGTATATACATGGTCATGATAGCTGTGGTCGCGGATGTAACCAAAGTTGCTGACAACATCTTTCAGGGAATGCGTTTGCTGTGATCACCATAACACTGTGCTTGGGTCACCAACTTAGTGTGATGAATTGCTCTTCTGCTTAGGCTTCCATCCGATGCTTGAGAGACGTGGATAGCCATTTTCTGCTCGTCGCACGGTTACGTAGTTGAGGTCATCCAAGGACTGGGGATCACGTATACTAGCTACCAGCTGCAATCGCTTGGATAGAAATAACCATCTTAGTATGCGTACGAGGTACACATATCATTGCAAGGCCTCTTTTTGGAGACGATTCACTACCCATACATAGGTTGATATAGAAGATCAAAGGAAAGGATAATCCACATACCACAGGAATAGGACCAAATGCTGCCCACAATGACAACAATGAATGTAATAATGAGGCCGTGGTGAAGGACTATGAAATCATTGGATGAGTAATCTCAATCTATAGGACCACAAAGGCTATCCTTGTCACTTACCAGATTATGATGGCGGATGATGTATGCAATCAAAAAGACGAAAGAGATGTGTGATGATAATGATGATGACCCCAACAACTTCTTTGTTTATATAAGAATAGGCGTGTGAATTGTGGTCGGCACAATGAATATCGTAGAGCTGATAAAGTGGTCAACCTCCCTACGCTATGGTAAGAGTGTGAGCTACATCATCCATCACTGATAAATCCACTTACTATTACGCTGACCTTCTTTGGATTAACGTAGGTGATAAAGTATGTCACTCGCAGCTACGTTGAGTATTTGAGAAATGTCATTGGACTAAAAAGTATAAGGTGCGAGAGTGGGTAATATTGGCAGTAGCAGTAGCAACAAACAAATCCACCTTGAGGGGGGGGGGTGGGGCTGTCTTCCAAATTGAGATGGGGGCCAAGGCGCGTTAACGCGTGCGATACGAAAACGGAACGCGGCTCTCTCTTTTCTTGTTCAACTCCACGAAATGTCCACCCGACGACGAGAGAACGATGACCCTGGATTACAAGAACTCCTAGATCTTTCACAGCGAATGGCGAAACGTGCACGTATGGAGAATGGCGAGGACGATGTCATTAGCAGCAGCAGTGAAGGAGAAGGCGACAGCGAATCCGACATTGGCGAACCCAGTGAACTTGACGCACCTTTACCAGCAGACGAAGACGGGTAACTATACATGTATAACGTCATTCAACGCAACATTCACCCACCAACTCTTTCCTTGCAACAACAACAGCTACGTTCAAGGTTCCATTGTCAAGATCAAGTTACGCAACTTTGTCACCTACGATTACTGCGAATTCAGCCCTGGACCTCAGCTCAACATGATCATTGGACCTAACGGCACCGGCAAGTCGACTATTGTATGTGCTATTGCTTTGGGTCTGGGAGGTACACCAGCGCTTTTGGGACGTGCCAAGAACATTGCAGAGTTTGTCAAAACGGGCGAGGATGAGGCCATGATCCAGATCGAGCTGAAACGTACAGGAGGTCGTCCGAATGCTGTCATCCAACGCACGATCCAAAAATCGAATAATCAGTCATCATGGCGTTTAGATGGTATGTAAAAGTATATGTTTCATATATAGCATGCTCATCCTTCCATATATAGGACGACCCTCCCCTCAAAACAAAGTGATGGCTGTCATTTCAGAGCTCAACGTTCAAGTGGATAATCTTTGGTATGGTTCAATGCGAGATGTAACAACATGGTGATGATGATTAACCAGTATGCTTATAGCCAATTCTTGCCCCAAGACAAGGTTGCTGAATTCGCACAGGTAATATACGATCCTATTCATGATCTGCATGTGTGTATTGATCACTTTTATTCCTATAGTTGACACCCACATCGCTATTGACAAAGACACAAGAGGCTGCTGGAGAACGACAATTGCTTCAATGGCAACAAGAATTGATTGAATGGCGTAACGAGGAACGTGATTTGCAAAAGGTAAACATAAATCTATGCGTGTGTATATGCGTATTGGGTACTAAAGTCAGACACACTTTTAGTCTTTCGATTCCGATCAAGAACATGTCAAGTCTCTCAAGGATCGCAACCAGTATTTGGAACGAGATGTGCTAAAGATGCAACAACGAGCAGAACTCTTGAAGCGAGTCGCCCTTTTGGAAGCCCAACTCCCATTGGCTAGATATACGGATGCCAAGCGTGAATACGACGAAGCGAAGGAGGCTGAGAAGGAAGAGTTGGAGCGTGTAAAGGCACTTGAAGAGGAATTGGGACCTATCAAGGAGGTGCTTCAGTATGTACTATACGTTTGCGGGATGGGGAAGCGGAATATCATCTAATGGATGAATTGCATAGACAAACCGAACAAGCCAAGGCTGCAGCTGAGCAACAAAAGAGAGATTTGGGGAAGGAGGTCATGGAATACTCGACGCGATTGACAAAGATTGGTGATGCTGTGAAGCGATCGGTAAGCATGGTTGTGGAAGAATAGAAAGAATTGGTTGGATGATTGACACCTTTTTCATCATAGACTGCAGAGACAAAGAAGACGCAAGATAGGATCAAGACCATCCATTCACAACAAGAGAAGCGCAAGCAAGCGATTGCACACTTGGAAGAAAGAATCAAGCGAGCGAAGAGCAGTACCGGCGATGAACCACCCTCTAAGGATACGTCCGAGATTGATGAGGCCATTGTAAGTGTCGCGTTTACGTATGAAGTAGGAAGGACACTAACGAACATCATCTCTCTCTATCAGGCTGAGATTGATCAAAAGGAAGCCAACATTCAAGTTGAATTGAACGCTGCGAGAAGAGATAAAAGGGAGCTTGGGGATCGACTGACGAACAACAAATACGCCATTCAGAAAACGCAAAGAGAGTAAGTGACCTGAGGGGGGGTTTTTTGATGGATCCATTGTCTGATCGATGTTGGTTACTAGTGTGAAAGAAGCCAATGATCGGATACAGCGTCGTCTTGCTCTTATTCGAGAACATCTCCCAGACACCGCAGCAGCATACAATTGGTTACGCGAGCATCGTGGCATGTTCAAAGGCAAAATCCATGGGCCCATTGGCATGATGCTGAATATCAAAGACGTGCGTTATGCAAACATGGTGGAATCGATTCTCGGAGGCATTCGTGGCCAACATTTAAGGGTTCGTGTGCTTTTATCTTTTCAGAATACCATGGCATTGACATTGCATAATACAGACATTCGTATGTGAACTCGAAGAGGATTACAAGTTGTTTACGGACGAGGTGATGGACAAGCAAGGGTTGCGTGTTACCGCTTATTGGCCAAAGTTGAACTTGGATGATCTTGATGTTCGAGGCCCAATGTCTAACGAAGATGTATGTGATGGGCGATCCTACAGCGACACTACCCACGTACTAATCACAATTTTGCCTCATAGCTTCGTAAAAAGTTCAACATGGATTACTTTGTGCATGAACTATTGGATGGACCACAAATTGTCATCAAGAGTTTGGCCCAATCATGCTATATCAACTTGGTGGTAAGTTAAAAGAAGCTGTGTGTGAGAGGATTTGGAATGGGTACTCAAAAATTGCGTTTACTTTTAGCCTGTCTCTCTACGACAATTGGATGAAAATCGTCTTGCACAATCGGGTGCTTTCCAAAAGTTCGCCATGAACGACAGCATTTACGAGGTCAAAAAGTACAGCTTTGGTCAAGGAGGACAACAAACCACTGTTCGATCTATTCGAAGATCAGAGTTCTTCACTGATAGTCGTAAGTAGACCTTCTCCCATTGTGTGATTGTACATGTGGCTCATATTAATTCATATACAGTGGATAATGACCGTCGCCATCAATTGAGCAGCAAATTGGCCGAGCTTGAGCAGATCCGAGAAAATCTCGAGGGCAAGATCAAGGACATTGAGAAAAATGAGAGAAACCTTAATCAAAAGCTTGAGGAATTGCGTTATGCAAGAGTAAGTATACACTTATCAGTGGGTGATTGAAAATATCTGACGCAGTGATTTGTTTGTAGAATGACAAGAAGGCTGCCAAAAGAGATATCCAAATGGCCCGTATGCGATGGGAGCAAATGAAAGCCAAGATCGGTAAGATGGATCACAAGTAAAAAGTCAATCTCATTGCTCATTTATGGTATTAGATGAAATGGAGGATGAGCTTGAAAGCAGAATGGCCGAGCCAGAGAATAGTGAGGACATGGTCAAGAAATTGAAGGAAGAAATGACCGAGCAGGTCAAGGAACGTGCTGCATTATCAGCAAGGTTTATGGTAATTTTGGAATTGGGACAACATTGTTGTGATTGGCTTCATTGACGGCCGCCCATTTTTATAGAACACCCTCAAAGAGCATGTCAACAAAATCACAGAGCGTAATATCTCCGAGTTGGCCGTGATCCAAGCTGCTGGTAAATGCACCGCTGCAAAGGAGTATTCCAGGAATCAGACCATCGTTCTCGAACAGGCCAAGCAAGCTTATCGACAAGGTAAGGAAATCGACTTGCATGATATTGCCTCTTTACTTATAGACATTCTCTAGTTGCTTCAAATTGCCAACAAAAACGACACAGGCTACAAACCTTCAGAGAGGGTGCTGAGCGTGCTGGCAGGAATTTGGAGCCTGAACTTAAGGAGGAGTTTCGAGAGGTACATGTCGTGTTTCTTTTTATAGGGTTGAGTGAAGGGATTACTGACGTACGAGTATTTAGATCCGCAACCAATGGCGGGAAAACGGTTCTTTGGAGCAGTCCACATATGAAATTGAGAATGAGATCAATAGCTCCAAGGCCAAGGCTGATACCCTGAAAACCAATAATCCAAAGGCGTTGGAGCAATTCGAGGCGCGCAAGAAGGAGATCGATATATTGTCTGAAAAGATTGCAACCAATCAGCGTAAGCTGGACTCACTCAAGGAAAAGATACACAAAGTCAAGGTATGAATACTACTTGAAGGCAAAGGGTATTTTATTAACGACGCGTATACAGAATGAATGGGAACCACGACTTACGGCCGTTGTATCCAAGATCAGTGACAAATTCTCAGAGGCATTGCAACGTAAGCAGCTGTGGGTAATGATTGTAAGGAACAGTGGATTGATTTGGTACTTTTTAAAGGGATTGGATGTGCTGGTGAAGTGTGTGTTCATCAAGAAGAAGACTTTGACAAGTGGGGCATTGAGATCCGAGTCAAGTTCCGAGACAACGAGAAGCTGCAACTCCTCACAGGCCAACGACAATCAGGTGGCGAGCGTGCAGTATCGACTATCTTATATCTTATGGCGTTACAGAACCTTGCACGATCACCCTTCCGCGTAGTGGATGAAATCAATCAAGGCATGGATCCTCGAAACGAACGTATGATTCACGAGCAAATTGTCAAGGGTGCCAGTAAACCGGGAACTGCACAGTGAGTTTATACTTTTATATAACGTTAATGCTCTTGTGTGCCTAACTCAGCTCTTTCTTGCAGGTACTTTTTAATCACGCCGAAGTTGCTTCCAGATCTTTATTACAACGAACGTATGCGAGTGCTTTGCATTTACAATGGCGAATGGCAACCCAAGCGATTGAAACCATTGACCGAATACCTGAAGCGGGCACGTGCTGCTGCGTAGTTATGCGTGTCATGTTATCCTGTGCAACACAGCTTTTAGTTCCCTATTTTACACCTCATCCCGACACTACACCCTTTGTATCACCATCTTCCCACGCGCGTCTATAAAAGGACCCTCATTGACACGACAAATACAACTACCACCTTTTCTTCTTTTTATTTTTCTTTTCAATGTCTGTGGATATCTTGAAGGAAAAGTTTGCCTTTGCAACAACCGTCCGAGAGCGACAAGATGTGATTCGTCAACATGCAGTAGCCGAGTCTTTGGATTGGTATTATTATCACGGCCTTGTCCTCCTTCAACAGCTGTATGAATGTGTACCCAAGCAACCAGCCGACACGCGTGATCCTACATCTCAAGAAAAAGAGCTCATGGATTCCATTCGTCAACACATACGCTCTTTTGAACGCCAATTCCCCGCAGGTCCTCATGAACAATTACGCGCTCGCTTCCAGCTACTTTCCTATTCGATCAACACATCCGAATCCACCGAATACATCCGTGATAGGCTTGGCATCCGCAGCATTGCTAGCAATAACGCTAACAACAACACAAGTACTGCGGCAGCTGAAGATGCTGGAACTCCTATTCCATCGTCAAGTGGACCCGATGCTATGTATCCAACAAAGCTTGACCAAGCCCTGATTGATCCAAACGCCGTCGTGGAACGTGCACTACGCCACAATAACTCTGTCAACCTTCTCTTGCTGCCTTCTTCTTTGCCACTCGAGAATGACAATGAATCCTTGCTATCATTATTAACAAGCACATTGCCACAACATCGCTCCGATCATCTCGACAAGCTCGCAAATGCACTCAAGGACAACAACAAAAACAACAACACGCGATCAAAGCACTTTTCGTTTGCTGAGTTGACTTTGGAACAGCTGGATAAATTGCATGAAATTTATCCTTCCGTGGCAGATGACTATGTTGCTTACCTTTCCGCCTATCTCAGCAAATTGGTCGACAACCACCCAAAAGAATATGCCAAGCTATGGGAATTTGTAAAGACGCTCAAAGAAGATTACACGCTCAAGCGACATATCCTTTCATGTTTGTTGCAAGACAAGATCCTTCAAGATGACTATGACATGGATCTCTTCAAGACATACTTTGAAGTGGTACAATTATGCAGGAATTCTCAAGGCCAACCTCGTCTTCCCTCTGTGAGTAGTAGTACCTACCTTTATTTGCATACATACATACTTATACTCTCTCTCTCTCTCTCTTTCTAGATCCCTGATTTACCAGTACCCAAGATATCACATGACGACCTCATTTCAGAATTCCTTGCGGGTGCTCTTTTGAAGGATGCTCAAGGCACAAGTGATATGATTCGTGAATGGCCACATTACAAGAGCGAATTGGAATTCCTGCATGCCGAATTATTGATCCAACAACAACCAACCCACGCGTGGGCGCAGCAAATCCTCGGCTCTCCTGATATCAAGGAAATATCCTCACGTGTTGAATTGTCCTTCCCACGCTTCACCACAAAGTTGTATTATGAAACGCACCCTTTGATGCCTACGGATCCCATCCGACTCACTGTGAGAATCAAAAATGTGAAACATGTCAGTGTGCGTGCATATCAGCTGGACTTATTTCAATACTGGCGACGTGTACAACATCGTCAACGCAACAAAAAATTGGAGGTCAATGATATCAACCTCGATGGTCTATGCCCCACTTGGGAAACTGAATTGGATTACAGCCATGCATCGCCTCTTGAACGCATTGACAAGACATGGGTCCTTGATGATGCTGCCGTATTCAAAGGACGTGGCGCTTGGGTCATTGATGTCGTGGGTGGACGTGAGAATTGTCGTGCCATTGTACAAAAGGGTCGTTTGCGCCACTTGGTCAAGGATACTTCGGCAGGCCATTTATTCCGCATCCTCGATGAACACAATCAACCTGTAAAAGCCAAGTTGTGGATCAACAACACGTACTATGAGGTAATAAGAGACTGCTGCTGGATCGATCAAAAAAGTCTATTTGTACTTACATACCCTATATAGGCAGATGAGCAATGCAACATTTTGATTCCCTATCGGGATGGTTCCGGTGATGAAAATGCTCAAGCTCTTATTGTCACAGAGGAGGATGGCTATTGTGAACCCGTACAATTCACATGGAAGGAAGAGGAATATACCCTGGTGGCTGATTTCCACGTGCATTCGGAAAGTCTTGTTGCCAACAAGCAAAGCAAAGTGGTCGTCGTGCCACGTTTGATGATCCATGGTCAACCTGTATCGCTCAGCCTTTTGGAATCAGTGGGTCTATCCATCGAAGCAATGAATGCCAATCAAATCAAGAGCACCTTTGCCAAGGAGAAGCTTCAAGTGGGACGTAATCAACCCATTGAAATGGACTTTACAGTTCCCAGCTCATGTAAGTATAACAATGAAATGAGGAGGGGGTCATTCTTTTGTTGACGATAGGATGGATATTGTTGTTGTAGTGTCCTCATTGTCCTTTATGTTACGGGGCAAGGTCAAGACTACTTCCACAAAGACTCCATTGCAGGACGTGGAGGTGTCAGATTTCATGAGACTCCAATCGGCTACCGATTCAATCACCAGTGCCTATTTGCGTATCAAGAATGATGGCGAGTATATCATCCAAATGCTTGGAAGAAATGGTAAGTTGATGTCTTTGTAGTATCTTTTGTTGTCGACTTATGCGGCGTTTTTTAGGTGAACCACAAAAGGGTGTCGTGGTGAATCTTGGCCTACAACATTCCATGGTGGAAGAGACAATCAATGTGAACTTGCAAAGTGACCAGCAAGGCGTGGTTTCGCTTGGCAAGCTCAAGCATGTCACCGGCATTTCATTGTACAGCCCAGTCTCCAAGAATTGGGATCTCGTGCCTGATGCTACACAATCACGTCTACCAAGTGTCATTTATCATGCTGCCAACAAGCCTTTCCACTTGGCATATCCACAAGGTGATGATCAATGTTGTACGCTTTTCCAATACGGCGAGCATGGGTAAGCATTGAAATGAAGGATATAAAATACATGTTATGACTTACGTCCTCTTTTTCTGTTAGCCACGTTCTTCATGATATGACAGACAAGATCAACGTCACCAGCGACTCTATCAATGTTCCGGAAGGTCTTTCAGCTGGTACTTACAGGTTTTATTTGTCCACGTCTGCAAGCTATGGCAAGAATGTATGCTTTGGTGTACAACAGGTGGACTGTACCATTATTGATGCAGCTAGCAGCAATGACACGAGCTCATCTCCTCATTGGTCTGATTGGCTTGTGAGCCCACGTATCTTTGCACAATCAACGGGCCATCCTATTACCTCGCCTATGGGTATCGACAACCTTGAATTGACTGAGAATCAGCTGGTGATCAAGCTCAACAATTGTCATGCATCCAATGCTGTTGCCTTGGTTTCCACCACTGCCTTTGTCCCTGAACGTGCTTCCAACACAACACGCTCCTTGGTGTATAACCAAAACATCCCTGAAACAGCTATGCTCAAGACATCGGTGGATACGTTTGCTGCATTCTTGGAAGGTCGTAAATTGAGTGAAGAATTCCAGTACATTTTGAATCGCAATCGTGCAGAGAAATGGGTGGGAAGTTCCTTGACCAAACCATCCCTTGTTATTTATCCAAAGGTAAATTGCATTGATCCCACCTTGTTATTATCGTATACATATACTTATTATTTCATTTATAGGAGACCCACGTGACACGATCCGAGCCACGTTATTTGGAGGGTGAGGAGCCTCATCAAGCAGTGGATGCCTTTGGAGGTGAAGCGGATGCAGTCCAATGCATGAATGCTTCTTCTCCTTACTACGGCTCTGTTCCTAGCCCTGATGCTTCCTGGGATATGAACTTTTTGAATCATGCTACGCCGACGCTCGTTGTGTTACCTGATGAGCAAGGACAATTGGTGCTGGATCGATCACAGCTAGGCAATGGCAACCTCCTCCATATTGCCATTCATCAGAACAAGCAAGCATTGACAAAGCAAATCGTTTTGCCTGATGTATCCATGGATCTCAATTGCCAAAACATGTGTCATCAAGCTGATCATGATGTCTCTATTGCCTACGTACGCACCAAATCCGTATCCACGCTCACTCCATCCTCATCCTTGGATCTTACCATTGGCCAACATGAATGGGAGACGATTCACACCTTTGAAAAGATCTATGATCAGCTCGATAACATGACATCAAGCCAGCTTCGGGATTTCGAGTTCCTCAAAAAGTGGCCATCCATGACCGTTTCGCAAAAATCAAAGCATCATAAGGAAAAGGTGTGCCATGAGTTGAATCTTTGGATCAAGCATCGTGACCCTGCCTATTTCGATGAACATGTCAAGCCATTTATTGAGGTGAGAAAAGTGTTGTTGTTGTTGTTAAAAGAGGAGTGGTCTCTAATGGCCTATTATTGTTGTAGTGCAAATTGAACAAGTCATTTATGGACCTCTATTTGGCGGATGAGGATTTGAGCGTTTACACAACCGATCTTTACATGTACCAAAAGCTCACCACCATCGAGAGAGCATTGCTCGCCAAACGCGTTCCAGAAATGCTGCCTGTGATTTTGCAAGCATTCAAGGACGAATATGAACCCCCCTCTGAAAAGAAGGTCGATAGTCGCTTTGATACGGTCCTTGGTGCAAGTGCGTTGAATATTGAGAATGAGGTGGCTAATCAATTCCAACGACTCGGGCTGGCGCAACGTAGTTATGCTGCTACTGCAAGCTTTGGTGCAGCACCAAGGGCACGATGTGCAATGATGATGTCGATGCCTCCACCCCCCGCCGCTCCCGGTTCTGCCATGCGACATAGAAAGATCGCACGTAAGTATAACAAGAATGATAACGATACTCGTGAGCTTTTCATTTATGGGAGCAATTAGGAGTAGTGGACCAAGAAGAGGAAGAAGAAAGTGATGATGATATGGGCTTTGCAATGTTTGATGATGACGACTTCCGACAAGGTGATGGCGAAAATCTTCAACAAGGTGATGGTGATGGTGAATCCTCTGATGACGAGGATGACAAGTTTATGGAGGAAGAAGCGTTGCGAGAGCTTTTAAAGAAGCGTGCCACCAAGGTCCCTTACACCTTTGCCAAGGCTACTCGTGAATGGTGTGAAAAGGGTTATTACGATGATAATGTCCCATCCGTTCCTGTGAACCAGTTCTGGATCGATTACCTTGAGCATGCATCAGGACCCTTCTTGTCTTCGGTAAGTGGATGGAAAGGAATCAAGATGATGAGGATGATGGTTTGACACACACACATACATACATGAAATAGAACTTTATCTATACCTCAGATGAAATCAGCGAGATCATGGCTATTCTTTCATTGATGGAGCTTCCTTTCCAAACCGATGCTCATATCAAGCAAGAATCCGATTTGGAGGCTGCAAGATTTACTATTCGAGCTGAAACACCTTGTCTCGTGTACTATCGTGCCATTAAGGTAAGGATCAAGAAGCTTACAAATACACACACCACATAAATACTTATCATCTTTTTGAGTAGCAAGCTGAGAATCCACCACCTTCCAATCCATCGATTCTTTTGGGTCAAGGATTCTTTGTTAAAAAGGATGCTGTGGGTAACGAGCTTGACATGGTGGATCCAAATGCATTGCGTCCCGCTGTTGATTACGGCTGGCATTTGGCTATCAGCAACATTTCCTCCAAAAAGTGCACAGCTGAAGTGACCTGCCAAGTACCTTTGGGAGCCATTCCTACGGACAACACCGCTTATTTCCAATCACGCACGATCCAAGTCGAACCTTATTCCACATGGCGTAATGTGGTGGGCAGCTTTTATTTCCCAGAATGTGGAGAGTACAAGCATGCTCCTGTTACTGTGTCACGCAGCTCAGCCCTACTTGGTCAAACGCAGCCTGTGAACATCACGGTATCATTGGCGGATGAGGATGCCATGGCAGCAGAGGCAGCATCTGGTAGCAGCAGCAATGCTTCTTGGGCAACGCTTGTGGCTAACACCAAAGATGATGCCAAGATCCTTGAGTATCTCGAAACAAAGGCCAACCTGCAAAAGATCGACATGTCGTTGTTGAGCTGGCGTATGCACCAACAAGAATTTGCCAAACAAGTGTTGGCATTGTTGCGTAAGCGACGCTTCTTTTCACACGAATTGTGGCAATATGGCTTGTATCACCGATTCCCCGATGCCATTCAAGAGCTTATTCTCCAATCTGGTCAATCGTTGGTCAATCGTTGCAGTCGTGTGATAGAATCTCCCCTTGTGACTTTTAAGGATATGCCAGAAACGCTCGATTATGATCCCATGATGACTGCCAGAGGTAAGAATTATATATTGCAACATCGTCGTCATTTGTGAAACTCATCATCCTGATGTTGTAGCCCACCCCATTGGCAATATCAACAAGATCTCGAACATCACCTTCTTTGGCCAATACGATAATCTTCTTGATTATCTGTGTCTAGTGCAGCAACCCACGGCATCCGATTTGATCATGTTGACCGATTATTTGATCCTCCAAGAACGCATAGGTGACGCACAAGCCATGTACAAGCAACTTTGCAACATGAACCCACCCTCCAGCATCCAAATGGATTACCTGAATGCCTATTTGCAAACGCGTATTCGTGTTGAGGATGCTGCTGATGGTACAAAGACCCTTGATATGGATGCCGTGCGAGCTTTGGTTAACAAGCACAAGACATGCACAAATGAAAAATGGCAGCAGCTGTTTGTACGATTGGAAGAGTTTATCAACCAAGTGGAGCAACCAGCATCCTTGGCTACAGGCACAGAGCAACAACAACAGCAGCAGCAACAACAACAATTGCCAGAGGGCCCTGTATTGGACTTTAACATTGGCGCTGAAGGCAAACTTTTATTGAACTACGCCAACGTGACTCAAGTCAAGATCCGATATTACAAGATGGATGTGGAAGTCATGTTCTCAATGAACCCATTCATGAGTGGTCAACAGCAGCAGTCTGTGCAATATGATTGGATCAAGCCTACCATGGTGCAAACAGTGACATGTCCCCCAGCAACCACCACCACCACCAAGGACACAGCTACGACTAGCGATGAAAAGGAGGACGACTTTGCAGTCATTGGTGTGGGCAAGGTGGCTACATCTACTTTGGCTGTGGATATGCCTGAAACGCTATTGAATGCCAATGCCATGGTACAAGTGACAACAAGTGATTCAGCATTGGAGCGGCGCAAGGCTCACTTTAGCAATGATTTGGCATGCCATTTCATCGAAGGATATGGTATTGTGCGTGTTGCAGCCAAGCAGACCAGCCGTCCATTGGCAGGAACTTACGTCAAGGTGTACGCAAGACTTAAAAAGAGTGAAGGTGGTCGTGTTGAGTTCTGGAAGGACGGGTATACGGGATTGAATGGCGTGTTTGACTACGTCACCGTCACGGATGGCAACAGCTTGGTGTCACGACTCAACCACAGTGATCCAGATAATATCCTTGAAAAGGCGGTAGAACGTGTGGAAAAGTTTAGTCTTTTGATCCAGAGTGCCCAACATGGTGCATTGGTTGAGGAAATCTATCCTCCGGCATTGTAAAGATTCCGATCATCGCAAAAGGAATAAAAGAAATTTCGGTTTCATGTAACACAAATGGACCGATTGGAAGAATACACAATTGTTTATATGGTTATTTGTCCCATCATGGCTACCGGGATAGGTGCATATCCGTACTACTCTTTTTTTTACCCTGGTTAGATCCTACCCTTGTCTTACAATCATCTACGTGGGACAATCAGATAACTGATGACTAGGATGATGAGACGCACACACACATCATACAACGGATCAGAATTCTTTGAATGGTGAGTAGACTACCTTGTGATCTAAACAAGATCTGTTTCCCCCCACTATATATAAAAAAGAAGAGTTGGATGCCATTGTTTACTTGCTCTCCCGCCAAAAGCCTGATTTCTCTTTCACTCATCTCGTCTTTTCAATTTCTCAATCAAGATGGCATCGAATGGTGATGAAAAAACACACATGGACGTAGACACCAAGAAGGAACCACCCTATGCTTCAGCAGAGGACATTAGCGATGATCCACAACAACAAAAGCAAGAACATGGTTTACATGAGAGTGATGCAGCACTTGCTAATGCTCCTTGGCGCTACAAACTAATCGCACTCGCGACCGCATTGATGCTTCCAGGTACATGAACACTTGCTATGATGATGATGGATCATTGCTAACCATCTTTTCTTTTTAAAGTGGGATCCCATTTCTCGGGTGCTGCTCTTGGTGCCATGAAGGCTTCTATTAAGGAGGTAAGTGATTGCATGGACCTTTTTTTATTATCATCCATCTTAACTTGGAGCCCCTTTTTCGTTAGAATCTAATGATTGATAATACTCGTTACGGTGTGTTGTCGAGGTAAATGTTCTTCATATCACATGTCATTTTCATTCACTCACACATTCACGTGCATGTACGTAAACCAGTGCCGTGAGCATTATCAACACGGTCTTCCCCATTGTCGGTGGCTTCTTTATTGACGTGTGTGGAACGGTGTGGGGCACCATTGTTGTCAATTTGATGATCTTTACTGGCAGTTTATTAACGGCGATTGCGGCAAGAATATCCAGTTTTTCATTGATGGTGGTGGGCCAGGTCGTTTTTGGTATTGGCAGCGGGTTGATTGTGACGATGCAAGAATCACTCCTATCGAAATGGTTCCGTACAAAGTATCTCGCCTTTGCTATTGGCATGCAGCTTTCCATCAGCCGGCTCTCCACCTTTTTGGGAACATTGGTATCCAATCCTATTGCAATCCGCATGAATGATTGGGTTTGGGCGTTTTGGCTGGCTTTGACGCTATGTGCCTTTTCGATCATTATGAACATCATTTACGCCCTGGTGCTAAGACACTTGCAAGGCAATGTCATGAGCAAGGCTGAAATGTTAAAAATCAAGGCCAAAAAGACCGTCCATGTCAAATCGGTGTTGCGTTTCCCTCCTTACTTTTGGTTGATCCTTTTCATCGAGTTTGTGTATGCTGCCGTGTGGACTGTACATCAATCGGTGGCCACTGAGCTTGTGCAAATCCACTTTGGTACCACTCAGGTGATTGCAGGCTATAAGGCTAGTATCTCTCAAGTCGTTCCCATCGTCACTACTCCCGTGCTCGGTCTTTTTATGGATCTTTTTGGTCGTCGTGTATCCATCTGTAAGTGGATCCTACCGAATAATATGATGATGATGATGATCCTCATGATGGTGATTGATAATATGTAGTGATTTGCTCGGCTGCATTATTCATGATCAGCTGTGGTCTTTTGGGCTGGACAATGGTGGAGCCTGTTGTTGGCATGATTTTGTATTCCTTCTCTCTCGCCTTTGGTCCCATCAGTATGATCACATCCATTGGTATGATTTTGCCATCCGATTACATTGGTACTGGTCTTGGTCTTTTCAAGGGCTCTAATAACAGTAAGTGTCGCCCACAATGCCTCTTGTCATCCGTAGCTAAGCCTATCCCATAGTTGGCTCATCCATTCTGGATATCGTGGTGGGACTTGTACAGGATAACACTTATGAAGGAACCTATGTCGGTTAGTATTGTATATCCTTATGGTTCATGTTTCAAATATTAACATGATACGTGCTTGTAGGTGTTATGATTGTATTCTTGTGCCTTGCAGCAGTAGGCTTGCTGGTCATCCTATGGCTCTGGTACACCCAATACAAATACCTTGGCAACCTTTTGGAAATGTCTCGCAAGCAACGAGAACAACGCATGGCTGAGATCAACGACAAGGAAGTTATGATGTCCAAACAAGGTCTCGATGCTATGAACGAGCGTACTACACGTTGGTACAACTATGCTTTTCTTGGAATCTTTGGGTTCTTCTTTGTTGCCGCTTGGGTTTTATTCTTTGTATTCTCTGCTACTGGCAACGTTGCCTAATAGAGCCACCTTTATCCCCTCTTCTGTTACATAATATTATAAGTATACGTACCCTATTAAAGTATGCGTGAGCAGGTACTCAGATTTGAAGTTACCATTAGAGCTTACAACGAGTCTAAAATACTACTTGAAAGCTACGGCCTACCACTTTTCCATCCTCTTCAAAGTCCACTTGATGTAATTTTGATGTATACAGACAAGTGGCTCTGGTTGCTCCCTTCGCTCGTTAACCTTTGATTTCTCGTTGAATGGCTTCCTAATTATGGGGTAGTGATCTTACAATAAGCTTACATGGTTACAGCCAGTTAATAGCCCATTCCTCCCAATCACCTTTATTACCCATCCTTCTGCATGTGAACGATTGTCCTACTTCAACCAAGCACCTCCATCCTTCAACTTTCTTGATCCGAGTGGATTTGATTGAATAACACTCAAACATAGAAGCATCATCCAACTTGAAAAAATTCATTTTGATTAGTGGTTTGTAAACTGCCACTTGATAGCCCATTCCTCCCATTATTCACCTTCGTTGACCAATCCAATGCATGCGATCGATTGTCCTGCTTCAGCCTATCATCTCCATCCTTCAACTTTCATGATTCGAGAGGATTTGGTTGAGTTACGCTCAAACACAGAAGCATCATTCAACACCAATTCGCGTACTTGATTTCCAGCTCTTCCAATCCCACTTTATTTGCCTCTTCCTCCCATTCTCAACTGTTGCCCCATTCAAGTACAACTACCACCTGCGAACGATTGTCCTGCTTCAACCCATCATGTCAATCTTACAACTCTCTTGATCCAATTGGCTTTGACTGAATGGCAAGTGCATGGCGTGTACATAGCCATCTTGTCACTCCACTACAACACGCGAATCGCTAATGCTACACCTTCTCTTGTACACTCCTCTACGGCAACCTAACGTAACAGCATTCATTCCAGCAGTTGCTATTGGCAAGGTGTTTACTCCATTGTCTCAAGCAACGTTCTTTACTTGCAGCAACTTGCTTTGCAGCCTTTTTTACGTGGACAGCAGATAGCCATTGTATAGAAGCAGCTTTATTTACGTGTAGCAACTTGCTTTCAATACATACGAGTTCCTATGGATATGGATATGGATCTGAAGATTGGTTTGGTATATGGGATGGAGGGAATTGGATATATACAATGCATGGAGAAAGGGCCTCGTTTTTATGCATCCATTGTCAACTTGGCCTCGGCGCTATCATCCTGAACGATTCGGTGCATCCAGTTATCCTATGTTACGCCCTTTTCATGGCAGCATGATTCGTCGGATCACATCCATCCATTCACCTTTGCACAATGGACGCCCAAAGGATAGATTCATTGTACCTCTCAATCTATCTCTTGTGAATAATGCTGGATTATTAAAGGATTACTGTTAAGCGAATACGAGATTGCGTCGACCAACCATTTCTAAGTTTCTATCGTGTAAGAAACCTTCCTCTTCCTGAGTTGGATGTCTTGTGTGTGGGTACATGGTGCATTGTATTATAGAAAGATATATGCAAGATTGTATGATGCTGTGATAAGGGAAAAAGGGAGGAAGAAGAGAAAGCGTTGTATTGATTCATTGTGTTTTAGAGAACAAAGCCTGTATTCGATAGTAAAACTCTTGTCCATACGCCGTAACATGTCCCTTTTTTTGCGATGTTGATCATGTAAGATAGCTATTTTATTGATATACAGCGAGAGATAGCCACACTAGTGTAGTAAATGATACATCAAGTAGGGCATTTGGGTTTCTATCCAATGGTGGCGGGGGCGGCTAGTATTGACGAATCAGGCAAGAGAAGCCCGGCAGCGTTCGCGGTAGTAAATTCCCAACGATTGCCTATTGTGAACTCCCTCTTCCATCAGCTGTAAGTAAGAAGTGTGGGGAATGGATGAATGGAGAAAGAGAAAGAGAAGGAGAGATGATATCAGATGGATGAATGAAGAACAAGAAGGATGGATGAGTGATGAAAAAGGATGGATGAAAAAGGATGGCTTTTACTGACATGGTATATGTATCTATAGCACAGGGACAATATGCTTATTCAAAAGCAAAACCGTAAGCTCATTTACGAGACTCTTTTCAAGGGTAAGCATTACGCACCTTCTTTATCAGACGAATGGGATAGTAATGTTGCATTGTAGACGGTGCTTTGGTCGCTCCCAAGGATTTCAACCTTGCCAAGCATCCTGAAATTGATGTCCCTAACCTTGAAGTTATCAAGTCCATGCAATCCTTGACCTCCAAGGGCCTTGTCAAGACCCAATTCTCGTGGCAATGGTACTACTATACTCTCACCAATGAGGGTATCGACTATCTCCGTGAATGTATGTTTCAACCAATACGACACCCAACGACACTACTCTTCTTTCTATACGAGCGATATCACTGAACGTTGATTATACAATATAGACCTCCACCTTCCTCAAGAGATTGTTCCTGCCACTCTCAAGAAGACTGCTCGCCCTGCTGCTCCTCGTCGTGCTTGTAAGTCATCTTTACATTATGCACCCTCTTAATGTATATCACTCATCATGGATCTCTCTCTCTCTCTATAGTTGGTGGTGAAGGTCGTGAAGGTGGTCGCCGTGACCGTGATGACTACCGCCGCAAGGAAGGTGCCTCTGGTGATTTCAAGCCCGAGTTCCGTGGTGGCTTTGGTAAGTGGATGATGATGAAATTGCATAAATGGAAGGAAGGATTACTCATATGCATGGCGTTTTTTCTTTTTGTTTTAGGTCGTGGTCGTCGCGAGTAAAGGAAATAGCAACCGTTCTTTTTTCTCTCCCAGTATAATAAAAAAAGGAACACAACACAACATCATCATCCGTTTTACTTTGTGGCAAGCGTGGGTAACAAACACAGCGAGAGAGTTGGATGGTGTGGTGTATGTACAACATGCAGGAGGCTAGTATAGTATGTCACAGTGTTAAACGGGCTTCCTTATGCAGCCAAAGTTCCTTGTGACGTAGACATGGTGCCCAGGTCGCACTTCCCATATGGTATAAAAAATCTCGTTACCATCAGCGTCTCCTTTCTTGTGTCTTTTTTTTTCTTTTTTACCTTTCAATAAAAAGGAGTATTTGGTGAGTGGATGAAAAAGTGAATGACAAGCACTGTTACATCATGCCCTAATTTTCTGTATTCTGCATTGACAGAAATCATGGGCCGCCGTCCCGCTCGTTGCTACCGCTATTGTAAGAACAAGCCTTACCCCAAGAGCAGATACTGCCGTGGTGTACCCGACCCCAAGCTAAGAATCTATGACTTGGGTAAAAAGAAGGCATCCGTTGATACCTATCCACTTTGTATCCACCTTGTCTCCAACGAATACGAGCAGCTTTCTGCCGAAGCATTGGAAGCAGGTCGCATTTGTGCCAACAAGTACATTTCCAAGAATGCTGGTAAAGACGCTTTCCACATGCGTGTGCGTGTTCATCCTTTCCATGTCACTCGTATCAACAAAATGTTGTCGTGTGCTGGTGCTGATCGGTAAAGTATATCCACCTGATGATGATGATGATGAGGATGATGACCCTGATTTGTAATAACACACACACTCTCTCTCCGACAAACTAGTTTGCAGCAAGGTATGCGTGGTGCATTTGGCAAACCCAATGGCCTTGTAGCACGAGTGAACATTGGTCAAATTATCTTTTCGGTGCGCACCAAGGATCATCACAAGGAAGTTGTGCTTGAAGCTTTGCGTCGTTGCAAGTACAAGTTCCCTGGTCAACAGAAGATTTTCATTTCTAACAAGTGGGGCTTCACTCCTCTTACGCGTGAACAATACATTGCTGCTCGCAAGGAAGGCAAGGTCGTGCGTGATGGTAGTTACATCAAGTATGTCCCCAATAAGGGTCCATTGGAAGACTACTTTAAGATGGCGCAGCGTGCTACTTGAATCAATCAGAAACAATAAAGCCTCACTCGCTTCAGCGGGATTGCTGCGGATTTATCATGCCGCACTTTTCTTTCATTCATTCATGAGTAACACTATTGATAATAATAATACCACGCCGCCCACTACGACGGCTGAACAACAACAACATGCGAGTAGCAGTAGTAGTAGCAGCAGCAGCAGTAGCAGCCGTCTCACTGAAGAGCAACGGAAACGCATGGAAGAAAACAAGGCAAAAGCCTTGGAGAGACTCAAAGCTACACGACAGCGAGAAGAACAAGAGTCCAAACGACCTAAACGTGCACGATGGACAAAGTACTATGAATACGATTTGAGCACCATGGTGGACACCAAAGGTGGTTTCATGATTGAAGAAACAAGAGAAGACAAGCTTATCAAGAGTCGACGAGAAGAAGCAACAAAGATCTCGCCATTTATTCGTATGTCTCTTCTTGGTTGTATACAATGCATGGACACTAGCTCAATGACGCTATGTAGCAATGTCGTCCGATCCTTCTGAAAACCCAAAATGCCGTGATTGTGGCTCGCTGGACGTCGACCCCATATTCTTCCAGGTGTTTCATATGTCAGTGTGTCCTCGATGCAAGGAAAAGTATCCCGAGCGCTATAGCTTGATTACAAAGACAGAGGCTAAAGAGGCAAGTGGTATACATGACAAGGCAATGGCACGATCAGTGATAGCTGATACTTGCTTTCTTAATAGGATTATCTCTTGACAGATCGTAAGTATATCGAAGAACAAAGAAGAAAGGCGCATTTAAGGTTAACGATATCGATATTCCCAGCTGAGCTCCGCGATACAGAGTTATTGCCCCACTGGTCGAAACCTAATCCACGAAAGGCGACTTGGAACAACATGATGTTGTATGTTCGTGAAATGGTACGTTGTCATGATCCCATGAGGTTCAAGGTATAGCAAGCTCACTTGAGTTGTATAGGTGGAAGAGTACGCTTTCAAAAAGTGGGGTGGAGAAGAAGGATTGGATGCCGAATATGAACGACGTGAAGCACAAAAGAAGGAGAAAAAAGATAAAAGATTCAAGGAGAAGCTGGCAGGTGAGCATCAACAAGGATTGGTACATGTGAATAGAGCTTGACTTTTGACATGATAGATCTACGTCGGCGGACAATGACAAGTTCATGGGAACGTAAACGGCAAGAAGGACCACACAAACATGTCTTTGGTTCACCCGTGGAGAATCCTGATACTGGAACAACAACCGAAACGTGTGTGGAGTGTGGATTAGTAGTTGAATCTGAGGAGTTCTGAGCACCGATACTACCAATACGTTTATGGGATAGCCTAGATTGTATATTACTTATTGCCCCTGAATTACTATCCACTATTCACCACGCCATTATAAACATCTTAATGCACTTGTTAATTACATCCATCATCATCATCATTGAGTAAACATTCAAAAGCATTGTATTGTGTATGGTATGGTATTATTGTTATCTATTGCTCTTTACAGCTACATTGGTTCTTTTTGCAGGAAGACATTGCTCGGTTGAGCTCCTTGCAAACAGCTTCACATCCTTTGCCGTTGTCTGATTCACAATCGCCGTCGCCCACGTTGGTGCAGTAGCAAGCTCCATCAACACACATTGGCTGGAGTCCTTTTTGGTCACATAATTTTTGGCAAGTTCCGAGTCCTCTGTTGTTATGGGAAGCATAGCATGAATGGCCGCCTGCAATCACTTTAGGCTTTGCAGAGTCTGGTGCGGCAAGAGAAACGCTGGCAAGAAGAACGATGGTACCAACAAAAGCAGTCGACAAGAGTTTCATAATGATGATGTGGAATTAAAAAAGGAGAAAAAGATGGTTCCTAATGGTGTGGGCAGGGTTCTTTTTATTATAGGCGTGGTGTCGTATTGCATGGCGCACGCTCCCTCTTCCCCAGCTTGTACTAAACCCCTGGCGGTAGTCCAAAGCATGACTTTTCGGTTAAGAGAAGCTCACTAGTAAGTATTGTACAACAATATGATATGATGCTTTTACATTGCTGTTTGAAACAAACCATAAGCAGTGTTCTTCTCACCGTTGAAATGGCCTACAAGTTTGTCATAGTGTCCAATCTCCTGATATCAAGGATGGGATTAACTGAGATTGAATTAGAGAGAGAGAGGGGATGCATTGACTTGGTGCAAGCCAGCTTTACTGTATACGTCTTCCTTACAGTTTTTGCCATGGCAACACCCAGACGACAGCCATAATCAGAGAACTGACGCAGATGGGTTTGGAGACTTGAGTAAACGAACGACATTGTTGAAGTGCAATGGCTGTTTGGATGACTAGAGTTCGTGTGCTGCTTGGGTCCCGGCAACAACATCCAACTTTTCAGTGAGGCTCGGCTATTTGCATACCTTTCCAAAGGCCACAGCTGTATAGTAAATAACGTTTATAGTGTCTATCATCGTGATTCATGATGGCATACACACATGGAGGAAACGACAATCATCATCTTCACCTATACCAGCTTCATACATGATAGCGATTGGACAATGAAATAGCTCTTTGATGATGATGAATAAAGCCACTACCCCATATTTGATGGCGTACATATTGCAAGGTTGATCAACACAATGCACGTTGTTATGTACACGAGGAAAGGAATAGAAATGGCAATAATGAAGAGGGGCATGCTACAACACTGTTCTTCTCCCCCACATTCAAGGATCGTATGAGCGAGGATAGCACACGACGCACATTGATATAGACGCCTAACCCCTAAACGTCACTACTTTTACTATGATGCAGCAGCGTGTTTAGCATGTAAAAGTAGACGTAAGTAGAGGATGATGTTAATGCAATGCTGGGCCCACCACCTTGTACCACAACTTTTACTTGACATCCTCCGCACATTTTAACGTGGCTTGCACGTTTCGGTGACCCCTTGTATTGTTGCCCTTGATGATTTCTTTTGAAACGAATCCAAGGATTATGAGAAAGAAAAACTATACAAACTCCAATTGATCCTACTGAGGCAGCAGACTTCTTTTGAATGAAAATGAAAATGAGAATGATATTGTACTGCTCCCCTTGTGCTGAATAATTTCACCTGCGCATGCTATAGCATCCGGTCAACTCAGCAACCAAGATCTTTGTTCTTTGATGTTCTTCACGGAGCTGAATTTAAAGAAAATGAATGCATGTCACGTCCTGGTACAGTGCAAAACAGATGGGACGATTGTTGTTCCCTGTATTTCCCGCCCACCATATCAGTGTCAATTCCCAATGAAATTTCTCCATTACTCAGGCACGGGAAACCAAGCCAATGACTGTGATGTAAGATGAGTAATCCATGGTCAATCGGCGATTCGAATCAACAGCAGTCATTTTTTTTTCAAGGTATAAAGCCACCTACCATAAAAAAAAACTTCTTTACAGAGTGGAACCTCTTTTAGAAAAACCATGTCCTTTACAGGCGAAACTTTCAAGTTGGCGCGCACGTCCCTTGTTGCACGAACTCGCATGTCAAGCATTGCTTCCTTGCGACCACATGCATTGTTGACAGGTAAACCATCATCCGCTGTGTGTTTATTTTATCATGAAACTAATTTCCCCAAAGCAACTGCAAGACGTTCCTTTTCAACAACCCCTTCCTCCCATCTCTATATCCAGACCAATTTGCATAATGATCAAACCCACAAGGCAATTCAAGCAGATGGCAAGTTTTATGATTTTCGCAGTGATACCGTTACTGCTCCTACCGATGAGATGTTTGAGGTGATGAAGAATGCATCCAGAGGTGATGACGTGTTTGAGGCAAGTAGTGTATTTTGTGCTATGCATGTTATTGTAGTCAACTAACATGGCCTTTTTTTCTTTCTATAGGAGGACCGTAGTACCAAGGAGCTTGAAGAATACGTTGCTGATCTTTGTGGTCATGAAGCCGGTCTCTTTTGTTCCAGTGGCACTCTTACAAACCAGCTTGGTTTACGTACACACTTGTCCCATCCACCCCATTCGGTCGTATGTGATGCACGTTCGCACGTTTTCCTTTGGGAAGCAGGTGGTATTGCATTCCATTCTCGTGCTTCAGTGAGCCCTGTTATTTGTGAGAATGGTATCCATGTCACTGCCGAGGAAATTGAAGGCAATCTCATTGATGCGGATATCCACACTGCTCCTACACGTGTTGTTTCCTTGGAAAATACCTTGAGTGGTCTCGTTTTCCCATTGGATGAAATCCGCAAGATCTCTGAATTGGCTCGTAGCCGTGGTTTGGCCATGCATTTGGATGGTGCCCGTTTGTGGAATGCTCATATGGCCACTGGTACACCTCTCAAGGATTATGGTGCTCAATTTGATAGCATGTCATTGTGCTTATCCAAGGGTGTGGGTGCTCCTATTGGATCCATCCTTGTTGGTTCTCATGATTTTATCCATCGTGCACGCCATTTCCGCAAGTTGTTTGGTGGTGGTTGGCGCCAAGTCGGTGGTTTGGCAGCTGTAGCAAAACATTGCATTGAGAATGTGGTCCCTACAATGCCCGAGACACACAAGCTCACTCGCTACTTGGCTGATCATTTGGTGAATATGGGTCTCGAATTGCAAGTGCCTGTGCACACCAACATGGTCCTTATCGATGGCAAGAACCTTGGCTTGGATATACAGCGTGACCTTGTACCTGTATTGCTACGCAAGAATGTCAAGATTGGCGGTATGCGATCCAAGTCGCGTATTGTGCTCCATCATCAAGTCGATAAAAAGGCCGTCGATACGCTTATTGAAGGTGTTCGTGAAGCTATCCAAGCACGTGAAAATGCCGATCCTGAACAAGTTGCCTCCGCTACTGCTGCTGCTGGTGCAGCTTGATCCACTTGCTCATCCTCATCTTGTACATATATATATCCTCCATCCTCCTCTGCTTGAAAGTACTTACTAGCTTTAATAAAAGTAAAGGAATCACTAGACATATTGAAATCATAATTGCGTATGTGTATCATTGCTCTGTTTATGTTGTTGATTTCATCAGGTGAGCCGACCATCATGCGGTATCACCAATTTATCAATCCATACATGTCGCCCTCCATAATTATTGGCTATCCTCAACTCCAGGCACGCTTTCCAAGCAGCACTGTACCTGACCTTATCTTAGCGCAACCACCATGGTACCTGATAACCCATTCCTCCCTTCTTTGTTTGTATTTTTGTCATCAATCAGCATACGGATCATCGTTCAATAGTTAACAGTAGTACGTGTTTTTATAAAAACGTCACCGTCCGCTAGCTACAATGTTGAAACCATCTAGCTATGCACCATCAAGAAGCATCCCGTCCAGCAGATCCATTTCAATCCCATACAGCCAAGGCGATATGTACAATGACCTTGAAGCTATCCTTGATCCTTCTCTTCATCTCCTTACCATTATAAAATCCTCCATGCCATCCAGCATAAGTGGCTTCAAGTAAGACCGGTATCGGTGCCTCGTGTGCCTTCGTGTTTGTGTCGATGAATCTTGTAGATAAGGATATACAATCAGTTCTATGCTGTCAAGTGCTTCCAACCATAAGCTCATACCATGTCTCTGCTCCATTATCCGAAAAAGATCGAGTACTCCAATCCCCCATCCATGGCTGTAAACTGCTTCTCGTGAAAAAATAAGTCTTCTCAACAATGCCATCCCATCCATCATCATTCTCGGCCGCATCCACGTGACATGATGTATCCTTCCTGCTGACAACGCGCCAAGTAACCAAAGCAACATTCCAGGACGCCAACGTCCTTGATTGCGTCCATCCATAACCATTGCAAATCCAATACGTTGGTTTAAAAGAGCCACGTGATTGCTGCTGATATGCTTCCTTTCCCATCCTGCTGTTGATGTATCTCTTTCTTGGTCATTTTCCAACGCAGCTCAACCAGGCGAAGAGTGCTTGTATTGCAGCGTACTAGATAGCTGATATGGCATCAACCATAAGATCCGTACGTATTGAAGCAAGTTGCTACACGTAAATAAAGCTGCTTGGGTACAATGGCTAGCTGCTGTTCACGTGAAAAAGGCTGCAAGGCAAAAACGCTGATTGAGACAATGAAGACCTTGCTAATGGTAACAGCTGCAATGAATGCTGTTGCGGTTGATCGTGGCAGAGGATCGTGCAAGAGAGCGTGTCGTATCGAGAGACGCGTGTGTTGTAGAAGAGTGATAAGAAGGCTGTGTACACGCCATGGACTTGCCATTCAGTCAAAGGCAATCGGATCAAGGCAATTGGAGAGTTGACATGATGGGTTGAAGCAGGACAATCGTTCGCAGGTGGTAGTTGTATACTTGAATGGGGCAACAGTTGGGAATGGGAGGAAGGGGGAGAAAGGTGAGAGTGGAAGAAGTGGAAATTAAATAGGCGGACACCTCTTGTATAAATATGCATGAACACTGTACACCAATCCTTGATATTGAGATTGCTCCTCTCTCGCACCTCAAACTTTCACACAAGATGCTCTTGGGTATTCTGATCACAATTTTCTAAAAAAGACCTCATGTTTCATTTGAGAAAATTGAATGGGAGGGTACAATGTGGGATTTACTATGGACATCATCGAGCCCCTAAAAAATTTCACTGCACTTCAACGCAGCATACTTTTAAGCAATGTCTTGCAGTGGATCGCGAGGATATCGCAAGATTGCATTTTGGTGCAGTGCATTGCTGAGCTTCCTATATAAATTGCACGGCACTGATGAGCTACCTATTTTCAATGCAAGGCATTGCAAGGCACTGATGAGCTACCTGTATACATTGCAAGGCGTTGCTAGGCATTGCTGAGTTACCTATATACATTGCAAGGCGTTGCTAGGCATTGCTGAGTTACCTATTTTCAGTGCAAGGAATTGCAAGGCATTGCTGAGTCACCTATTTTCAATGCAAGGCATTGCAAGGCATTGATGAGTTTCCTGTATGCCATTGCAATGTAGTGCAAGGCGATGCTAAGCTCTCAATAATATGCATATCGATATCGTACGCTGAAGAAGCAGTATTGGTAAGTAGAAAACGTATGACCGAAAACTGATTTAATTATCATTGATACAATAAAGGCAATACAAGAATGTGATTATGATGGATTATAGATAAGTAATTTGCTTATGGCTTGTAGTCACCATCCTCGTCAGCGTCGTTGTACCCCTTGTACACCATATTGCCGCCCGCACAAACAATTTCAGCATCACTATCAGCTTGCTTGTATTCTGCGGGAGTCCTCGTAGTTCTTTTCGGCCAACTTACATGATCCTCATCTTGAATACGTAGCATGTTTCTTATTCCCGCAGACCATTCATCTCGGCACACATCGTGATTAATTAGATATTTGCCGTAATGTCTACATCCATTGGTGTCCTCATACACCGTAGCAAAGTCCGGCACTACATGTATGGGCCGAAGTATTTCTTGTATCGGAAAAACCTCGTATCCATCGTTTAAGGAGAGTGGTTGAAGTCCACTGGCATGGCGGTGTTGAATAATAGTGAATGTTCTCATCAAACAAAGCTGAATTTCCTTCCCACTTTCATGCAAAATGACAGTAAAAAAGAGTAACACTTGGCCAATTCGGTTGTAATCCATGGCAACGTAATCGTACCGCTCATGCCCAAAGAAAGATGCGTGCGCACGCACGACCCACTTACGATCACCGCCATCGTCATCTGCCCTTTGTATTGTTAGCTGCTGATACGCATTGACCTATCACGTTCATTAACATTTTTTGATCCATGGATCAGAGTGCGATTGTAACATACCTTGTTGCAATCGTACACCCTTGTATGATTGTTTGCTTGTGTCAGATTAAGGCGCTTTTCAAAATACATTTTCAAGAGATCATCAATGTCGTAGCAGCAGGGCCTTACTCCAGCGAGTACCATGATGTTGACAGGTTTCGAGTAAATCTTCGAACCAAGCGTATAGAGAGGATTCGATAACACAATATTCAATGGTGTATGCGGATCTTTATGGTAGTAGGTATCATCCAGCAAATCACGATGATAGACATAATCGCTCATCTAGCATCATAAACGCGTTATACTTGCAATTTGTTGAGTAAATAGTCATTCTCATACCTGCTTTGTTATATCACAATGTATCCTATTCAGGTGTTTTGCAGGTCTTTTGGAATCCAACCGGTGCTGCCTTTCAGAATGTGTTGTGCTGAAATTCGATATGGCGCCAAATTGCCTGATGTCATCAGCATACTTTAAAAGCGCATGATTCTTCGGGAAGCGCATTTGACTCTGCAACGAAAATGTGAATAGTGATCCTTAGAGAGCATACATACTTTGAACTAGTAGTAAGATCTTTAAAACAACTTACGCTAGAAAATGGTTCCATTATAGCGCTGTGTTTGTAGTACTTTTTAAGCGATTTCTTCATTGCGGAAAGCGAGCTCTCAGAATGCTCTTTTGTGGTTGCTTGATGAAAGAAATCGATGAAGTGTCGAAATGTTAGCGCCATTTGAAGCGGTACAACGTCATGTATCAGGCACATGATAACCTATCTACAGCGCTTAATCGTTTGAGAATCAAATTCCCCGTTCAGCCATACCTTCATGTGGTCACACATTTCGTTGAACGTTGGATTCTTAAAGAAGCTGAGCAGGAAGCCATTATTGAACCGCTTTAGATTCTCGTAGGGAGGCAACATCTTTGCTCTTTGATATAGCTATTAGTAGATCCTCATTGCGTGCTACTCTACATTGACAAGATACCTTGCGTTGATGATGTTCGTCGTTCCAGTGCTTGCTTCGTTGAGTGATGATTCAAGACACTGAAGTAAATGCTTATAAGCACCACCAAGCTGATGTAGGTCATCAACGGTAAGCGATGCATAAATGTCAAAAAGTGGGACCTTCCAAAAGGCATTCTATGTTTTTGTATACGTAAATAAGTATGTGACTAAAGCGATACTATTGTTAGGATGTTACTTGTATGGCATGGAATGAATGCCTCCGCTCTTCGAAGTTTTTCCTTGCAATCGATGTCATACTGGATACTTTTGCATATAGATGCTTCATCATCTCCTCCGTTCGCACAGGAAGGTTCTTACGATAACAATTGAATTCGGTGTATGGGGTCTCACACCGTGGACATGGGAACTTTGTACTTGCACTTTTGATACATGCAAGCATTCTTCTATATGTTCGTGCTGGTAAGCAACGTTTACGTACATGAAAATAGACATTTAATCTACTTACTGTTCAGGCAGGTCAGCAGTGTACGTTGCAAGAGCCGGTACGCATTTATAAACTTTTCCATTTGGCCCCTTCATGGAGTATGATTTGATCCTTTATATAGTAAAAAGGTTATTTGGTTACTGTACAAAATGAAAAAGTGATCCTTACATGTGGTCGTCATCGTACTGAAATGGCTTTAATATAAGAGAGATACAGTAATGGAACACCGAATACTTGGCTTTGATGAACCATGATGGAGGGCTGCCTTTCCAATCTATGCATGGAAGGTACGCTAGCAAACGACTTGGCCGGTTTTTGCTTTTTTCACGGATCTCGGCAGGTATATTCCCTATAATTATCGTTGTAAGTTGTATCGCTATAATCAAAATGAGAAGGTCGAAGTCATTTGGTACATACCAAGCTTCAAATAGATAGGCCAAGCTTTTTCACGCATATTTCCGGTAATGAGTGTTTGGTCCGATGCAAGCATGATGCTTAATATCACGCACTCTGGAAGCAACTCCTAAGATATAGTCATCATTCAACAATTTCATCGGTAGAAGCCCTCTTGTTTCAATGCATAACATACCTGGAGCTTCTCCCACCATATACCGGATTCAAGTCCTTTATAAGTCCTAACTCCATTTTTCATGCACACTTT